TTAAAATAATTAGATTTTATAATATCTAAGTCTATATAAAGTTTATTCTTTTTTTATAATTTCTTTAGTTAATTTTAATTATTATATTTTAATTATATACTTAATACTAGTAGATTAAAAGTAGTATATAAAAGTATACTCTAAATATATTAACTCTACTTTAGAAATTATATTACTATTCTAAATAAATAAGTTATTAGTTATTATATTATAAAGTATAATAATAGTTTAATCCTTAGTCTATAGTTAGTCTATTTCTTAAGAAAAGAGTTAGTTTAATTATATAGAGTATTAATAAGTAGTTATTATAGTATAAGTTATATTAAAAGATAGCTCTTAATAATAAAAGTACTACTTAAATTAATTAGTAAAAATCTTATCTAACTATTTACCAAAAATCCCCTTCTTTATATATCTATTCTATTCTCTACTATATTATTTAAATCACTTAGTTTACTCTATAATCCTAGTAATCCTAAATTAGTACTAGATTACTATAATCCCTAGTGATCTAGTTATATAACTGTCCTTTTATTCTTACGCCCTTATAAGCGCCCTATAGTTATTTATTAGGCCGCCCTACCCCTTATCTATTGTACCTTAGAGTGTTTATAATACTAACCTAATTTAGAAAATATAGTACGAGCCTACTCTCTAAGCTCTAATAACTCTAACGCCTCTAAAAAGACTATAGGAGAACTCTACTTACACTAAAGACCCCTATAGTAGTGTAGTCTTATAGAGACTAAAGGTAAAGGATAGAAAATAATCGCTTTTCTTATAAGTTTAATAATAGAATAAAATTTAATAGTAACTAAAAGGCACTATTTAAAGGAATCTATTTAATCGTTTAGCTGGCTAGTATTTTAGAAATTATAGTTATAGTATCTCTTTTAGCCTAAAGAGCGTTAATTACTTATAGTGCCTCTCCTATAGGAGAGTCCTTTGAACCCTCGCGATAGTAGTTACCTTAACGACGACTAACTAGGATAGTAATAGTTGCCTGACTAAGAGATAAGCTGCCTCTCCGTTGATATATTTCTAATAGAAACAAACTAACATACAGTGCAAGAGCAGAAGTAGTAGGAGTAGTAGTAGTAGCACCAGTAACAATCTGAAGAGACGTGCTAGCTATACTCGGCGTGGGTGATCATGCCACCGTTCTGAGAACCGCGTGCGGAGCACATTCCCACCAGATACAGGGAACGTCCGTGTGTCGCTGTCCTAAGTTCTATTTTCGGGGGGTTAGCACACCCGTTTATAGATTCACTTCCAGCAAAGAATCTGGCCGTGTAAAAATCCAAGCCACCCATCCTTGTCCTCTACCCAGGTCCTCCACGCTGTTGCCATCTGCTGTAATTCTGTTTCGCTAGCAAATCCTTCACGAACCGCGGTCATTGCAAGACCAGAGGAGCGGGCTCTTTCTTCCATTGCACCGCCCCAGTACTCTCGGTCATGGGGGTTGCTGAAGCACCAGGACCCGGTACTCTTCTTCATATTCCCTACTGGAAAGCCAGCCTCCCTCGCCCAAACATGGAGTTGAAGACCCGCCTTTCTATAATTGCCCCTGGCCTGTCGAATACGGACCTGGAGATCCCCCCAAGCTGCCAGGCCCGCTGAATCAGGGTATATTGTGGAGACGACAGACTCTTGTACTGCCACGATGCCTCCCTGCTTCACAACACGACGCATCTCCTTGAATGCCAGAACCGGATCGGCAATATGTTGCAGAACCTGGTGTGCATGGACAACATCAAACGTGTTTTCAGAAAACGGTAGGTTGTGTATATCACCGACTTGGAACTTGATATTCGTCACTCCTTTGGAACTTGCAAGCGATCGTGCTCCATCGAGCGGGTCGGGCACATGTTCCACGCCTACCACATGCCCCTCTGGGACTTTCCGTGCAAGGTCGATTGTGATGGAGCCTGGACCGCAGCCAACATCGAGGATGCTCATATGTGGCCGCAGGTATGGAAGAAGATACGCCGCCGAATTATGAGCATCTCGCCAAGTGTATGTCTGAAGGACTGACGGAGAATGATCGTTTGTATAAGCTTGCGTCATCTTTTTAATATTGGATGAGATGGATAGTTTTCTCAGTGGTGAGAATGTTAGTGAAGCGTGCGAGTACGAGCCGAGGACGCGAAGCGGAGGGATAACAGCTCCCTTGGTTAGGGTAGAGAGTAGAATGAATAGGGACCACGGTGGTACGGGTTAAATCTTGGAAACTGTCACACAGGGCAAAGTTATAAAGATAATGGACGGCAAGGATCGGGACATGGAGGGGATGTGGCGGGCGTATGGTGGATGTAGTTGCACACAAAGAGTATGCATTTTATCAGTTTTTCGAGGCGTCTTTCTACAGTAGACGGGCTGAAAAAAAGCCATATCCTGCGGTATTGTGGATATGTTCCGGCCGATGTCTAATGACATATTGCTTCTGTCTCGGGCTTGCATATATCACTTTTCCTTACACCATCCCCAGCTGCCAATCATGAAAACATGGCTGCATGACCGGATCAATACCCTACCCAAGAGCCCAGGGTAGTGCCCATTTGGTGGGACTGGGCGGCGAATGCGATATTTTCCGGTAGGCGACTTCGGACGCTAAAAGATGGGCATGTTTAGATTGGGGAAAGAATGCTGGGGATAATGATACATCCGTTGTTGAGAATTTGTGAGTCTGACACCGTAGCTTGGGTGGTCGCCTAGGATTACCCTCTTTGCTCATCAGGGAATGGATGCCTGACAATCAGGCTTGCAATGCATTATTCTTACGCCTCAATTGAGTGGATTCGGGCTCGGCATGCGCCATAAAAGGACCCCTGCACGCGCGCACGCATTTGTAGTGATCCTTCCAGCTTCTACTACCAGTACAGCTTGCACCATAACAACCAACATACTGAGTAAGATGCGCAAGTTTCGTATGCTTACCTGGTACCGACAGGGGAGATCGAAGTAGCTACAGGGCTTCAAGCACCCATGCCTACTGTACTAGTTTAGAAGCCTGTCATCGACCAACGGTTCATTTTGACAGGAGAAAGAAGATACCGTGCAAGGGTATAATACCTTCTTCGACTGCACTTCGTACTTCAGCCAGAACAAAAGTCGCCCTAGCCGGTGTGTGGGCGCCACTCCGATTCGCTCCCTCGGCTTTGACTCCAACTCATATCCATTCACTCTCTTGTCTCGGAACAGAGACGGCAGGCGATCGACGAGCATCCGCTGCATAATGCGGCTTGCTTTGACAGCTTGTATAGAGAAACCTTGGACTTGTATTAGACGTGGATTGCTTCTAACGAGCCCTAATACTATAATACAGCGAGTGGCTTGCCGTGAAGATAATCCAACATTTTTGCCTCGTCCGCCGCCCGCAACGCTCCTTTGATATGCCCAAGCAACACCTCAGGGTCTTCGAGACCAATGGAAATCCGAATTAGGGTCTCATTCAATCCATGCCCTTTTGCCCATTCCTTTTGTTTCTGCATAACCAACTGCACATAGGGTAGCGCAATAGTAACATTCGCGCCGAAGGAAGGCCCTTTGCATACGGGGAAGTTGTTAAAAAATGCCGACGCCTGTACGGTGTTTTCAAAATCAACACCGAATACGGAGCCGAATCCCGGCTCGAACTCTTCCGTGGCGGGACGCATGAATTTGCAGTAATTCTCTCGGCTCCAGCAGACGCGGGGCGAGTAAATTGCTGTCAGGGCGCTCTTGGGATTAGCAACGTAGGGGAACAGGAAGTCAATCAGATACGCCGCGGTCTTGTTTTGTTGTGTAAAGCGCTCGAGGTAATTGTGGCTATTCAATTCCAGCTGGAGAGCATCCTCTGCGTAGAGGTTGTTCACATGCGTTGCAGCAAAGTGGCCACTGAGCTCCTGGTAATGGGGAAAGTTCGGGTTCAAAGTTACACTGTCAATTCCGGCCCGTTAGTTTCTAAAAATGTATTGAAAAGCTCTAAAAGGGATTCTGAGACTTACCACCCTCCAAGAACATTAGCATAGCCACTGAAATTCTTAGTCAAGGATGTGGCAATAACATCAGCGACATCGGTTACGTCGATATTTGCGGCACTCCCGATTGTGTCGTCCACAACAAAGATGAAATCGTACTTGTCTGCTAAAGCACGCACCCTGTGCATATCTGGTGTTCGCAGGACAGGGTTGTTAGGACACTCACACCATACAGATTGAATCTTGCGGCCCTCTTGAGCTCGACGAATTAGGAGCGATTCCAAATTGTCAATGTCTGTATCAGTGCCGAAGCTGTAAAGCTGATATGGTAGGCCAACCGTCTCAACCATTTTTATAGAGAGCTCATACGGAAAGCCGAGCATGACAATGTCATCCCTTCGCCATCGTAAGAGTGCCTGGTTCACGTGATAGAGCGCGGCCATGCCCGACGCGCTCAGATACACGTCATTGCTGGCCGGCAGGGGCTTGTTGGCATTAATAGGGGCGCGAGACAGCAAGTTGGCTACCCGCTTGCGAAGTGTGTCATAGACGAGCAAACGCTGGGCAGATGGTGCGTCTGGTAGCGGGCCTGCGATAGGCGTTAGCCGGCAGTCGCTGCACTGTAGACACTGCTTTGCCAGTCTCGAGGAGATGCCACGGCCGTTAAGCCTCCAGAACGTCATTTTCTCTTTTTCTACGCTGCGCGGATGCGTAACAGCATAGAGCTGCGGGATACAGGAAAAGTCGACTTCGGACTGGCAAGGTCCCTTGCTGATGTTCACAGCGAAGAGCGATGTATCCGCCTCATCGACGACGGCGCCGTCTGGGTTGAGTGTCTTATCAATAAGAAAAGCTCGGCAGTCTGCTGCGCTGTTGTAATCAGGAAACACAGCAATGCTTTCCGACGATGGGAAATCCCGGAGACACAGGTCGAAAAACTTATTCACGGTTAACTCAGGTTCCAGTGCAGCGGGGGTAGATACATACCTCTCGAACGTATGTGTGCAGAAATGTTCTGGGATAGCCATTTTGTAGAGCATTTGTTACTTCTGCGTTTCCTGCCCCATAACCCGCGACATCTGCCCAGGCAGGGAATTGCACAGATATGGCATGTTCCTTCGACATGGGAATGGCATGACCAAGAGGTGGGGGTGACTGGTATGTCTGGTATTCCATAGCGAAGAACCTTGGACAGCAAAAAGCTGGAACGGATTCCAATGAGAATTTGGCGTGACTAAATCAAAAGAAAGTTGTGATAAGAGACTCGGAGTCAATAGATACTGCCTATAGATTTCATAAGCTCAAAAGAGAAATGTATCCTATCTCCGGTAATATTTATATGAGTTGCGCCCCTTGCTGTTGGAACTTTTGTGAGTATAATCGGAATATAACAAGTAGCTGTTCCAAACTTCCCATCGAGGGCGCAGCAATGATCTGCTCTGTTATGGCTGGCTGAAGCTAGACATGCGTATAACCCGAGAGAGCCATGTCCTGACACATCAGAACACGCATTCCACACACGCTTTTACCTCGGCATTTGTCCATCCAGGACATCCAAGCAGATCAAGACACGGCTGATATGTAGCTTGCATCGAATGAACCGTCAGCTGAAAGCACACTACCAATAAGGTACATGCATGAATGTTGGGATGCCTGACTCATGATATCGGCCTGATGATTAGGCATCTACTTATACTGCATTCACAGAAAGAGGGATAGATCTAGTAGGTATTATACGACCACATCCTCTTGCAAGCGTTCGCATGTGTAGCGGTGTACGAACGCTCGCTTAGCGAACACGAGGCCCAATGTATGGCCCAGGCGCCGCCTATCCATTTAACAGTGGAGGAGGGGGTTTTAAGTCACGTACAGGGGTTTAGCCAACCACAGCATCACAGCTTCGTGAGGTACCTCACGCTTCTATTAAGGACCGCTACTGTGGCTAAGTATCTGTGGCTCATGAGACTACTTAGAAATACTTTCTAATCATCGTACATTAGAATATCTCTTACGGTGCTATAAAGTATAGAAATGCGGTGGATCTTGTGACCTTAGACCTCCTCCTCCACTGTCAAAGGGATAGCGTTCCGGGCTCAAAAGTAGACACGTATACAAATGAGGCTGCTCGGTGGCTAGCTGGAAGTTGGACACGCAGAGGAAATACCGCATAGCACACATACAACAGGCGGGGAACTTGCTAGGAACGTTGGGGTGGTCTGTTGTTCCTGACGCTAACGCAGATACTCGGGGCGCGGCGATAGACAGCAGACGACGAGCGACAGAGGAAGTGGGACGGCAAGCAAGAATTAAGATGGCCGTCGCACTATCGACCGAAGCCAGTGAGGGTAGCCGTCGTACTGACCAAAGAAGACCGTCCGTCCGATACCGGGTAAGTGGAGTGAATCGAATCGTCCCGGGATGGGGCCCCCGGTCTCAACCGAGCCTCAGTGGCTGCTGTATCCACAAGCAGCCAGTAAACGTGGGCTCTGCATGGACGGTGGCCAAGACAGCCGCCGGTGGTGGTTTTATTATCCACGGACACGCGCCGCCGGTGGCTGGCTGAATGTGGGCCGCGAAGGCGCGAATCACCAGTTGTTATCCGGCTGCCTGATGTGACGGAGTCGCGGGAAGGCGTGCTACCTGAAGAGGCATCACGGCTGCTGCTGCGTGGTGTATACCAGCTTTGTACCAGACAGTCATCAAATGAAGGAATTGATCTACCGGTGCCGTTGGTGAGGGAATATTCTCTTTTACTACACCGCCCGCCCAAACCGGGCGACCTGCAGCTGCATCCTCTCTCCTCTGCAGAGATGTATTTGTAATTTGTACAGATTACTGTACGGATTGTCACTGTGAGGTCTCGCAGCTGAAACAGGATAAAGAAGTCCACCCACTTCCGACTAAATCGGTGATGTGCCGGATCTAGTAATCTGCCGGGTTTCCTCATGACGGCCCGAAACACGGCGAGGATTTGTTGGGCAACTAGGCATGATATGACACCGCTGCGGGAAAGGTACCTGAACGTGGTGTGTTTTGGTCGGTATCTTACCCCTGCTCTGGGTACCCAGCCTATAATAAGGGGTTCGCGAGGCACCCAGGTCGAGTACATATACATACATAGGTAGTTACTCGAGCAACCACAGCACTCCTCTCTATGGGCCATAACTGGGTACCCTGCGTGACAGCATTCACATTCACTCTGGCTGGCTCGCTTCCCCTCTCGCTCATCTCATACCACACACCAAAATGTCGGTGATCCTTGCAGATTCGCTGGCCTCAGCCAGCGAAATCATGCCGCTAGCATCAGTTACGCCCGGCCAAAAAGCAATACAATGTTGGCACACATTCAGCACAGCAGCCGCTTTTGCGACGACCTCCGTATCTCCTGAGTCCATTAGGCGACGAGCGCACTGGGAGACAACAAAGCGGGTGCTTGCACAGGCTGTTAACGAAGGTTTGGCCATTGGAACCGTTGAGGTGTCCACAATGCCCAGCTTGTGTTTGCGTGCACCTAGTCCCGAAGCCATAGCTGGGCATGATGGTGCTTGGATCAAGTGTGGTATCCGTCCGGATGCTTATGTTGAAATGGACGGCCTCAGGGTTGTTGGATTCGTGCGGGCCGAAGATCTGCTCTACCCCGTGCTAAGCGGGAGCACAACGGGCGAGCCGACTGAGGAGCTTGATCCCGGAGTGCTGTGTCGCATCATTTGCAGTTGGCAACCTGAACTTGCTGAAAATAGCAATGGAGAGTTGCTGATAAAAGAAGTGCAGAATGCTACCGACAATCAGGGTAAGTTCAACAGTGGCTGCAGTATCGGACTTTTTACTAATTTGAGGAAGTCAAATGGCTCGAAATTGCGGCTACTCAGCCAAGACTTCATCTCAAGTCTCCACTCGCTGATTGGGAGCAATCAGTCGTGACTGGGCATCCCACACATCCGGTATTCTTCCTCAGTCTTCTTGATGTATGTGTGCGACACTGGAAATAACCGCGTTTAGTTGCACAAAACATGCCTTGCCCAACCCCCATTGCCGCCCATCGTGCCAGATGACATCCCTAAACTTCTATCGCCAGAATTATCGTTCCTCTCCATCTCAAAGTCGGAATTAAGAGTCACTGGACCATTTGAGCAGCTCTTGCAGCCGCTTCTCAAATCATTCGGGATTTCTGGAGAGGTCGAGTCACCTGATCGCATCGTCATTCCATGTTTTACTCGCCAACTACCAAGTATCATGCCCTTATTCCCTCAAGCGCGCCTTCTTCAAAGTGTTCCAGACTCCTGCCGCGCCCAAATTTCAATGCGCAGTATATCATTCAAGCCTGGAGTCAACTTTCCGCATCACCTAAAACTTTCACTCTTTGTTCAAATCACCTCTGGGTTGAGGAATGTTAAACCATGGGGTGCAGTTCTTGGTCCTGTTCTTGGCAAAATGCTACCGGACTTGCTTCCACCAGATCTGTGGATCTTTGAAGAACCCGCATCCGTCACAGGCAAGCAGGGCGATTTCACAGATGCGGGCCAAGTATCATGCGTCATCCGAAAGCTCCCGGAGCAACTGGCCGAAAACACTGAGGAGATACTTATCCCCGGCGCTGGACTATATCAGAAACCTTTCAACGAGGACCAAACATACATGGAGATTCTCTTTGGTCTCGATGACTTGACGAAAAAGCAAGATTGGTTTAGAAAGTAAGTTTGTCCAACATTTCCAAGTCTGCGTTGGCCCACCCAACAAACATGGCTAACCTTGCAAAAAGCTACGCTGCGCTATTATTCTCAGCTTTGATGCCGCCGTTGGTTCGATACGGACTTGGATTCGAGAGCCACCTTCAAAACGTTCTCGTCCGTGTCAATGTCATGACAAAAACGGTAACAGGGTTCGCGATCCGAGATTTTGAAGGAACTCGGATCCATTACCCCACATTCCTCCGATCCGGGTATACGCTTAGTGACCTCCTCCCCGAAGGCTCCCCCCATCTTGCCGATAGCCACCGGAAGCCCTGGAACAAAGTGCATCATTCTATCATTCAGGACAATGTGGGCCCAATCTTGCACATCTTGGGCTTGGAGTCGCATGGAGGCTGGTCGATTGTTCGGGAGGAGCTGAAGAGAGTGCTGGACCCTTCCGGCGACCCCGATGGAAGAGCCTTGTGGGAGTACTTTACCCAAGAAAAAATGACCATCCCGCGTTTCATGGGCATGAGGTTTATTGGGCGTTACGTGGAGGTAAGTCTCTCGTGATCCCTGCCGTCATGATTAAGCCAGGCGAGCGAGTAGCATGCAGCTGACACTGAACAGAGTCATGAAATCGATGTGCCGAATTTTCTTCTCCGGAAATAACTGTTAGCCGTGAGTACATCTGAGGCTGCAGGTGACTTTGATTCGCTTACCTAATTTCGGTTTAGTGCGACATCCTAACTAGGCGAAATTGGCCCGGGATGCTAATCTCAACGTGGATAGATTTCAACAGCATGACATAAGCTGGCGATCTTATAGTGAGATGCAGGTGCTCATGGCATTTTTTAAACTCACTCAATCTATATGTAAATAGCAACTTTTAGCCATAGTTCACCTTGTTTATGCCTGTATTCCATATGCCACTCAGGTGTTTACCAAGCAGCTATTTCTCTCGAGCTCAAGATGAATAACAGTTTTCCACCGAGCTGAAATGAGTCTAGCCAGCGAAGTGTGCCTGATGCTGGGGCTGTTCTTCGCTACAGAGGATATTGCACAGTACTCGCACTATCACGTCTAAAGAGTCATCTGAGGGCGAGTTCGGGTTCTAATCCCAGGTTCTGGAACTTACCAATCGCTCCAGCTTTGACAGTACAAGGGCACGCTAACATCGAGGGCGACTTGGATATCGCGATTGTTAACGAGGACAGAGAGCTTCTAAGACCTGTCTAAGCCAGATATATGACAGTACTGCCTGCTCATACATCGAGCAATTAATAACGCAGGAAAGTCACCTGATCTTTCCGCCAGAGCAATCCGATAAGCAAGCTAAAGGACAAGTGTTGTCTTTCCGCGCATCCCGAGGAGATGCTTGGTAGATCGATTAGATTTGTTCTAGCAAACAGCCTTCACTGCAACCCTATACAATGCCAAAATTGATGAGTGAACGAACTGACTACGGAGATGGCGAAATCGCAGCCAGACGCGCCAATTTTGTTCACGTGGAGCATGCACGGCTGTATAGCGAGCCTGGCGACCTATCAACGAGACTGATGAGGCATTTCGGAGAACTTGAACCTCCAGCTTTATCCGTGGCTCTGCTGTGTTTCAAGAAGCCGAAGTGGTTAGTGGTAGCGATGTTTGCAGTGGTGAAGAGTGGCGGACTACCGGCAGTGATTTTAGTCAACCGATTGGAAACGACAGCGACAAACAATCCAGACCAGCAGCAATCACTGCAGCGGATGAGATCACCTATGACGTTGGAGCAGATAGTGGTGTTTAGGTTGAACATTGATCCAGGCAGCTTCGATGTCGGCGACAGCGTCCTCTACGGATACAGCAGTCCGGCTGGGGTGATGCCGATCTTTACGGCGGTGCAGCACCCACGTCTACGAGAACTGGTACAGTCTCGCCATACCGAGACTGGGCGGCATCAAGATTCAATGCTGCGTTCACAGCTCGCTGTGGGCATATCAAGTGGCGCAAACCAGATCTGGAAGCCAACCGACAGCACTTCGACGGCCGACCTGGGTCATATCCCACCGGCTCAGCTCTGTTGTACACTTGCAGCTGCGATGAAGCTGGCAATGTACGGATCAGACGTTATGCACGTCTCTGCCATAAAACGTGATGCACGATTCAGGAACCCCATGGGTATTATGCCCATGTACGTCCTTGAACCTGGCGGCCAAGGATCGAGGGGACTGCCAGACCTAGCAGCGGAATCAGATGTCGCGACATTCACGTGTCCCGGCAGCCCGGTAACATTGACGGCTAGGCGCAATGTCCTGGTCATGGAATTACGACCAATGGAGATGCTCCTTCGGCATAAATTCTTTGCCAACATCTTTGCAGCCCTCGATGTGTGGCAGCTGCCGGTGTGTGGGGTTGCCACAAGTGCCGCGGGGATCACGGTGTCGCTGCACTCGGAGGCGCCGCTAGTCAGAGGTGGCATGAAAGAAGGGTATGAAATCACGGAGAATAATCTCTACAAGGCCGTTGAGGATTTACGCTGCCATGGCAGCGTAAATTTTGTGGTAGACATGGCCATTATGAGTGTCATTGACAGGCAGAAACCCGAGAGCTCAGCGTTCGCGGGGGGCGTGGTTTCTACACTTGAAAACAGTAACATCAATATCACCATGATATCACACGGTAGGTAATATTGTTGATATGCTCATCATACTTTCGGGAAGCTGAGAAACCACTGTACTGACATAAAACTCCTTGTAGGCGCAAGCGATGGAAACATATCCTGTGTCATCGAGGACAGAGAAGTGAACAGGGCTGCCAGGTTGTTGTACCAGCACCTGTTCCCTGCTGAACGACTACGTCATCCCTCGCATTCTGCAGCAGTGGCACAGCGCGTGTCATAAGCGAAGCATTTCAAGTCTGATAGCCAACAGACTTGCCTGTATGGATGGAGAGTATGGAATATTCGGGTGATGCGCCGGAGCGGATGAGCGACCGCAGCCACACCCACTTGCAGTCCCGGCATCGATCGGCAACAACTTGCACAAAGACGGCTCGAGATTATTTGCTAAACAAATAAAATTTCTTGCTGGAGTCATCAAGTGCTAGGATAGCACCGGTAGCTAGTAGAGGCATAGCATTACAAACGCCTGTGTTGTCGGATCATAAGGCAAAATCATATCAGGGCATTCATCGAGAGCAATTCTAGCACCACAGTGTAGGCGGGCGAAAGATAACAGAACACGAGCCGTCTACTTGTTGCACTACTAACAACCCTGGCTAACGAGTCCCTCTAGTGGCATTGGGCTCGCAAGTAACCAGCCTAATCCGACCTCAGCTATGTACAGTACCTATGTACATACTGTACATACATACTTAACTTACAGTGTAATAATAACTACTAGGTAGTTAACTACCAGTTGGCCCCTAGCAGGCAGGCTCTTGGCGTATCGGCCCGCTGTGCTAGCGTCAAATTGTTGGAGTCAAAAATAAGCCATCCCATTAGGTCTACAGATGCTCCCCAGAGTATGACGAACGCGAGTATGAGGGTTTGGAAAGATTTAAAAGATGTATTCAATTTATCTGACAATCTTGTTAAATCAACATGTAAAATAGCTACGCTAGTACGCCCTGTACCTTGTTCGTCACCGCATGTAGTAAACTTTTGATCGGAAGGTTATATTCTTATTCAGTACGATTTACTACCTTTCCTCTTTTCTTTTTCTTCTTCTTCCGTCTGTGTCTGTCGCTGCCTACAGCCTTTTCATGGCTCCTGAAAGAAGCGTCACGTGAACTTGCGCCATTCCCTTTGCTAATTTATATATATCTGTAGGTAGTACCCCGCATGGCCTGTCACTTGGTTGGGCTTACACCGTTGGGCGCAGTTCAGAACACATATCCTGATTGCACCCAATTTGAATGAGGGTGTCTATTGTCCTGCATCGCTACTACTTTACTGATCCCCGTTAACCTGAGGGATTATATTCTTCTATTTCAAATCCAATCCGAAATTGAGCCCATTTCGCAAGTATGACGACATTCGATCTCGCCACTGCTTCGAACCACCTCCTATATACTGGCATCACCATCTCGCCAGTGAAAGTTGTCAAGGCTCAGGGCACCTACCTTTTAGATGAGGACGGACGTCAAATTCTCGACTTCACCTCAGGCCAACGAAGCTCTCTACTCGGCCATTCCCATCCGGAAATTGTGGATGTGGTAAAACGCCAGATTGAGACAGTCGATCACCTACACAGCACCATGATCACAAAGCCTGTGGCGGACCTAGTCTTGCGACTGGCTCGCTTACTACCTCCGCCGCTGGAGAAGACGCTTTTATTGAATACGGGATCGGAGAGTGTGGAGGCGGGCATCAAGCTGGCGAAAGCCTACACTGGAAAGTTCGAGGTGATAGCTCTGACTGCCAGCTACCATGGCCAGACAGGGGGTGCCAGTTCCGCCACATTCTCCAAGTATCGGAACACTGGTCTTCCATGCATGCCTGGCCAGCTGGCCTTCCCAGCACCATATGCATGCAAATCGCCATTCCAGCTCAACGGGACATACTGTTGGGAGGCTGAATTTGACTACGGGTGGTCCATGATCGATCGCCAGAGCATTGGATCGCTGGCAGCCTTTTTGATTGAGCCGATTCTATCTGGCGGAGGAATCCTAGAACTGCCTAGAGGCTACTTGAGACGACTCAGTGCTGAATGCAAGAAGCGGGGGATAGTGCTCATTGTTGACGAGGCACAGACAGGTGTTGGGCGGACTGGCAAGATGTTCGCGTTTCAAGACGAGGAGGGATTTGTCCCTGATATCCTTCTATTGTCAAAAACGCTAGGCTGCGGGGTTGCCCTTGCGGCTCTTGTCACAAGTGCCGAGATCGAGAAGGGTAGTCGAAACTCTGTCTTCTACTGGAACACAACGCATCAGAACGACCCCTTGACTGCGGCCGTTGGGAACAAAACCCTAGAGATTGTCGAACGTGATGGGCTCTGTCAGAATGCAGCTGAGCGGGGGGCCCAATTGACCCAAGGTTTACTCCGACTTCAGTCACAGTATGGAGATTGGATTGGAGATGTTCGAGGTCGAGGACTTCTTCAGGGGTTTGAGCTGGTGTCACGTCCAGGGGCTACGATAACTGCGAAGGACTTGGGGGCTGCAGTAGTAAAGAAAGCCCTAGCCGGTGGGTTGTCGTGCAGTGTTGTTCCGTCTCCCGCACAGGGGTCTGTTGTTCGACTGGTGCCACCGATCACCGTATCAAGGACGGAGATCGACCAGGCTCTCCAGATCCTAGATGAATCTCTTGCAGCTGTGCTAGCTCAGTAACTATGCATACACTCAGCAAATGTATTGATTAAACCATTATTGTCCCTTTTGTAGTTTATGCACAGCTCGAGTAGTATCGGGAGCCTGCCTGCCCAGAACCAACATATACAAATCGCAGGCATGTGCTATTACCTATAAACATTAACTAAGGGCTCAATACATCCTTGACTATCAGTTCTCTTCACCGCTTAATGTTGTATCTATCTTCCCTTCATTCATCCCGCAGTCAATAGGCATACGGGGATTGCTTCCACTCCCAGTGAACAAGCCCGTGCTAACGCTTATTGGTGACGAATGAAGGGTCTATTTCCGACTCTTGCATCACTCCCTCGTATGAAGAGTGGAATAAGGATTAGCACCCAAAGTCTTGTACTTTGATTAGTGCGGATAGAGCGCTCAGCCAGCCACCATTGCTACTGTTTCGCCTGGTTCTGACACCGGCTGGGTCACCTTGTTGATAAAAAATACGGATACGACATAAAGCTTTCGCGAGTTGCTGAGAAATCACGTCAATGCCTGCACGACTGCTCGATCTCACCGGGTAGACATGCCGATACTGGTATAATCATATTGTCAACTGAGACAACACACTGTGCCATAGCAGCTGTTGTAAGACATGGAGCACAGCTCGAAGATCCTATTACGCATATATTCTTCCCTTACATATCTCGGCAAACTATACTCTGTACCGCAGCAAAGGGCTTTTCTTCCGGATCGGCTATCACTGTTACATATCTTATACGCGCTTAGTACAGCTGCAACGGCATCAAATGGATAGGTAGAACGGGCGGGGGAAAAGGTCGTGGCATCCAGTAATGTGGATTTGTCTCGGCTAGCCCATAACACCATTATTTACTGATTTAGATGTGAATTCAAGCTTCACTCCTTCCTCCGTACAGATGTGTAGTGTGGGTGCCATTCTGATTCGCTCCCCTAGCTTTGACTTGAGTCATCTTATCTTAGCAGCGATTCAGCTGAATTCTAAAGTGGTACAATGTATCCGTACTCCGTAGATTTATAGGAGTTTTCTTTGTCCCTATGACGACATCCGCTTCTCTTGTCTTGCCCAGCGAATTGTTTGCGGAGCCCACCACAGGCGCCCGAGAAAACTGCCTACGTACCAGTGGACGTATACACGGGGTACAGGCCACTCTCGCTCTATACCTGAGCCTAGAGACGCAGACGTGTATATTTGTCGGCCGGAGCCTGCCTCCCGAGTGGCCGCTTTTAATGGTGGCCAAAATCGAGCAGGAATAGTACCTGAACGCCAAACGAGATCCAGGGCCGAACTCATACCTTCAACCTGGCGAAATGCAGCACGCTGGAGCCCAAGCTCCGCATTGCACAGTCATCATTCTTGTCCTGACGACTTGCTTGTCCACCCTTGCGTTTCGGAGCCTGACAAGTTGGGCCCGTCGAGCATTTCATACCACAGACCAATTCGCCAAACACTTTTATCGCGACCTCGATGGCGAGAGCACGTTCCAAGATGTCCAGGCTGCCATGGGGTGGAAACGGCGTGTTATGATTACCATCTTGACAATCACCGCAGGGGCCGTGTCTTTGTCGCGGGCTGTCATCACCCCAACAAGAGAGGCGTGGCTACACTGTGGCATTTTGGTAGGTGTTCTATTTTTGCGATTCACCTGCCATTACTGACTGTATCAGTTTTTCTTGCTCATTGAATGTGCGGCCTTGCTGGTGGAGTCACGCCATGCTCTGCGTTATTCTCTGGCCTTGCAATTGAATCTAAGTTGTGTATTGATCTTGATTTCTGTCGCATTTGAGATTTATGCATCATATCCTTCACAACTGGAAAGCATCCAACAATGGCTGCTCGGTACAGAATGTTGCTGTCATCTCGCCACAGCGGCTCTCTGCTTGCTGCTTCCTCGCCGCCCCAACGTCTACCACAACGATATCATGGTCGACTGCGAACTTTCCACCTCGATTCTTAGCCGTGCTACATTTAGCTGGGCAAATAAGATTATCCGCCTCAGCCATCAGGAAACGGAGCTCGATCCAGCGCAACTTCCACGGTTGGACCACAGCAGTCGATCGCAGAGGCTCCAAGAATTGTTTTGCGAGGGCCCGATGCGCAATCACGTCCAAGTGCCAGACGGTTTTAGACCCCCAGAACCGATGTGGAGGATATTAGTACTATCCAATCGTACACACCTTACCCTGATGGCGGTGGTTTGCTCGCTCCTAGCGCTGCTTTCCTTCGCGCCGCACATGGTGTTGTTACATATGCTGCAAGTCTTGGAATCTGATTCGTCTGAAGACAAAAGCTCTTTGCCGTTGGGGGCATGGGGAGTTATATTGGGCCTAGCAGTCGTTTGCTCCTCCCTTGTTGAACAGTGGGTACACTGGATTGCCTACAACAAGATCTCTGTCCGAATGATCGAGCAGATATCCATCATGGTTTTTCACAAGGCAATGCGCCTCACTGGGTCCGCGGGCTCCGATACAAGCAGGAGCGACGACAATGTTGACCAAGACTGCAGCGCCGCTAAGAGTACAATCAACTTGGTTGCAGTTGACGGTCAGCGAATCGGTCGGTTTGCCACGTACTCGTTTCATTTGGTGCTTGCCCCGTTAAGGGTGATCATCTCTTCTGCCCTGTTGATGAAAATACTTGGCTGGGAAAGTTCAGCTGCAGGTTTTGCCTGTATCGCTGTTCTGATGCCCATGGTCATTCCCTGCGGCCGCAAGTACGCAGTGGCTGGCAGAGAATTGATGGCGGCACGCGACAAGAAGATGTATATACTCACTGAGATGCTCCACGGGATCCGCCAAATCAAATTCTCTGCATCGGAGGAGAAGTGGTCAAATAGAATCGGTACGGTGAGAAAGGAAGAGTTGTCAGGGCAGCGCCAGATCTTTATTTCGAATGCTGGTATTATGTCCTTCTACATACTTGCCCCAATCGCGCTGTCTGTTGCTTCATTGGGAGTCTATGCCACTCTGCACAACGGGCTGACGGCTTCTGTCACTTTCACTGCTATATCAATCATGGGTTCGATAACGGCATCGTTGGGTGTGCTTCCGACCTTGCTCTCGAATGTGATTGACACTTGGATCAGCACACGCCGCCTGGATGAGTATTTTCGCACTCCCGAAAAGATGCCAAAGTTGACTCCATCGGACAATATTGGCTTTCAGAACGCCACCATTTCTTGGCCAGGAGCGTTAACATCTCAAAGGTCTCCCTGGGTCTTGAGGGACCTTGATCTGGAGATTCCCCGGGGCAAATTAAGCCTGATTTCCGGGCCAACGGGATCCGGCAAAAGTCTGCTGTTGGCCGCCATTCTGGGAGAATGTGACATCATTACGGGGCAGGTAATGACCACTCTTCGACCGCATCCTGAGAGCATTTGGCGTTCCTACGCAGCCAGCGGAGACTGGCTCGTCGACTCCGTTACGGCGTATGTGGCTCAGACGCCATGGATTGAGGCAGCCACTATCCAACAGAATATTCTGTTTGGACTTCCACTTCTTGAAGAGCGATATAGGGATGTATTATACGCGTGCGCCTTGGTAAAGGACCTGCAATCCTTCGCTGACGGCGACCAAACTGAAGTCGGCCCTGATGGAGTCAACTTGAGTGGTGGACAGAAAGCCCGCATTTCCCTCGCAAGAGCGTTATATTCCCGCGCTAGTACTTTATTGTTGGATGATATATTTAGCGCAGTCGACGTTCATACCGCGCAGCATCTTTATGAACATGCACTGACCGGGCCTTTGGCTGCGGGTCGAACCCGAATTCTTGCCACACATCGCATCGGTATTTGTTTGCCCCAAACCGAAATGATCGTTCATTTGGAGGATGGGACGGTTGGCTTCGTTGGTGGTGCTGCTCAATTACATGCTCGTGGAATGCTGGACAGTTTGTTACAGTCTTGCAGACTAGATGAAGTGGAAGGAAACGAGGAGGTTACATTAGAAGACGTCCCGTCGTTTCCCCTCGAACACCTTGATCAGCCTAATGGTCCTGTTATATCACAAAGTAGGCCGGGGACTGGCAAGGCGCCACGACCGTTTCTGAAAAAAGAGCAAGACAAGACGAACAAATCCTCTCTGCGCCTTTTTATCCAGTATCTCACAGCAAGTGATGCATGGTGGCTGTGGGCTCTAGTTGCCGTGATTAGTGTGTCACATATGGCTCTTATACTCGCAAGGGTAAGTATTTTATTCCCACAGAGGAGGCTAATCCTGTCCTTCAACATACTAACTTGGAGCAGAGCTGGTGGCTACGTGTCTGGATCAACCATGATACCGAGATCATTATCAATGCACCAAACATGGTAGTGGGGAATGGCAGCTTTCATTTTTGCATCTACGTGGCTTTCGCTATCTGCGAGTGGCTTGTGGGCGCGATGGTAAATATGATAATTTTCCATCCCGCGCTCCGTGCATCGGAACGTCTCTTTCAACAGTGTCTACGCGGTATACTCAGCGCACCTCTCCAATGGCTTGACACAGTTCCTGTTGGCCAGATTTTGAATCGCTTCTCGGTTGACTTGAACATCGTCGACTCTCGAATCTGTCTCTCTCTGATCCAAATACTCGTCGCCGGCCTGGAATCTGGCAGTGTGATTGTCGCCGGCATTATCGTGAACCCTCTGTCAATCATCCCAATCGTTCCCCTGGCATCGGCATGTGTCTACTTCAGCCGTGTGTACCTTGTCGCGGCGCGGGAGATGAAGCGCATGGAAAACATCGCTCGCAGTCCAATTTATGAGAAGTTCAACTCCTCGCTCACTGGACTTTGGACTATCCGGGCCTATGGAAAATCGGAAATCTACATTGAGCAAATGCAGCAACTTGTGGATGCTCACGCTCGGGCATATTGGCATCAGTGGCTGTTGACACGCTGGCTCGGAACGAGAATCAACATCACCGGAGCGATTTTTACCACATGTGTTGCTGTCTTGGTGACCCGCCAGAATGGAGTAGATGCCGCCTCGGCGGGCTTTGCGATCGGGTTTTCAATTCAGCTGTCCAGTGCCATCACTCAGTTAATTCAGGTTTACACTGGTTTCGAACTGGACTTGAATTCCGTCGACCGCGTCCTGGAGTACTCTGACGTGGAGTCAGAACTGTACGAGGGGATTGATCCCCCCACCGCGTGGCCAACGGAGGGCCGATTGGATATGGTCAACCTGGCAGTGAAGTATGCACCTGACCTGCCGCCGGTTCTTAGTGGTGTTAACGTGAGCATTGACGGGTATCAACGCGTCGGTATCGTTGGCCGAACCGGCGCAGGCAAGTCGTCGCTGGCTCTCGCTCTCTTCCGATTCTTAGAAGCCAGCCAAGGCCAGATTCTCATTGACGGAGTCGACATTGCAAAGATGACGCTGACCCATTTGCGTGGCCGACTGGCCATCATCCCACAGAATCCAGTGCTATTCTCAGGAACTGTTCGCTCCAATCTGGATCCATTCCAAGAATACGATGATGACGAACTTCTCTCTGCTCTGGCACAGGTCAAGTACACGACCTCTGCGGCAAAAATACTATCATCAGAACTCGAAATACCCATTTACAAGGGAGGTTTGAATCTGTCTCAAGGCCAGCGTCAGCTCCTTTGCCTCGCTCGTGCGATTGTCTCCAATCCAAAAATCCTCATACTGGACGAAGCCACTTCTTCGATCGACCATGCGACGGATGAGAAGATTCAGCAGGCCCTGCGGGCAAAATTTGGACGTGGTTCTTCAACCCTTCTAGTGATTGCCCACCGCTTGAGCACGATTGCTGACTTTGATCATATCTTGGTCTTGGATCGTGGCACCGCGGTGGAATTTGGGTCTCCTAGAGACTTGATAAACCTGGAGAATGGCATCTTTCGAGCAATGGTAGAGAAGGATTCAGAGAGGGGCCAATTACTTCGCATTATCTCAGGATAACCACAATACCTCGTTAAGGATACGAAGCAGTTCCGTCTAAGAGTCTAGGCAGAGCTACAGTTTATATTTTATAATAATAGATTTTTTTAAATAATTCTAACTAAAATAATACTAAGAATATAGTAAAATATAACTTTTTAATTAAAATAAACTATAATAAGTCTATTATAAGAATAACTTAATTAAAATAATTAACTAAATAAGAATTAATAGATAAACTCCTCTTTTTAATTATTATAGAGTATAAAGATATTAGATTTATATTATCTTTATTAAATCTACTATTATAGTTATTATTATTTTTATTAATCCTTATCTTTAGTTCTTTATTTAGCCCTTAAGTAGAATCTAATATATTTTTATTATAATTATAATTTAAATTATAAGTTTTTTTTTAAATAGCTTCTTTATAGTTATAAAAATGTAATTAGTCTTTAACCCTCTACTATATAAAGTTCTATTAGGTTTTTTTTTTTAGCTTTTATAGAACTACTATAGTTTTAGTTTAGTATTATACTAAGTAGTATCTAATCTCTAGTAAAGAGTTATATACTTTAGTAAGTATAATAAGAAGGATTAAACTAAAGACTTTTAAGAGACTATAGGGGACTCTATCTAGCCTTAGTATATTCTAAGTAGTATAGGTATTAAAGGTATTATTAACCTCCTTTAGTATTATTTCTATAAGGATTTCTATAGTATTCTACTTATAGTTAAGTTTACTTTATACTTTAGTTAGTTTAGTAGTAGTCTTTATCTTTATGAATTTTAAAAAGAACTTTTTAATTAGTATATTAACTTTCTCTTTTTTTATTTAAACTAATACTCTATATTTAGACTAGTCTAATATTAGGATTATATTAATAATATAGTTTATTATATTCTATTTAGTCTGTTTAAACTATTTAAACTATTTTTAAAATAATAATATAAAATAGTATTTATTTTATTTACTTTTAAGTATTATTAGTAGAGAAATTATAATTAGAAGATATAGTAATAATATTAATGTTTAGACGCATTAAGTACTAGTTTAGGAATCGATCGAAACTTTTATCGACCCACTGTACATACATACATAGGTGGTTCCTTCTCCATCCTGGTCAGCTGCGGCTGCGGCGGCGGGTGGTGGGTTTCATGCCGTCGGACATTATGGGACCATTTTCCGTAGTATTAGTAGAGCCACACGGGGCGATCCGCCCCCAGGCTTATCGAGGGAGGCACAAACAATCAAGTCTGTCATCGGAAATGATCAATATTGCTGATCAAATACGCGAAAAGTCGTTGCTGATCTACGCACTCAAGACACCTGAGCGCCAAGTCATCGATACGTTTACTGCTCAAGCCATGCAAACATCAGCCACATCATGACCACACACAATCAAGGAACGCATAGGGGGTTACAAGTACAAAAACATTCGAATTTTTTTAACCCTGGACTGCTCAGTCCACCCTGGTTGTCTGTCTATCACGGGGGCATAGCCCATGTACAAAGAAAGTCCCATGTACATACGTTCGGCCTCCTATATCAAGAGGCCTTTCTTTGCCTTGGCAATCCGTTCGTTCCCTTTGTCTCTCGGCCAAGTCAAAAACCTTTCATGCCCCATGTCCTCATGACTGTCTGTCAAAGAGCAATGCCGCACATTACCATGCCATCCCAACCGAAATCCATCGAACTCTTGCCGTCGAGATGCCCTCCTTGATGCTCTTTGATATTGAAACACAGAAAACCAATGTTGACCGCTCCAGTCTAATGCTCATCGCTCTGTAAAAAAACATAAAAATCCTTTTCCACGGCCCCCTTTCTTGTGCCGTGGTCGAGCGTCAAGCACATGCTGACCGGAAGAAAACCGAGTAATCCACTTTGTCTATAAAGCACGACGAGAACATGACCTCTCGTATGAAAATGAGGAAATCAAAAACCATATTTCCTCAGGGGTATTTCCCAACGTAGAAAGCAAAAATAAGCAAATCGTAGTGCCGCGAAATATGAATCCGGTCTGTCTCTGCCAGATTCTGTCGCACCACGCTCTGCCGGCGTGTCCTTGTTCAAATTCCTCACGTCTCCGTCTATGGGTATCAAGCGAGGAGGAAGTTGAAACCAAACAAATGCAATCTATCACACACGTGTTGTGAAATGCCCCGGGACCATAACCCGAGCGCTGTCGATGAGTGAAACACTGCCACCCGAAAACGCAGGTCATGATGCCGCCGTGTCGCCAGAAATATCAATGCAATAGCGTCCAAAGGGTCGTAAAAGTAAAACAGTTCGCATAAAAGAAGTCGACACACAATAAATATCAAACCAGACTGCTGCTGTGTTGCGTTGGCGCAGTCCGAACGAGCAAGTGACAGAAAAACTGTCTAGTGGAGAAGCTGCGAGACTTCTCTGGCCACAGCTCCCCATTTGGGAGCTTGATGGCGCAAAACCGGTGATGGCATGAATTACCACCAGGACTGGTTGCCAGGGCCGCTGGGGTTGCCGTAACTGCCGCCGCCGTAGCCACCAGCACCACCAGCACCACCACCACTACCGTAGTTGTTGCTACCTCCATAGCCACCGCCGCCGTAACCGCCCTGGCCACCGCCGAAGCTGCCGCCGCCTTGGTTACCTCCGAAGCCGCCGCCGCCGCCGCCACCACCGCCAAACTTGCGGTAGTCACGGTTAGCAGCACCACGGCCGCCGCCGCCGCCGCCGCCACGAGAACGACCGCCACGACCGCCACCAAAGGATGACTCGCGGGCAATGGCCTCGAGGAAAGAGGGGACCTCTTGGTTGGCCTCCTTGAGGAGATCCATGAGCTCACGGACAACACCACGGTTGCCACGGTTGAAGAAGGCAGTGGCAATACCAGTGTTGCCAGCACGACCAGTACGACCGATACGGTGAACGTAGTCGTCAATGTCCGTGGGCAGATCATAGTTGATGACGTGAGTGACATTGGGAATATCGAGACCACGGGCGGCAACTGCGGTAGCGACCATGATGGGGCACCGGCCGTTACGGAAAAACTCGAGGGCACGCTCACGCTCCCGCTGGGTGCGGTCGCCGTGAATAGAGGTGGCGGGGAAGCTCTGGTTGATGAGGAAGTCGGAGAGCGAATCGGCCATGCGCTTGGTCTCAACGAAGATGAGGGTCAGGCCACCAGCATGGGTGTGGAGAATATCGAGGAGAACGGAGCGCTTGTCGACATCCTCAACGTACTCGACCTTTTGAGTAATGTTCTCCGAGGTGGAACCAACGCGACCAACGGAAAGGAAGACGTAGTCCTTGAGGAAATCGCGGGCGAGCATCTGGATGTCACGGGGGAAGGTGGCCGAGAACATGAGAGTCTGGCGCTCGTTGACGGTGGGCATATCCTCACCCTCAACAATGCGGCGAATCTGGGGCTCGAAACCCATATCCAGCATGCGATCAGCCTCATCCAGAACAAGGTACTTAATGTTGCACAGAGAGATGCGGCCACGCTCAATGAGATCGACAAGACGACCAGGGGTGGCGACGAGCAGATCGCAACCACGCTCAATTTGACGGAGCTGAGAACCAATATCGGCACCGCCATAAACGACGCAAGGACGAACCCAAGAGCGGTAGGCGAACTTGCGAGACTCGTCGTAGATCTGAGACACCAGCTCTCGTGTGGGAGCCAGGATAAGGGCAGTAGGGTAGGCCTTGCGTTGGCGGCCGAACTGACCAGGAGCACCGCCAGGGATGGGAGAAGGCCCATTGATGAAGGACTGAGCGAGAATGGGGAAAAGGAAACCACCAGTCTTGCCGGAACCAGTCTGAGCGCAGGCCATCAGATCACGACCACCCATGACAATGGGGATGGAGTACTTCTGGACGGGGGTGGGAATCTTGTAGCGGGCAAGCTCGATGTTGCGGCACAGATGCTCCTCTAGAGGGGGAGAGGTGAACTGGTGGACGGGTTCCGGGACATCATGGCCGGAGGCCTCGACAGGAATGTCGTCGTACTTCTCGAAGTTGATACCGGTGTGCTGCTTCGAAGGGTCATCGGCAGTACCAAAGAGTTCCCGCTCGACGCGGGGGTTGGCAGGGCCTGGGACGTGCTTGCCATCGCGCCACTGGCCATCACCGGAGCCGCGGGTGGCATAACCACCTCCGTGGCCGCCGCCATGGCCACCCTCGTGGCCGCCGCCACCGCCAGAGTAACCACCACGGCCACCCCAGCCGCCACGTCGGTTGTTACCCTGGTAGCCGCCGCCTTCGCCGCCGAAGTTTCTACCACCGCCATAGCCGCCCTGGTTTCTATAAGGGGTTAGTAAATATGGTTGGGATAAGGTTGATTGTAGAGGCTCAACGTACCCAGACCAGGAACCGCCGCCGTTGGTGGCAGCAGGAGCAGGAGGAGCGCCGTTTGCTGCCGCAGCAGGGGGAGGGGCAGCGCTGGGGGCAGCGCTGGGGGCAGCGCTGGGGGGGGGAGCACGGCCACGAAGGTGAGGAGGAATGTAGGAGCGCTGCTGGGCAGCAGACTGCTGGCTATCGGCAATGCTGAGGCCGTTCATGTTGAGTTGGTCCGCCATATTCACGTATGGAATCGACAGGATTTGTTGAATGGGTCGGATCGGGTTTCAAGTTGACGTCGGATAGAATTCGGACTGTATTACCCTCGGATTTCAAAGAGAGTAATTAGAGCAAGTATTGCCAACAGGAGAGACAGGAAAGAGATGTAAAAAGGATTCGCAAGGGAAAGAAAACGGAAGTCGCCCCGTTTAGTGTCCCGCGTAAAAAGTTGATTATTCAGGGCAGCACTCTCAGAAACAAGTGCCAGCTGCTTTCCTCAAAAGAAACACAATATCTTCAAAGGAGAGACCAAAGAAAAACCGGAGAGTGTTGAGGAAGGAAAGAGAATGATGAGAGGAGAGGAGATGTTTTTTTGGATTTGGGAGGGGGGTGGAAGGTGAAGAAGGGGTTTGGGTTTTGTGTGAGGGAAGAAAAGGGACGGGCAAGTCAAGTTTATTATGGAGGCGAAAAGAATGGGCCGGGGCGAGGAAAAAAAAAATCTCGGGGCCAAGCGCGTCCAAAAGTAGTTTAGCGGGGCGCCAGAGGCAGCAGGCTACGCAGGCAGTGAGAGACTTGGGGTGCTTTGGTACTTGTAATTTTCGCTGCCAAAAAAAATGAAAGGCAGGCAAATGGCCAAAAAAAGGTTTTAGTGGGGCTCAGCCAGCAAGCCGTTCGGCCGGTCCGGTCATTCAGCCAGCAATCAGGACTACCCAGTGGTATTCTTATGTGGTTGGATTATGATGATGTCAAGCTGGGGGAGGCGAGGAGACAGGCAGATGATGTGGCTTGTATTTCCATTTGGTGCAGTCCGTATGTTGAGAAACTTCACAGCTGGGGATCAGAAGACTGCAAGATCAACCCCAAAAAAAGGGCAGAAAATAATAGAGAAAAGAATTTTAGAGATACACGATATGACTCATTTCACCACAAATGCATCGCCCTCAAGAAATTTACTCCTTAACATTACCAAATACTACTACCCATATTATCCGATTTCTAATCTTAGCCTTGTGTACTCGTCACCCCAGATTCTCACTTCTCAGCTCAGGCCGCGGTGCCGCATGTCCAGCTTAGTCTCCGTCCAGGCTACCCGAACACAATCGTTCGCGCCGTTCATTACCATGTCATGGTGTACAATGGGCAGTAGCAGAGGCATACAAGAAAAGGAAACAGGGTAAAAAAAACATCGATTTCTTTTAAGCAGAGGGCACCCATAAATACTATTTCAAGAAAACTCCCTGCCATAAGGACTGTAACACTCACTGCGGTGGCACACGGCCCAGCGTTGTCAAAAGTAACACAGGCTTCCGGATAAGGCTTTTGCACGACATTGGCATGGCAGACTACTCAGGAGGCGCACTTTGTCCATCGCATTTCATATTTCTACCCGTGACTAGGATTCAGATTCACGACAGCCCGGCTTAGAGGGGAGGAAGAGAGAAAACACGCAGACAAGTAGAAAAAAACCCCAGAAACGATAAAAGACAAGCAAGAGTGGTGAAAAACCACCATAAACTTGAGTATTAGGAACACAAGGACCATGTGACAGCCGCAAGACTGCGCTGTGCTATGTACATGGGGAGGTGGTACTCGCTGAGCATCTCTGGCCACCCCAGGAACGAGGAGGATATTGGGTTCTCCAATGCCCCCAGGCTACTTCTTACCGGAATATATACTCAGAGCTGATGCCATAAAGTATCGTATTTCCCACGAGCCCGGGCGATTTGAACTCAGCTTTGAGCTAGGTTATGGTCTTTCTGACCCTCCTCTAGCCGGACACTGCCACAGATCTGAGGCCCTTGGCAAAATCGCAGAAGCCTTAGCCAAGCACGTAAGGGCTCCAATAAAAGTGAGCCACGCTCCTCGAGCGAGTGGGAATATGATTCTCGGATGGTGCCGATGCCGTTGAGCTGTCTGATGTCGCTCTCGAGGAGCTGGTCACCTCATAGTCTCACCGCGAACTGTGCCGCAAGTGCGACGCTTGAAAATTCATCGCATGTAGTCTTCGAGTGTTAGAAAGTAGTCATTCTTGGGTTTGTTCCGTGAGCCGTATTTTGTTGGCTCTTTGACCCCTCCATGCCGGGTGTCAGGGTTCGTGTCCTTGGCCGTTGATACCACCAGGGCCCGGCCCGCTTCTCGTATCACTTCTTCCTGCCCGGGAAAGTCAAAGACCTGAGTATAAATTCATTCGTATCTGGAGTACCGTGACCTTGGCAACTGTCAGCTCTCGGGAGCAAGCTGAAAAGTCTGCTCAATTCGTTGTGGCCAACGTCCCTAGTCTGACGTCGGGACGGGGACCGCTCTTGAGCAACCAGCCTCCGTCAAATCCACCAGAGTCTCCGGGATGTTTTTCTGGCGCAAGGCGACGTCGTTGCAACTCTCTCGAGGAGCAGTGCGGCGAGGTCGAACTTGTACTTGGAGTCTTGAATGCTGCGTGATAATCGAGTGCTGGGCTGGCTTGAAAACGAGGGAGTGTTTGCGGCGATAGCGGATTAAATAACACACAGAAACAGCGCCTTTCGAAGAGCTGCGGCGAGCGTGCTTTCAGTTCTGCAGAGATGACAACGCAGGGCTTGTGTTGTGCGGTGTCGAGAGGTGTGAAGAGCACATAAGGATGTCTGGCAGATGTGGTGGTACGACAGGGTGGGTTAGTGGACCTGAAACACGTCCTGACACCCAAGTCCACTGCTCTTGGAAGTACGCAAATGCACGCTGCACCGAGTCGTTCTGCTTTTCAGGCCTCCTTTCTCTTTCTTAATACCCCGCAGTATCAACGTGAATGGCCTTGCATGCTCCTTGCTCCCTCGGCGATGGCAACGACAAGGTCAAAGCCCAAGGGCGAGGATCAACGGAATAACTTCTGGCGTCCCCACGAATAAATTTCTTGCCGTGTCTAGATCCGGTGTCGGGCGCGATCCTTCCCCGGACTTGACAAGCCATCCACCCCTCGTCTGTTCGCTTGCCGCGAACCCGCAGTACATACCTGAGTTGTATGGCGCCATCAATGCGGCACATTAGAGGAGCGGGGAGGCGAGATAATGGGGTCGCCCAGCCTTGCCGGCATAATAAATAATTGTTGGGATCTTCCTCGGGCGGCGCTTCGCTTGCGCTTGCTGCAAAAAAGCCGGGGACCATGGCCGCGCGATGACGACGGCATCTTCGCCGGCGACGATACGGCGACGACTGATAAGTTCGCTTTTGCATCCAGGCAGACAAAGGGAGGCGTGGATGAAACCTTCTCTGTGCTTTCAGCGCTTGCTCTGGAGAGTCTGCAGACTCCTGAATGGTGGCGGTCGCTGTAGTGCTGCTGTGCTTCCCCGGCAGCGGGATTCATGCCGGTGGTCCCATCTGCTCCAGGCTCCGGGCTCTTCGAACAGATTGGCCGTAGCGACTGCTCCTCGATCGACAAGGTAGCCGGAATGACGAAATTCGCGGAACCCGTGCAAATTGGGCAGTAGCCCGGTCGCATCCCATTGCCCCATGATCGGAGGGCAGCAGAGGGCACGTCGCCAGCCCAGCACCGCCGGCATCGACCGCGTGACAATCCCCCTTCCTTCCTCATTTGCAGCTTGCTTCTCCGCCATGTTAAATTAGCGGCACGGCCACGCAGGCAAACGTAGAGGGCATTGTAGGGCGAGAATGCTGGGGTCGGGACGATGATGCAGACACCTTCTGCCAACGGGCGCCGCACATAGGATATCGGTATCACTGACCTCACCAGGTTACCGCGGCTGGCTGGCCGGGCCGCTGACATTGCCTTTTGGTCTGCCTTGCCCATTAAGGAGTATTCCGGCCGCGGGAGTGACGGTCATAGTCTTCATATAGTCGAGGAAACGTAGACGATGTGGTGTCGGGCACGGTTGCTGCTGGTGTGTTTGCTGTTTTGACCGGCGTTGCATTCGGTGGTGAGCGTTGCGTGTCTATCCTGAACATGAGGGCAGGCCAAAACGGCACCGGGTTCCATCCGGCTAGCTATCATGACCATGATAATCACTTGTTAGAGCCCTAGGGTACAGCATTATCATCGTGATGTGCAGTTGCGGAAGTGGTTGTTGGAGAGAAAAATTGATGGAGGTGCGATCTGGTTGCCGTGGTTGGGGATGGCGTCCGGGCGTCCTTCTACGACAAGTCAATCTGTACGCTTCTTTTTCGAGGTCGTTGCGGCATGACCTGCGTACGGCGGTCGAGAAGGCAAAATGGCTTAAATGGAATTTTTGGGTCGCACTTACTACAGTCACCCACCATTTTACGCAGGGAGACACCCACAACTCCCCGATAGAGTGATATGTAGTTTCCCGGACGAAGTGCACGAAGGTTATCGTTTAAGTATATAAGTATACCACCCTCCCGGGTGTATATAGTGGGAAAAAATGGGGCAAAGCAGTGCATTCGACCCAAAAAATCCATTTGAGCAATTTTGCCTTCTCGACCACCGTACTGTCGAGCAAAGTCAGCCTAAGTTTCATGGCTAAAAAGCTTTTTGTCATTGAATTGAACAGGGTTTGTTGTTGCATAGGGCCAATAGAGGGCTCTTATTGGCTAGAAGAGAGATCGGAACCATTTTTCTCTATATCTATAGGGCCTCTGAGCCAAGCAGAGTTGATAGCTTCAATTAAGCGAAATCAACCCACCTATGCATGCACATCAACCCCTTGTGATACCAACAGGGTCTTATTATTAGCTTGGCAGCAGCTGTCAGTTGTCAGTTGTCCTGGTTGTCCTGGCTCCTCCAGACAGCCTCCGCAACCCAGCCACACGAACAAAGTGAACCCCCTGAACACACTGTAATTTGCTTGCTTCTATTCCGTATTCCTTACACAACTAGTTACTCATTCACTAATACGACATTGTGACAGTTTGGGCCCCATAGATTAAGCCGCGGATTCCGATGCTGCGCCCTCCCTTTACTTTTGCGACAGTGACACGCGGGCTTAGCGGGGTCGGCGGTGCGACCTGTTGGACTCGGTATGTTACTCGGTCGAAGAGCAATGCCAAGTTTGGGATCGAGACAATAAGTTACGGGAGTTGTGCAAGTTAGGCTTCTGAAGTCACGCTGAGGGGGACATGCTATATCTCAGCCGTTGCCAGTACTGACAAGGAAGAGCGAGTTAGAACCCTTGTTACCGAACAACGGCTCATAACTATGTAGTTGCATAGATAATGCACGGGAATACAAGACTTTTGTCCGACACGTTATGGGTGCAAGTAGACGTGTGTCGGCGACTGCTGTCTGTTGGTGAGTGCTACAGTCAATCTAGAGCTTGCAAGCCTAAAATTTTGATACGGAGTATGGATACAGATGCATAATAAAATCATTGGCCGACCCCGCCGCCCTTCCCATGTCCGTATCCTTGCCCCCTGCTCTGCCCTGCTATGTGCGCCTGTTGGCTATTCAACAGCCCTGTTCCTGGTTTCGTCTACTCCGTACCATAGTATAATAGCTATTCAATACGTAGACCTTGCCTTTGGATTCAAAGGAAACTTGTAAATGGTCACCAACTGATTCCTCACAACATCCTCCTCGAGTCACGCGAGCAGCCCTGAATTCGTAGTACCTGCCAAGCCGCCGAGTTGCTCTTGGTCCACCTACTCGGTCATGCTAGATCCCTGTCTCGACCTTGCCCAGGGTTTCCTCCCATCTGTAACTTACTACTGCGCGCAAAATAGTTATCATCTGCGGCTATCGCCGGCGACGTCCCGGCTTGGCTGCTGCCTTATTCGTGATCGGCATGGGAGCTACCACAAAGATTCAGTTTCATTATTACCAGTCTTATTCTGTGCCATGAGTAGACGATTAAGCCTATGCCGCCGGTAGCAGAAGCTTGGCCGCGTTGTGGATCTTACGATACGACACGACGACCTGCCTCGTACTGGTACAACCCTGACAATGTACACATATATATGGGTGGTAACAATGTCGAAATGAGACTCACAGGAAAAGTACAAATGTAGGCCCGGCAGTTATCTTGACAGACATGAACCCCTTACCGGTTGCTCCAGAACATGTTGGCTTGTTGTTGGGAATCAAATCAGGCAGGGGCACTGAATAATATCATTCGAGCTCAGTTTGGGTCCCACGGTAAGCAGAATCATGGAGCATTCAGGGTCTACGGCAACAAAATTAAGCTCATGCAGACTAGTGGGTGTCTTTGTGGACACTGGACAGGCTCTGCACGGCCAACTTGGGATGATCTGAGACCTGTTTTCAAGCCAACCACGTTTTCGTCGCTTCTCGCTCTACCTCGTCCCCGAGAACAACCCCTCAATTCGCCGGAAACCTGGAGAAGGATGTAAGTCCCGAGGAAATGATTCTATTTGCAACTAATGTCGGAATGCTCGCCGTGATCCCGGACAGGGTGGTTGTGGTCCGCCTGTAAGTGGCTCTAGATCCGCTGAACCCGAGCTCCTCTCGCCCTGCTTTTCTTGTCATGCGCCGTCCATGACAGATTCCAAAGAGGACGAGCCCCCATGAGTCGCATGTTGCTTGAGTCCTCGGGCCTTGAGACCAGGTGCTTGCCTTGACCGCAGGTTGCTGCCGACGCTATATCGGCCGTAGCCGCCTGGCTTGGCTGCCTTGTCAATATACCTTCTGGGCCCGGTACATGACTTGTGACGCGTTACAGAGATGGAGAGCTGATTCATGAAATATAGTGTCATGGTATGACGGCTCAGACTTTGCAAAGCACCAATACAGCCCTCAACAAATTCTCATGGGCAACGGCGAGAATATATAAAGACGGCGCTCGACAGCCTTTTGGAAAACTCATCATCAGCAGAACGAGCAACAGGAACACTTCTACAACAAAACAAAACTCACTCTTTTGTTAACAACCATCGATTTCTTCCGTCAAAATCATGTTCATCCAGAAGGCTTTTCTTGCTCTTGTTGGAGCGGCTGCGGCCGTCCACGCGCTTCCTGGCAACCTAGTCCGTGCTGGTATGGCCCTTTTCTCTTTTCTTGAAACCAAAGCTCCCCGAACAACTGCTAACAACCTACCAGACGTGACCTCTGACCAGGCCGGACTTTACCGGTTCGAGCAGGTGACCAAGCACATCGCGTCCGGCGACGTCCTCTACCGCTCCTCCGCGCCCAACTACCGCTACAGCGACGACGCGACCCAGAACGTGACGGCCGAGACCGTCGCCTTCTTCCAGCAGAAGGGAATCACCCACGTCATCAGCCTCAACCACCACGCCAACGACCCGATCATCACCGCCGCCCTCAAGGACGCCGGCATCGCCTACACGCCGCTGCAGGTCGCCGACTTCACCGCCCCGACCATCGACGACTTCAAGAAGGGCTTCCAGAGCTTCACGCAGCACCGTCGGGCCACGCTCGTCTGGTGCGGCTTCGGCCATGGCCGCACCGGCACCATGGTCAGCGCGCTGCAGATCCAGGCGCAGGCCGAGCGCGGCGAGGTCAGCGCCATGACCGCCCAGGACTACGACGACAACAACGTCGAGACCCCCAAGCAGAGGGAGGTTCTCAACAAGCTCCAGAAGGAAGTCAACGACAAGATCGCCGCCGCCTCGCCCACCTCCACCGCCGCCGCCGCGCCTACCGCTTCGGCGCCTCCTGCTAAGCCGCTCGGCCCCAAGGAGATGGAGAACCAGCTCTGCTCGACCGCGGGTGGCAAGCAGAACAAGTACGAGATGGAGGAGAGCGACTGCCGCATCCAGGTCGCCCAGTGCGTCTTCGAGGTCACCAAGACCAACCCCAAGGCCGGCTGGGACTCCATCCTGTCCTGCATGGACAGCAAGTTTCTGCCCGTCGTCAAGGGCGCCTCCGCCCCCATCTGGGCTTAGAGGCAAGGACACGCTTTATCTCGCCGATGCAAAAAGAGTGTAGGGGATAGCTTGTTGAGTATTGTTTGTATCAAGGCGCGATGACCTATCAACCAGTTGCATAGAAGTTTGTGTTGGGCGTGGCTGTCAAGTAGCTCTATCTAGCCCATAGCTCGTCGATACTCTTTACTCGAGAAAATCAAGCATTTCCTATCACTTCCAATATTGTAAGCTTCAAATTTTAGTGTTGTGTGTTGGTCATATCGAGCTTAGCACACTGATGGTCGGCTTAGTATTCTCCTCACAGCCTAGTCCGCCGTAGCCATGTCTCGAGAACTCGCTTGTCTACTTGTCCCCTGTCGGATCCACACCATTGACCGAGCCAGACCAAGGGGTCAGCTCTCTGTCGGAGAAGGCAAGTCATGGACAAAATCATGAACAGTTTCCGGCTGATGAAACAATCCGTTGCTAGTTAGCGCGATGACTCGGGACCTCCGTGTTCCGCGCGCTAGTACATGAAGCGGTTCACGCGACCCCCTGATGCCGCCTCGAAAAAGTAAAAATAATATAAAATATCTACTGACCTTCAACTCGTGGCGACGTACAAGACTGCATCGCAGCGGGCTCATCTCTTCGAAAGTGAGGCCAGGCTGAGCCGCGAGGTGCCCATCATGCTCTGCTCTAATCGCGCAGAAGGCTTCGTACGTTCCAACTGGCTTGCCCGTGTGAAGAAGAAGAAGGAAGCACACAGACTGACCACCAGCCTAGAGCGCGCATTCATCTCTGCCCTCGCCAATTCCGACGTCATGCTTCGTCGACGTCATCCTGGTGCCGCTGCCCGTCTGGGTCGCCCTCATCGCGCTCGCCGCGCTGCTTCTGCTGCACCTCTTCGCCCCCGGGCTCGCCACCGGGCCTCGCGCGCGCCGGCCGTTTTCATGGCCGTACCGGATCACCGCCGGCATCTACTACGTCCTCATCCTGTGCAACGTCCTGATGCAGACGCTCGAGATCGTGCGGCTGTCGCTGATCCGCTTCGGCATCGGCCTGCTGCCGTTCGCCTACATCGGGCTGCTCCTGGGCGCCGCGCTGCACTGGTCTGGAGGGCTGGCGGGCAGGGTCCCCGCGTGGCTGCTCGTCAACATGGCGGTGTGGCTTGGTGGCATGATCGTGGCCGTGGTCAAGGCGGTCGGGCTGGATAGGGAGGGTGACCCGCGCAGGGGCTCCAAATATCCGATGAGCGACCAGGTCCTAGACGTTGCGGTGATGGCCGGGGTGTACGGGGTGATTGCCGTCCTCGAGCTGGTAACAGGACTGTGGCGGCGGCGGCAAAATCGCCCGCTGTACAAGTGAGAAAGGTATTGTCAATCCAAAAGCCAGACGACTGAAATACTTTATGCAAATGCAATTTCCAATGCTCTAATCAGTGGCGACGCCGTCTCTATGTATATAGTCACTCATGTACACGTCTATTCTCCCCCTCCCTCACTTGCGCCCGCGCGGCTTCACCGGTGTGACGAAGCGCCTCCCATGCCCGTCGTGCCCGCCGTGCTCATCGGCTAGGATGGCCGGCGGCGGGAGGTCGTAGCCCATGCTCTCCACGTACTCGGCGATGCGGTCAAAGTCGCGGCACTTGTGGTGCGTGTTGAAGTCGGCCTTGCGGTCAAACTCCGGGTCGTCGTAGTGCTCGTTGAGCACGGGCGTGATGTCGGCGTAGCACATGAGCGACAGCCGCAGCGCCTCGATGCAGTGGTCGACGTGCATCCGACCGAGCACTGGGTTGTCCCAGAGGAAGTTGGGGTACAGGTCGCCCCAGTCCTTGGAGAACTGCTGGATGGGCCAGCTGTGTTGGCGGATGAGGTTCTACACGGGGAAAGGTTAGTGCCACCTTCGGCAAAGTGAGTCGTCATCGTGGTGCGTTCGTACAAGGCAGTGGAGCTGGTGGAATACTTCGGCAATGGCTCCGTAGGTAGGCTCCTCGGGGTCGCTGCCGATGACTTCGTAGTATAGGTCCGGGTTGCTCCTGTTCAGTGCGTATATGCCCTCTCTGCTGACGGGCATTGCGTGGTCTAGATCAGACGTCTTTGGTTAGAGGTCTAATCGGAAAGGGAACCGGGTAGCAGAGCACATACGGTACCACAGCGAGTTCCAAGCCGTCTCTCGCTCGAGGGTCGGAGGCCCTCTGTATATCGACGAGTGGTTAAAATAGTTGACCAAGTCGCCCTCTGTGTGTTCGACCGCTGGCCATAGTGACGCTGCCAAAGATCCAAATGTCAGCAAACTTCCATACTATTTTCCAAAGAAAGAAGAGAGCCCCAATATCCCTCTCTCATCTCCAACGTACACCAAGGTGACAGCATCTTGTCGCACTCGAGCATCGACGGTCGCCGGACCACCGCGGCGCTCATGAGCGCAAACAGCGAGACGACGAGGGTCACGATGCCCGCGTACATGAAGCGCTTCGCGCGCCGCTCGAGCTTCTCCGCCGCCTGGAGGCGCAGAATCGACGCAGCGTGTTCGTCGCCGGCGCCGGCCTCGTCGCCGCCGTTGTCGACGAGCGGCTCATACTTGCGGGCCCCCTGGGCCATGGTTGTTGTCGTTGCGGGCTCGGCCGCCTAGTCTGTGCGGAGTTCTTGCTCTCAGTCGATGAGGGAGTGCTGGTATTCTTGAGAACCGGAGCTTGTGGGCGTTCCGTTATCGTCGCCGTCGTTGTTGTCGTCTTCGGCTTGGAGCTGTCGCTGGTTGGGCTATGGTGCCATTTTGCGACGACGTTGAATCCCGCAGTTAGCGGGCTTGGTTCTGTGTCGGCACTTGAGTGCGAGGTGGGCATATGCGCACTGTGCAGTCCCAGTTAAGATAGCACTAGCTCTACAGTAATCAAACTTGATGGCACTGTATTAGGTGTCAATATTACAGACGTCGCGGCTCGAACAAGGAAAAGGATGTAGATATGCCCACTAATTTTTTTTCGGACAATCTGAGCCAACCTACCAAGCCCCCCTCTCCCAGCCTTGGTCGGTGCTTGAAAAGCCTCGGAGATGTCTTTTATCGTTCGGACGGCACGATCGTGCCCAGGCGGGGAGAGGGCGCGGAGCTCGATTTCCCCTGATTGTTCATCTGCGAAGGCATGAGAAGCCCGGAGACTGTCATGCGAGTAAATTAGTGAGTTCGCTTATTAGGGTCAAAAAGACACAAAAAATGCAACCCCAAATGTGTCGGGGGGAGATCCCGATCCGTCCGCCCCGCCGAGTAACCGGTAGCCGTGTCTCAGACGACGCCGGCAGACCGGACCGGCTCCGGAGTTGCTCTGTGTCACGTCGCAAGGGTGTCACAAGCGTGGCTTCACTTATTTTAGCTGCGCAGCCTCGTCACTCGCACACGGAGCATGCGGCGAGACATTTCCTTTTTCTTTTTTCTTTTCTTTTCTCGCTTTTTTGATGCAAAAGAGCGAAACTAATCTATGCTGGCTAGTCTGTTCAAGGGGAAAGGCGAAATAACGGCATCTCGCCCCGTCTTCTCCGCCAGATGTTTGTTGAACGATAAAGCCCCCAGCAGCCGGCAATAGCCCACGCCCACGACCTCGGGAATGCCTCGGTGACCTCCCACCCGTCGGGATCCCAAGGATCACGCCAGACCAACAGACCGGGACTTTGACCCGGAATGCGGCCGCGGAGGACATGGCAGAGCTCCTCTTCGTCAAAGTTGTCCAATCCTTTCCGGAAGAGATTGTCTCGCATCTCAGGTATCGGGAGTAAATCTATCCAAGGATGATGCATTGTCGTGATTTGGAGCTCGGTCGATTGAAGGCCCGGCGGCAGATGTGCGCTGGAAGCTGCGACATGTTCATTGAAAGGTGATAGTGCATCATCATCTAACTGCTCTTGGGATAGGCCTAGAACTTTGATGTTCCCCTGTAGGGCTTTGATGAAGTTATATTGGGCTAAACTTGGTAAGATGGTGAGCTGAGGAGCGTGAGCCCTATGGAGTCGCCGGACAAGGGTCTCAAAGCGTCGAGCAACTGTCTGACTTTGCTCCGACGTAGTATCAAGGATGTGAATACTTCTAACGGAATCGATGACGTCTCCCATGTCGTGGCTTGAGGGGTCACTCGAACTCTTTGGAATTGGAGCGCTCGATATGGCTAGGGAGGATGATTCAGGGGTCTCGTGGGTTGTCCTTCTTCGCCTCCTTGACCCTGGTCCGGCAGGTTAGCGAGGTACAGTTCCAAAATAAAGTGAAGCAATCAGGGGCGACGAACTGTGTAATCTTTGGTTGAGGCGGTTCTGAATTCTCCTCCTTTCGCCTGCGGCAGATATGCCTGACCAATCGTCTGCTAAGCCAATCCAGGCGTTGTCCCAAATGGCCGCTCGGGAGTCATGGCTGAATGAAGGATCCATGCCGGATGCTAAAGCGGCACTGTGTTCTCTCCAGTCCTGCCGCTTGAGGTAAATGCGAAGTACCTGCAGGATTTATTGACAGAATGCAGGGTGATGACAGTGGCATGGTGGCTTGGAAGTGCGATCAGCCAATTTAAACTTGGCAGAATCCAAAGCGGCCCATCTTGTACGCGCGCCCCCTCGATCAAGTAGATTGAGTAGGTCTTCTCGTGAGTCCCACAATTAGAAAGATGGCATAGATAGAGTATCCGGCGCTATTGCTAAGATATGCGAGGTAGCGATGAGGCGAAGGGTGTCGTAGGGGGCTATGTAGTTGGTCGGTTCGCCGTTACGGGTGGCTCTGGTAGGCGGCTTTGGGTGCTTAGGCCGCTGAGCCAGAGTGTTGGTTGATCAGGGGGCTCATGGTACCTAAGTCCGTGGCTAATAAGCCAATGCAGTGGTCGGTTATCTGCTCTAACTCCGAGGCTGGTCCCACATACAGAGGGATACTAGACAACTATGGTGTGTGAACTGACTCGTCGCAAAAATATGCTTAATAGAGCTGGGATGCGGGTTTTGCTCATGCTCGTCAAGAGTAAACAGATGGCGTCAGGGGGAGCCCAAACCATGCTAATAATACATAGGGTAACTTAGCTGGACAAGTTGCTAATCTCCGTCTCATGCACCTGTCAGCAACCTGCATTAACGCCGACGAATAGCGCGTCTTTCGGACAGACCTAATAACTAATAAATGTCTAACTTATAGGCGCTGAACTTGGTGGAGCTCAATTCGAACCTCACCCGTAAAGTTATCCACTTCCACTCAAACGGCGTTTGAATCATGATAGACGTCGACGAGTGAAAGTTTCCGCTACACTGCCACACCAGTGCAATTAGCGCAAGCCTCAACAACGCTTCTTCCAACCATTGCATGTTCCTCTTGGTCAGCAGCTCGTCAAAATGACATAACATGGCCCTTTATGGATGGTCGGGACTATCGAGGGTTGCAAGTATAAAAGCCGGGTCGATGCCGACCTATACGTTAAGGCGATACCACCTCAACAATCACTTCTTCTCGAAGCCATCGCTAAAAGCTATTACTAACGATAATAATCATATCATCACGCTATTTCAACCATGGTTCAAACGTTGGACTTTAGCGGTAGCCCAGTTTCTGTTCCAGGCTTCGGCGCTATGGGACTGAACTCAGCGATGGGGACTGACCTCGCGCTTGAGCAGGCCGAGCCGGTCCTTCTGAAAGCGATTCAGCTGGGATGCACATTTTGGGATACCGCTGTAAGTACAGCCTAAATTATAACAGCTTAGCCGTTTTCTGACTTCTCGCGATTTCAGGTTGCGTATAAGAATGGAGACAACGAAAAGCTGCTTGGAGATTTCATCCGTAAACACCAAGTTCGCGACTCACTCTTTGGTATGCCTCATACCTGGACTGGCAATAATCATGTCTATACCACTAATACACATCACCTATAGTGGCATCCAAGTGCGGCTTCGATGTTTTTGGAGCTGAGCGAAAGATAACAAACTCAGCCGCCCATATTCGTGAATACATCGATGGGACGATCGATAGACTCGGTTTCACCCCTGATCTCTATTATCTCCATAGGATCGATCCTAGTAAGCTTCAAAATTGCTCTTCATCCTCGTACCTATTCTAATTCACTCTCTAGGAACTCCACTTGAGGAATCCATTGGTGCGCTCGACGAGCTCCGCCGCGCTGGGAAGACTAAATACATTGGATTATCAGAGTGCTCTGCCGCGACCTTGCGCAAAGCGCATTCCAGTCAGTCTTATATTAGCCATGCATGAAGATACTACTAACATGTACAAGTTGCTAGAATTGATGCTGTTCAAGCCGAGTACTCGGCCTTCGAGACAATACATGAAACGGACGGTCTTATTGAGACGGCCAGAGAGCTTGGAATTGCATTCGTAGCTTTCAGTCCGTTAGGGCATGGCTGGCTCGTCGATGATTTCAAGTACGAGTCCCCGGATGACTTTGCAGTTGATGATTTCCGACGCACCGGTATGTTCCTGTCACCACATTCTCAGCTTACTTACAGAGGCTAAGAGACCATCACCTACAGTACCCAAGTTTCAAGGCGAAAACTTCTACAAGAACAAGGCCATTGTCACCGAGATCAAAAAGCTAGCGACGCGCAAGGGGTGCACGGTGGCCCAGATTGCGTTGGCATGGGTTGCTACGCAAGGCTTCATCAGCATTCCAGGCACAACACGTGCTACGCGGTTGGAAGAAAATTGGGGGTCTCGAAGGGTCGAACTTACCGAGGACGAGCTGGCTGAGATGCGAAAGATAGTGGATGATGCGAAACCGGTTGGCGAGAGATTCTCTCCACTGTTTCAGTCAATGGTTGGTCATTGAATTACGCGTGTGAAGGCGTATTCACTCGACAGGGTTGAGCATGATCAGAGCTTTTCGTATTAGAGTGTTACAATAAAACTCCCAACTATCCTTGGACAAATACTGAAATGCTACATGATATTTACCCATTCTTAGCTTCTGTTGACCAGAGTCATCTAGGCACATCCAGAACGGATGAACGTTCTACTGAACCATCATGTATAGGCACATCATGTAGTAGGTACAGATAACTTCAATTCCTGGGCCTGGTTCTATCACATACTCTATGAAAAAGTTTTATTTACTTGCAAAAATGCCCCCCCACAGTGTGCTGTCAAGAATTGTCCTCCGCAGCCCAAGTCAATATTGAGTTGCTCTGCCGTAGCGGGATGCGCATCAACTAACTCAGTTTAAAGAAGCCACTCCACAAACCCTCCGATGTGAAAACACCACCGGGGTCGACATCTTTCTGGATCTTGAGTAGCCTTTGATGATTCTTCTTGCCATAGCTGGCAAAAGGATCTTGTCCTTTATTGGCGTAATTGAGGTAAATGAACGGATGGAACACCTTGGCGTGCTCTGCAGCTTGGCGGAAGTCTGCGATGAACTGGTCGGCATAGTCGTACGCTTCTTGATCGAGAGCACGATTGTTCCAGCTCAGTGCAAGCAAATTGACTTGTGATATGGTTAGTCTGCCTGCGCGTAATAGTAGAAATAGCTGTGGGATTTTCGAAATGAGCGTGGCTTACCAACCAAGTGTCCTTGGACGTTGCCAAGGCCTAGAGCATTGCCTCCCCTAATCTTGGACCTCTCGATGGCTGCTGTGGGAATCGAATACGTGATCAGCTGGGGATTCAAGCAGGTCAAATTCTTTCGCTGGGTGAGGTCCTTCAGGATGAGAAGGCCTTGTTCACCAACAAGAGTGGATGGATAATGGGTCAAGGTCGCGAATAAGTTTCTGTGATGCGTGTCAGCGTGGAAGATCAATGAGGCGGAGGCGGAGGCGGGGACGCGGTCGTACCTGGTTGTCCCGAGCGACTCTGAGAGTTGGGTGTTGTCAGCGAGGCTGGAAATACCACCGACCAAGTGTCCCTGAGCCGGTATGCTGTTCAGAGCGTCATAAACTGGCGGTCTAGACAGAGCCTGTCCGTACCGCTGTGTCGTCTCCAATCCCCATCCATCTTGGCTGCTGTAGGTGTATCTATACTCGAGCACCACATTCGGATCTTGGGTGTCCTGGACACGAAATATTTCCTCGGCCGCAGCCAGAACACGGCTGTTTTGGCTTTCGCCAAAGCGACGGGAACCTGTATAGACAGCGCCCAGAGGGAAGACACTGACGTTGAACGAGGTTACGATGCCGAAGTTGTTTCCGCCGCCTCGCACGGCAAAGTACAGGTCTGGGTGTGACTCGTAGGTAACCTGGACTATCGTCGCGTTGGCCAAGACAATCTGGATCCTGAACTTAGCATTAAAGCGTTCGAGGGCTTGTTTTTCAGCAAAGTCAGATCAGGTTCCTACCTCGTAGCCCAGCACATTATCCAAGGCCCAGCCGTACTTGGACGCGAACACGGACGACCCGCCTCCGAGGGTGAAGCCCCCGACGCCGACCTGCCCGACCCTTCCCCCGACGAATGCCAGACCATACGGCTCCAAGGCAGTAAACGCCTCGTGCGAGAGAGAGCCTCCTCCGATGCGAGCCGTCGAGCGGTCTGCCGCGACTTCTGTGCGGTTGAGCAGACCAAGGTCAACGGTGACGCCGCCAACCGACACGGAGTCGTTTGGAAACCGGGCATGGCCGCCGCCCTTGACGGCAAACTTGCACCGTGTGCGCACCAAGATCTTTATGATGCTGGACACTTCTTTGGCATTCTTGGGTTGGACGCGGCACGCATAGACGGCTTCTGCCTGCTTTTGGTCCCATACTGTAAATCCCGGATCGTTGCTTTTGATATGAACTCTACCTTGAAAGTCCGAAGCTAACTTGCCACACTGTAAGCAAGAAGAAAATTAGCGTTTGGTACGTTTCCTTGCATCTCAAGTGAAATTTTCTGAAAGTTGTCACATACCGCTTGCTGACATTGGCTTTGTTGTTGCAAATTCGGCTTGGCCAAGCATTGGCGCTGATCAACGGCGCTGGCCAAGGCAAGAAATAAATAGAGAGGTTGAAATAACGTGAGCTTCATTTTGTTCTGCTTAAATAACTAAACTTGCTGATTGTTGGCATTCATCCCTCATGATGTGGTGAACATTGTGCTCTTATAAGTCCAAGTCGCCAGTGTACGATAACTATAATTATAGCGCCATATCCCCAAGTTTTAGAGGGCCTATTGCGTATCTGCATACCTACTAGGTACCTATGTATGTGCATACGTATGTACCTATTGCGGATCTGGGTTAGTTAGTGGACGGACTACCTATGTACAGTATGTACAACAAGACCTACAGTATGTTGTACCTACTAGGGACAGTACCTACAGTACCTACCTAATCAGGGAATTCAGGGAACGCTAATGCAGCCAGCTTACAGTTGCATTAGTTAGCGTCCGTCTCTAATTTTTTTGTCTTCATGTTGAGTCACTTTATTATCTGCACAAGAGACACGGACGAGTCAAGCAGCGCTCGGACCGTAAAGCGCTAGTTAGCTATATTAGTGAATCGGACCGGAAGTTCTTCTCTGCATTGCTGCTCCAATTTTAATACCAGATTATGATGCATGTGCATGCTATTGGCAGTGCTTAACGCCGTATATCAACTACTGTAGATGCCACAATCCTAACCCCGATCTCTCCGCATCTGTAGCATACCACTGGATGCTTGAATCCTCTCCAAAGACCAATCTTTTCTGGACCGCTACTGATTACTGATGGGGGCTGACTTGGCTATGTCGCTCAAAAAACTTATGCACTTCGTCAAGGCCAAGTTTCCAACAGGCTTTCGGCAATTCACCGCTCTGTCGGGACATGGTTTACACAAGCGAGGTATATCTTGTTGATGTCATCTTCATCAGTCGTAATATTGCTGAAATCGGGCCGACTTGATATGGTTCCCTGTGAAGAAGTGTGCCTTGGCTGACCAAGGGTCGCCTGAGCCAGAGTATCAGTATATAGTGAAGTCTTCGTTTTAGAAGACTTTGGTCATCTACTTTTAATTTCAGTGAGGAAAAAAAAAGACATCTTCTACTTAGACGGAATACTCTAGTACATTCACTGATTTTGAAACTGCCCAATGATTTTCTCACATTTTGTTCTCTTCACTCTCTTTCGCAGCGTATCTGGAGCCATCTCGACAACAAATGACGGGGTATCTATCAGCGTTGCCGGTGTGATCAGGAACATCAGCAGTCTCTAAAACCTTGCTGTTCGACACAATGGTGATATACTTGTCACCTCCGTGGTCTCATCAACAATATTTCAGGTCTCGACAAGCAACAAACATACCCCCCTCGCGGTAGGCCGGATTCCCGGGCTAAACTCTACTCTGGGAATTGTTGAGCTGGAGACTGATGTTTTCTACATCGCTGCGTGTAACAATTTGGGGGTGTCAGGAACGAACAACGAGGTTTGGAAACTCGACATGCGGCCTTTTCAAGCCAGCAAGTCTGCTTCCGTTCTACGGCCGGCCGAGCTCCAACGCGTGGCGAGGATTCCCGAAGCGCAGCTGCTCAATGGCGTGACACGTCTCACTGCAAACGACAATCGAAATATCCATGTCGCTGATTCCAGTGCCGGAAAGATATACAAAGTTGACGTACTTGCCGGCACCACTGAGACCGTCATGGAACATCCCACCATGTCCAGCAGTCCAGGAGGTCTGGGCATCGGTGTGAATGGGGTTCACACCTTTGAGCAGCATCTCTTTTACACTAGCTTAGACCAGGGTATATTTGCACGGGTCCCTCTTTCGAGCTCCGATGGAACGGCAGTCGGCCCGGTGGACATTATCTGCAACGGCACACTGTCGGCGGCTGATGACTTTGCTCTATCGTCAGAGGGTAAGAAAGCTTGGATAGCAGAGAACGGGATGAATGTCTTAATCGAGGTTGATATCGCTTCAAAGCAGAGCCGAGTGGCTGCAAACTCGACATTGCTTGGATCACTCAGTGCTGCTGCCTTTGGTCGGACTTGTGCTGATGCGGCGATACTATACACGACCGGGTCTTGGGTCAGGAACGGGACAAATACGTGGGGTCAGGTCAGCATAGTCGAGCTTTTGCGGAATCGCAATTGACTGTAATATTCGAGCTTCACTGGGCCAAAAATACTGCTTGAATACATGACGGTTGTATCCGTTTACCTATAACACCCTACTCAGCCTTGGATCTCAAAGTGACTACCCCAGAATCTATGGCCTGGTTCTAGCTCCAAGGCAATAACCGGACAATTGACAATCGTGTTTGGGATGCGAAGAATGTTGGCCAGTTGTTTGTTCATACCAGACAGCCGCTCAATCCAACTGCAGCTACCCTTGTCGATGGCCGTCTTGACTGCAGAGGGTAGATGAGCCTCTATAAGCTCTTTGAGTTCCTCGTCGAATATTGACCCGGTGCTCATTGTCTGGACCCAGTTGAGCTCAATCAGACCGCTCTCGTACAGCATCTTGGACCGGACCACCTTCCTTACAAGATCTTCCCACTTGCCCTCTGCACGACCGTCTCTCTTCATGAGCTTGACCGCATCGTCGCTGAAGCCTTTCTGCTTGCCCAACGCCTCGACGAGCGCCTCCACCAATCGATCATCTTTTCCTCCCTCGGTCGTTACTCGTTGTTTAATGCGTGAAATGGCTTTCAGCCAGTCCTGGGTCACCACGGTCGGCTGCGACGGGTCAAGCTCGCCACTTCTCTTACAACGCATTTTGCATGAGTTGGTGCAGACATGTCGCGCATCCTCCGTCTGGCATACTGGTCGACATTTGGAGTGGCACTTGTGGGTAGACTCGAGAAGTAAGAGCGCCTTCTCAAGATATTCGACTCGGGCGTCGAACGGAAACTTTGCACCGGAGCGTTGCTTCGGAGCTGAGCCTATTGGATTGTGGTCTGACATTGGCGCGCCACGCTCCCAGCAGTTGATGTACTTGGAAAGTACCAGTTCGGGCTTGAACTTGAACTCTGGAAATTCAGGGTAGTGGAAATCGTGCCTGAACGGAGCTTTCTTACGCGCAAGGGCTCCTTGCGTGGCTGGTTCGAATTTTACCACAAAGCCTTCATCCATTGGCCTGAACTTCATCGTTCCGAAAGACAATTCGCATTCTGCATCCTTCTGGTTAGAAGAATGGCCCATTGAGAGAGTCCTTGGCATAGGACTTCGGTAAATGCGGAAAAGATTGATGATGTGGCACATAGCTTGGCCTTCAACGATGAGGCAAACCGTATCCGTACCGGGCTGGATGTCCTTCGCTGGCCGCTCCCACTCCAGAACGCCATCCCCTGGACGTATATTGAGAGCATATAGAAGCTTGACCCAGGCAAAACAGGATGTAGAAGTTGCCGGTGGTTCGGCGATTGGAAGTTGAGATCCAAGATGCAGGTTGAAGGAATCATTGGTCAGTTTCGGTTGTAGGTATCGCGTGCCTTCTTTGGCCTCTTGCAACCACTCCCGTAGGCTGCCTTCGTAGTCGGCAACCGCCTCTGCCCGACTCGCCTTGGTAGCAAGCCAGCCTGTAACGGCTGTCGCAGGTCCTGCAAGGACATCGTAAATGGTGCGGCCGAGCCGGATGGTATTTTCGCCGGCGGTTGCCACGTCAGTCACTGTCTCCGCGCCGGTTTTGCCGCTTCCCTCGTCGGGCTCCTCTGACGCCATAGTTGACAAAGTGAGGACAAATGCAATCAATGTTTTTGGCACAGGAGCTCTTCTCTTCCAGAGATGATATGTATCTATCTATATACATCAGAATAGCCAGTACGAATCGTGCACTGTAATATCCACTCATCACGCCTATCCCAGCCCCAACAGGAAAAGATTGAGTGAAACAGACTTGGGCCGAAACATTGACTGCAACAACTGCATTAGCGCTTACTACGGCAGGTGGCTGTCTGTGTTGGGTCAGATGCTGACGAATGGTCACCAGCTTATTAGCCGTTGGCTCAATTCCAGCGCAAGCCATGAGACGAGTCGAGTGCGTATGTACATAGCACACATGCATATGCACTGTCGCTCACACCTAGCCCGGTAGCAGCAAATGAGCGGGCAAGGGCCTCTAAAATAAGAGACAGGGCTGAAAGTAATATGCTGCACGGGCTGCATTTGCGTGTCTGCATTGTATTGGGTGCATCATGCTGGCAGGCAAGCAAGAGCAATGAACAGGTGCCACCAAAACTAGTAGGACATTGGCCTGTTCTGATGAGAGCATCTATTCTTGGCTTGCGAGGTTGTCTGCCAGTGCCCGGAGCGTTGATTCAGCCAAGAACATTTCGTACCTACCAAGGCAACAAACGTTGGCGACAACGTGTTTTTCTTGTCCACGATGAACAGGGTCGGAGAAATGCCCCATGACTAGGCCGGATCTCGGTACCGATTTCTGGGGCGCGGATTATTATTAGGGTTGCTAAGCGTGCCGTTTACCCCACTGTACTACCCTACTGTATTTATGTATGTAGGTATGTATGTATGTACCTCTGATACAGGTAGTAATTGGAAGTTGATGACTTTAGGAGGCACTCTAATCACTACCATAAGATTAAATTAGGCACGCAAGTTACAGTGAGCATCTCCCTACTTCTGGGCCGTAAACCCCCCCCCCCCTGTGACGTGGCACAGCAGCCCCACTCGAGCATGCGATGTGAATCTGCTTCCTGCCTGCATACGTACCCTATAGTTAGATTGAACAAGACTGATCTGATGGCTGAGAGCTGAGTTCTTCCTAGCAGTCCATTCCAACACTCATTTTCGCACCCTTCCTGGAGACTGTCGCACGATTTACTTGGTTCAGAGCCAACTCTTTCGTCACGATGGGCGCCCAAATTTCCATTATCGATCCCTGGGAAATCAAGGCAACTTTGTATGACGACCGAGTCGAAGAAGAACACAGCGTTACAGATGCAAAAAAAGGCGCCCAGCTGCAGGTGCGAAAGATTGTTTGGGAGAGGGGCAAACGGCTCGGTGCCGGGGCCTGTGGGCAAGTCTTTCTGCAGTCGAACAGAGAGAACAAAGAGGAGAAGCGGGCAGTCAAAAGGATCCCGCTTAGTTCAACGCTCACCGATGAAGAGTATCGGAAGGAATTAACAGCATTGCAAGCATTCTCCCAGCCAAAAGTAAGTCTACGGCCCCCCAGTCGAGGTGTCCAGCCGCTCCCTTCTGAACCTCTCAGTACCGTGAGAAGGGTCTGTTTGTCGAGTTTCTTGGCTGGTTCAAAGATCAATACGACATCTACATCGCCATGGAATATATTGAGCTGCTCGATCTCGAGACCAATCTTAGCCTTGGAAAGGATGGGAAAGTTCCCCAGATCGAAGCTAGAGCCATTACTCGTCAAATACTTGAGGGCTTGCAAATCATGCATGCAGAATCCTTTGCCCATCGTGATCTCAAACCGCAGGTATTCTATAAATTCCATAACTAGCTTGACTGACGACTTTGCCACATCTAACCTGCTGACGGTATCATAGAACATCATGGTTGTCCGAGGCCCACCTTGTTGGCGGGTGAAACTGGCCGACTTCGGACTGAGCAAGAGATTGACCGACGGCTCAACGTACAATAGCAGAATCGGCACTCAAGCATACATGGCGCCAGAAGTTTACGGCTACGACAACCCGCATTCGTCAAGCATAGCCTACACCAACGCCGTCGACTTGTGGGCCGTGGGATGCATCGTCTACCGGCTGGTCACCGGTACAGTTCCCTTCCAAACCGGAGAGCTGCGCCGCGTTTGCGAAAACGAGTCAAAATGCCCATCCGAGACTCTTGGCAAGGAGGTTGGAGAGACCTGTACCGGGTTTATCCGGTTGCTGCTTTCGAAGGATCCACGCGATCGACCCTCTGCAGCAGGTGCACTGAAAAATACTTGGATCACGGCAGGTAGGGCATACGAGTTGACCATTGTCAGTTTCAATACGTTCAAGAGTTAATCGTGTCCTAGGTCCGGTCCCAGAAATGACTTCCTGCACGAGCTCCGAGGGGGCCAGTCCTGAAGAATATTATCGCAAGCTGTTTGAGCCTCAGCTTGCACGTGCAAAGGCCTGCATGCAGGATCAGCGGCACACGGATGCGATCAACATTTTGGAGCCTGTGGTTGAGGCACAAAAGGACACCCTCGAGGAGAAGGACAAGGTTCGGTTGGGAGCTGAAATGTACCTTGCAATTTCCTACATTGCCGCTGACAGGCGAGTCAGAAATGCGATCGACATTCTTGAGCCCGTGGTCAAGGTGCTGCGGGAAAACTTCGAGAAGTACGAGGATCGAGAGACATGTGAATCGCAACTTGCCATTGCCTATATCCAAGAGAAGCAGCCGGCGCACGCCATCCAGATCCTTGAACGTCTGGTTGCGCCCCAGAAGGGGACCAAGGAGAAAGACAAACCTCGACTGTCATACCACTTTCAACTTGGAATAGCCTACCTTCAGAATAATCAAATCGAAGAAGCAATCACAGCACTCGAGCACGTGGTGGCAGTACAAAAGGAGATTCTTAATGAGGAGGAACTGGTTCGATTGGTACCGGAATTATGGCTTGCAAGGGCCTATCTCAGCAATTCGAATGTCGAGGGCGCAGTCAAGTTGTTTGAGCATTTGGTGGAGGTGACTGAAAGGATTCTTCCTCAGGCAGACGAACTTCGACTATCAGGTGAGCAAGGACTTGGAGTGGCCTATCACAATGCTGGGCGGTATAGGGATGCGGTCAAGGTACTTGAGCGCGTGGTTGCGGTACAGAGGGAGATTTTTGATGAGACGGACCCAACTCGACTCGAATTCGAGGACTTGCTCGCGACTGCCTACCAGAGTCGTCAGCGGCCCGAGGAGGCAATTAAGTTGGCGGCTTTCTTTTACTAGCACCTGCGGGTTCAAAGAGCGGAGGATAGTTAGGGACCGTCTATGTGGTGTGACGCCTTTCTTCTTCTACCACTTTACTCGCTAGCGGAGTGATTGAGATTTGCATTCCCATTGCTTCTACGATTCTGTCACGGACCTTGGAAGAGGTATATGGCGGATGGTGGGGATGTTCAGCCAAGGGTTGCCATTACTCGATCTAGTGTGGTTGTAGCTATGTAAGTGGTCTAAATCCGAGCGTAGGTAAATAGGTAGTACCGGGCCGGATGTACAAGAAGACTATCTAGTTGGCCAGTCTACGACTCTAACAAAGGACCGATCAAGGGCAGCATCAAACCCATTAGCGACCGCCCCGTCTTGAGCACCCGGGGAAGAAGAGAAGAGAAGAAGCAAAGCAATGCAAGCGGTAGTATGGAACGACTGGGGCAGCTACAGAAAGCGCATGAGAAGTGAAATTTTACCTGAATTCGAATATACAGAACCCCAAAGTCGTGACAGATGTATGACGTGCCCTCACCATTTTTTGTTACAGCTTGGGCTTGACGAGGGACCCGTTTTCGTCGCGAAACGTCGCCAGCTGGTTGCGCTTGCTGTCGCCGCCGTGCGTGACCTGCGACGGCGCGTCGAACACGGTCGCGCCGGGGTCGCCCAGCCGGCGCTCAATGTCGACGTAGTCGCGCTCGCCCTCGCCGAGGTACAGCTGCCGGGGCCGCCAGATCTTGACGCCGGTGGGCGTGAGCATCTGCTGGCGCCAGTGGGCGAGCCAGCCGACGCATCTCGGGACGGCAAAGAGGACGGGGTAGAAGCTACAGGCAAGGTGAGGTTAGCAGTCTTTTTCTTTTTGTTTTTTTTTTTTCCCCGTTTCGAGGGGTGGGAAAGTTTTAAGAGGGGGGAAGAACGCACTCGAGAGGGAAACCCATGGCCTGGTAGATGAGGCCCGAGTAAAAGTCCACGTTGGGGTAGAGGTTGCGGCTGCGCATGAACTCGCTCTCGCCGGCGTACTTGGCCAGCGCGACGGCCGTGTCGAGGAGCTTGTTGCGGCCGGTGACGGCGAAGACCTCCTCGGCGAGCGCGCGGATGGCCTTGGAGCGGGGGTCCACGTTCTTGTAGACGCGGTGGCCGAAGCCCACCAGCACGCGCTCGCGGCGCTCCACCTTCTTCATGAACTCGGGCACGTTCTCCGGGCTGCCAATCTCCATGAGCATGCGGATGGCGCTCTCGGAGGCGCCGCCGTGCGAGGGCCCGTAGAGAGCCGCGCAGCCGGCGGCGACGGCGCTGTAGGGGTCGACGAGCGAGGAGCCGACCTGGAGCACGGTGGCGGTGGAGCAGTTGACCTCGTGGTCGGCGTGGATGATGAAGAGCGCGTCGAGGGCGCGCTCGAGGACCGGGTGCGGCTGGTAGCCGTGGCCGGAGAGGTTGTCGAGCAGGTAGAGGAAGTTGCCGGCGTAGGAGAGGCCCTGGGCGGGGCGGTTGAAGGGGCGGCCCTGGCGCATGCGGTACGACGCGGCGGCGAGCGTCGGCGCCTTGCCGATGATGCGCAGGATCTGCTTGTCGAGCGCGTTGAGGGCGGCCGGGTCGCGGCCGGAGGCGGCGTCGGTGTAGAGCTTCTGGCCCTGCAGGGAGGGGTTGGCCTCGGGGGCGAAGGCGCCGAGGGTGGCGAAGGCGGCCGTCATCATGGACATGGGGTGCGAGTCGTAGCGGAAGGACTTGAACATGCCCTCGATGTCGCTGTGGATGTAGGTGTGGTGCAGGATCTCGCGCTGCCACGAGCCGTACTGCGAGGTGGTCGGCAGGCGGCCGTAGATGAGCAGGTAGGCCGTCTCGAGGAAGCTGCTGCGGCCGACGAGCTGCTCGATGGGGTATCCGCGGTAGCGCAGGATGCCGTCCTTGCCGTTGATGTAGGTGATGCGGCTCTGGATGGCGGCCGTGTTCATGTAGGCCGGGTCGTAGACGCGCAGGCCCTGCGCCGTCTCATCCTCGGGGCGATCGCCGGCCTGCGGCGGCGCGGCAATCTTCTTGATGTCTGTGGCCAGGACGGCATTGTTCTTGATGGGCACCTCGTAGGTCTTGCCGGTGCGGTTGTCGATCACGGAGAGCGACTGCCGGGGGGCAGCTGCAACGGTCTTTTGCGTCATCGCGCTGGGTGGGATGTGGCGATGAGGGGAGGGAGGGAGGGAGGCAGAGGGGACAGTGGACAAGAGAAGGAAGGCAAGGGGAAAAAAAGAAACCTGGGTATCTAGAAATCGTCAACGGCTTGAGAAACCCCGGCCTCGAGTAAGATGGGACGATGCGCCTTTAATTCCAAAGGTTGAGCTGGCTTTGTTCGGCTCAAGCTCTAGCTCAACGCTTTCGTTTGCTAGCTGCGGCCACTTGCACATGCCCGGAACGGCCACAGCGGGCGCAGGGGTCCCTGGAGAGCGCTAACTAGAGGCTCTCTCTGTCTTGTCTGGTCCACCGAGGCCGAGGCAAATCTTTCGATCCGCGGAAGTGATGGTAAGCCAAAGTCTTGCTTATTCGATTGGCTAACTAGTGCGCATAACTGGTGGTGTGCTAAAAGTTACACAGTACAGAGGCTTGGTTGGTCTTGTGAGCTGCCCTGCTCTGGTGCTCAGTAAATCGATGCTACTAGACGCCCTAAGAAATCTCCTAATGGCCGCCCCGGGGCAACGGAACAGGCACATGTCGTCATAACAAGGCTGGCCCGGCACGGGTTGGGCTGACAGGACCAGGACTGTAGCGGTAACGTATCCGAAACTTGACCGGAAATGCAAGGCTTGATTGAATCAAATGCTTTTCACAAGGCACCAGACGCGCCGCACAAGCGTGTTCCGCAGACTTCCGCCTCTGCCTGGCCTGCGGAATCCCGATGAGGGCAAACGGCTAATAATAAGAGACAAGGTACCTCCACAGTGAATTGATTGCATTTTCCACCACCTTCGCCCAACAACATTTGTTTCTGCATTCTATGTACCACCCTCTCCCCGCGATAACCTCACAAGTCTCTAACCCACAGGTTGTCAAAGCTAACGTCGGCCTGATACGTCCTGACGCCCACCAAACCTCCCGCAAACATGCTGTCCGTCGTGTCCACCACCACCTGCCTATTGACCACTACGCGAATCTTGTCCCCTTCGGCAGACACAGTCATCTTTGTCGGCCCCTGGACCTCCCAAGTCTTGCCTCTCTTGAGCTCCGTCCAGCCGCGGTCCATGCGCGCGACGATGACCGACCCGTCACGCGAGAGGCCCGCGTAGTATCCGCGCAGATCGTCACCACCAGGCCCCAGCTCGGCGACGCGGAAGATGAAACCCGCGTCGCCGCCGCCGCCGCCATCGGGGAACGCAATGTCCATGCTCATGGCCACGTTGGAAAAGAAGCTATCAAGCGCGGCCTTGCCATCCGACGCGCTCTTGGCGACGAGAGCCTGCGATGAGGCGTCGAATTCGCCAGAGTATACCTGCCACCCGGACATGGTGCCGTCGGAGAAGTCGTCCATGACGCGGTACGATGGCTGGCCGGTGATGTACATGTTTTGGAACTGCGTCCGCGCCGAGGAGGACTGGAGCCCCGCGACGCCTCTCATGAAGGAGGCGTCGTCGGCGCTAAACTTCATCTCACCATCCAGGTAAACCGCAATCCACGAGCCAGAGGCTACGACGCGCAGATTGTAGACCGTCTCCCGCCTCAGTTCAACCTTTGCATTCCGGAGTTGCTTCCAGCCAGACTCGTCCTGCCGACCCAACACGACGCCATTGTCGAGACTCAGATACGCGTAGTAGCCGCGGTAGCTGCTTTCGCTCACATTGGATGCGCGAAAGAGAATACCCGACTCGCCGGCTCCTTTGTTCATGATGGACAAGTTTGCCTCAACCTTAACACTCGCGTACTTGGTGGGGTTTGTCGCACGCGCCTCACCCTCGGCCACGACAACCATACCGTTGGGTTCCATGTTGAAGGGGCGACCGTACGTGCTCCAATCGTCAGGCATGCTCTGGAAATCCTCCAACCGAGACGGCAAGATGGACAGACCCTTGAAGGACGCGCCTGTCCAGTAGACGCGAGTGCCCAGGAGACCGCTGCTAAACGTATTGTCCTGCGCGGTGATGAGCGGCGTCCGGCCGTTGCCCAGGTAAATCTCAATCTTGTCGCGGTTGGCGCGCACGCGCAGCTTCTGCCATGCATTCCTGGGCACATCCGTGTTGGACCAGCCGAGCTGGCTCCATACGCCGTTGACGACACGGCCAAGGATAAGCCAGCCAGCCGCGCTGATGCCGGCGTAGTAGCCGTCGTAGGCGTCGGCACCTGTGCCCATGTTGGAGCCGCGGAAGATGAATCCCGCGTCGCCCGTTTCGCCATCCAGCTTGACGTCCATGCTCGCGTCAAAGTTGGTCCAGGGCGTACTCAGAATGGCCTTGTCACCATTAGAGCTTCTCGCGACCAGGTTTCCGTCGCTGACGCTGTACGCGTCACCGTACAGGGTCCAGCCTGCCATGTCTTGCTGGAAGCCGTACGAGTTCTTAGCGCCGACGCATGCATACGAATTCACGCTCAGTTGCGTGCAGTCGTTACCGGCTATCGCGTTCCAATTGCCCAAGTCGACTACGCTGATGCCATTCTCCGACGCGATGCTTTCGCAGGACTGGCCGCCCTTGGGTACATAGTGGAAGCGGTCACAAGTATTGGCCATGCCTGACTGTGTAGGGCTAGGTGTTGCACCTGTGCCGCCAGTAAATGTTGGCTTCGCGACGACGGAGGAAGGTGTCGATGACATCGACGTTGAGCTGGAAGTTGTGTCGGAAGACGACGCTGCCGTGGCTGCGGCTGTTGGTCTTGGGTGAAGACTGGGAGCCCCAGCGCAGAAAAACTTTTTATCTTTTTCTGCGTCAAGTCCGGCCACCAAGTCGGCAGAGCAGGACGCTTCAGACAGCCACGGATTGATTGACCTGAAGGTGGCCACGTCGAGCTCGACGGCGGCAGCTGTCCCCTCACAAGTGACATTGTCTGTAAATGAAGTCAGGGAAGATCCATACTTTGACTTGATTCAATACATAGCACCTACATTCAACCTCCCAGGAGCGAATAAATGAGAAGCAATTACAATCTTCGGCTGTCCCGGGCTCAATCATGGCACCGGCGGGCAGCTTAACGCACCACTGCTTTGGCTCTTCAGGGACCGTTCCTGCGCCCATACTTAGTATGCTTGGAGTAGTCAGAGGTGGATTCAGGTGCTTACTTTCAACTTCCTCTTTCTGTACACAGTATTGGTGGTCCTTTGAGAACAAGCAGGTATTCGCAGACAAGCTTGGGTTCCATTCTCTAAGCGCGTCCACAGTAACGTCGTATATGCGCCCGAAGGTGTCACAGGCGTTGATTTCATCATGGTCAAAATACCATATGTCGTAACCTGGGGCATATTTAAAGCAGTTTTTAATGGTACCGGGTGCCAGTGGCTTTTCTTCCGGGGGGCTAGTTGGAGTCGGCTCCGGGCGAGTAAAGGTTGTTGATGGCACCCGTACCGGGTAGCCGGGGTAAGCGGTTATGTCACCGACAGCCTGTGCGCAGTAGGCATAGTCGAGCCACAGGTTGTAGCACTGCTTGTCGACACCAGGGTTGAGAAAGTAAAAGTCGTCGAGAGAGATACTGTTGGCCAGACTGATCTTTGCGCAGCTGTCACCCTTCTTGACCTAGTCACGACGCGAAGCAACCATGTCAGCGTTGCTGCAACACTGCGTGAATGGACGATAATAAGAACACATACTGTATACCACTTGCCACAATTCTTGTTGGATTCTCCGTGGGCGTTTTCCGGGACCGACACGGCTTTCTGGGGCCTGCCTTCATCGACGTTGGCCCCTCCACCCGGGGAACTGAAGAGTGTAAGCCCATTTGCCACGGCGGCACAACCAGTCGCACACGCTCAGGCAGTGGTAAAACATACCTGATGCAGATTGAACGCCCGAAAAGGTCGTAAAGGTTACTGCCGTCAAGCCTGATCATGGGATTCCAAGCCACGAGCTGTCCCACGGTCACCTCGTATCTAGCCGCGAGTTCGTTGATCTCATCCGCCACCTTGACCTTGTGTATCTTGCACATTGGCGGGAGGCATATTGTCTTGCCCACAGGAAGTGGATCGCAATCAAGGCTCAGTCCATTCAAGTCGGAGATGCCATATTCCGTCACATTGAGCTTTTGCGCCAAGATCGAGCAAGAGTCATCACCACCGACCACGTACGGCGTCTCACAGCTCCACGCAGGTGGTGAGGAGGTTGGGACCGGCTGATGGATCGAATATGACGGTGTTTTAAAGGCATATCCGTTAGCCTTACATGAGGCGGTGAGTGCGATAAATTCCTCTGCATACTGCGCGTCATAGCCAATAGGAGACTCCAGCTCATCTTTCCAAGCCCCAAGCTGGCAGTCAGAGCATACCAGGTCTTGCGATGGCTGATCTCGGTGTTTTTGGTAGAGAACATCACAGAACTGACCGGAGGAGCTGGGAGTTATTGTTAATTTAGGTTAGGGAGGGAGGGAGGGAGTACGAAGTCTTACGAATCTTTGCGGCATGACATAGTGTAGCTGTACAGCATGTATTCGACCATTAGAGTTGCTATGCATTGTATTAGTGTTAGAAACGAATAATTCACAGTGCTAAGGGACACTGACCCGGAAACGTCTGGCCGTTTTTCACTATAGAATCTGTTGCGCATGCTTCGTTGATGCTCGACTTGACATCCGCGAGCGCTTTGCCGCAGCTGGGCACGCAAAGCTCCTCTAGCTCGGCTTTTCCTAATAGCCGAGGATTGCTATCGCTGCAAAGACAAAAAGTGTTAGATCATAGCAGCAAAATGTTACATCTACTTTGTTTCCACGTACAATGAGACATGAGTTGGCAGTAGGTCAGAGCATCCTTGAACCGTGGCGTTGACGGCTGCGAAGCAAGTCTCGCTCAAACCGAGCGCTTCGTAGGCATAGGTGAATTGCGAAAATTGTTGCGCGGTCGATAGTAGCAGCAACGCTGCAGAGAAGCACAAGAATTGAAGCCAGAACATGATGGCACAGCTGTACTCTGCGTCTCAAGGTAGGGAAGGTGCCGTCTGGGGGTCGGCATAGTCTTGTGGTTTGGGCCGGATGACGGACCCTATCTATGGAAGATGAAATACATACATCTCAAAGCTTTCATTTTCTGCTTGCGTATCCAGGACATGATGGCTACGGCTATGATTGGGCCGCGATTGTTTCAAGCGCCAAGACAATATATAATAACTTACCCGCATCTATAGCACCGGGCCGCGCAGACAAGATACGCGCGGACAACGGACCGATTTGTCTGGCGGACCACGCCTGCATTAGCTTGCGCCGTTAATATAATACCTTAATATTAGGTTATTATAACCTTAAGTAAAAGATTGTTGGCTTGGGGCGAACGGAAAAGCCATGCCAAGGTCATACAACCAGGCGTGTCGCAATCTAGATTGGCAGCCTCGCCGGGAACGGTTGTATCCGTTGGTCCACCTAGATCTATTGCACTGGGCATCCTATTTTAGCAGCTTCCTGTATCAAGATGCATCGTGTATTGCGTCCGAAACTCGTTCGGATTACCGGCGGGTCGAACTGAACGGGGCAGTCGGCCGTCGGGCCGTTGGGCCCGCCGTTGCTCAAAGTGAGCCGCCTCATTGCGATAACATCTTTGAGAGAGATGGGAGCTGTCGGCGGATTTTATGTATAAAGTCCGCATGAATATCGACTGGGACTTTGCCTGAGAATATTGTTTTCTCATCAACGAAAACAAAGTATTGGCTTGGCGCGGATACTTGCCGAGCTCGTGCGAGAAGTCGCAAGCTGAGCGTTGAGACTATGTTAGACACTGAGGCCCCCAAGTCATTGGCATGGAGGCTTTCTTTTCTTTCAAGAATTGACAGGTAGTCAAGAAGCACTTCTGCTTTAGACCCATCCACAATGCTGTTGTTTCAAGCTGTAGCTGCGTCTGCAGCTATCTGGCTCGCGACTGCTGAGCCAGTTGGCACCAGCCCGCGTTACTCTCGTGGACTCATGTTCCCAGGTGCACGAGGGGAAGCCTATGAAGCAACCCACGCCCAAGAAATCGATGTCACACTTAATCGACGAGATGACTATACCTGCAGTGCATCCAATCCCTGCCGAAACAAGGCTTGCTGCGGCCCTTCAGGGTACTGTGGTTACGGTAAGCAACATGATCCAAGACCGAGAGTCCTGCTACGACAAAAGTTTTGCTATGCTAAAAGCTCGTCTGCTGACAACATGAGTGAGCCAGGTCCCTTGTATTGCGGTACTGGCTGCCTCGCTAATTGCGATGCGACGGCTGAGTGTGGAAAGTTTGCCAAAGAGCCGGGGAAGAAGTGCCCGCTTAACGTTTGGTACGTCGCCGGTTATCTCTCCATTTAGGGAGAATAAAGACTATCATACTGACAACATAAATAGCTGCAGTCAACATGGCTTTTGTGGTACGACAACAGATTTCTGCAACTCTAAATGCCAGAGTAATTGCGTCGAGCACCCCAAGCCGCCTGGAGGCTCTAGCACTGGGCGGACATTATCTAGAGGTAAGTGAGAGCACCACGACCACTCTAAATATTTCTACTAACATGATTCATTAGTTATTGGATACTACGAAGCGTGGAATGCCCGCTCCAAGTGTCACGAGACGCTGCCCAAGGACCTGCCCCGTAAGCTCGGCCACTACTTCGCTGTTCAACAAGTACTGACTTACTAGCAGTCGCCGCCCTCACGCATATCAACTATGCATTTGCCTTTATCCATCCAGTCTCATTCGTAGTCACTACTATGGACTCTGCCACCCCGGGATCGCTGTTTGCTGATCTGGAGAGACTCAAGTCGGCTAAGCCGAGCCTACAGATCTGGGTCAGCATTGGCGGATGGACCTTTTCTGATGACAACACACCTACGCAGCCTGTCTTTGGAAATATTGCGCGGGATCAAAAGTATAGAGAAATCTTTGCAAAGAACCTGCTGTCCTTTGTTCAGATGTATGGATATGACGGCGTCGACATTGACTGGTAATGGTTGTACCTCCCCCTCACAGCCCATCATCGGCTAACATGACTGGCAACGCAGGGAATACCCCGGAGCGCCTGACCGTGGTGGGAAGCCAGAGGACGTCGAAAACTATGTCCTCTTGCTCAAAGAGATTCGAGCCGTGTTTGACCGCTCTGGGCGCCAGCTCGGCATCTCACTCACCATACCGGCGTCGTACTGGTACCTGAAATGGTTTGATCTGCCGGGCTTACTCAAGTACGCCGACTTTGTCAATCTAGTGAGTCTTATCCTACCGCCATATATGGACATATTGTGGTGCTGACTACTTGTAATTAGATGAGTTATGATTTGCATGGAGTCTGGGACAGCAGCAATCCCATGTGAGCCACCGAGCCACCCATCGGGCCTACATCTTGGCCAAACCGATGGCTGCTGCTAACTTTGCTATTTCTAGTGGCAGCAGGGTCCTCGGACATACAAACTTGACAGAAATCTCCCTTGCGGCTGAATTACTGTGGAGGGCTGGCGTGAAACCTTCACAAGTCTCTCTAGGCTTTGGCTTTTACGGCCGCGCATTCACCTTACAAGATCCATCCTGCACCACGCCGGGATGCCCGTTCAAAGAAGGCGCCCGGCCTGGCGTCTGTACCGGCACCAGCGGCTATCTTGCTTACTACGAAGTGCAAGACATCTTAAAAAAGAACCCTGATATCGAGGTTGTCCACGATAAGGAAGCTGCAGTCAAGTACATGACGTGGGATCAGGACCAGTGGATTTCCTTCGACGATGCAGACACGTTCAAGCAGAAAGTCGAATGGGCGGACAAGATTGGCTTTTCTGGAGCATTGATTTGGGCATCGGACCTGGGTAGGGTGCTCCGTGGCTTCTTAATGTGCAGAGAAAAGTTTGCTAACAGGCGAGAACACCAGACGACTACACCTGGAGCGCCCACAAGGCTCTGATCAGCAAGGAAATCCCCAACAACTACAAGATTCCGAACCCTCTGGTTCGGCGAATGCTTCCGGGAACGACCTATGAAGAATACTCGACGGAAGCCTGCTATCGCCAGAAGGACTGTGCAGATCTGAACAACCCGTTGGTGTCGCGCTGCGCGAGCGGGTACTTTACCGCCGGCTACGACGTTTCGGACTGCGGCGACAATAAGAAGATCAAGGTTAGTCAATGAAGTGCCACCCCTACCACCTCTGCAGGTTGTTTCAAGTAAAACTGACTTTTGGCCCGCTGTCGCAAGTATGCAAAACGCATCTGCTGCCCGTCCAGCAATAGTCCGACATACTGCACCTGGCGCGGCCGGCCGGATTGGATCGGCGACTGTAACGGCCAGTGCCAGCAGGGAGAGATGACGCTCTTTGAGTCGAGGCGAGGCGGCAAGTCCGAGCTTGGCAACAAGGACGATGAGAGCGGCGAAAACAAAAAGTGCAGGCGAGGCGTCAAGACGTTTTGCTGCGGTTCACGCCGCTTTTCGAAAGAGGACAGGACCTGCCGCTGGACACAATGGTGCGTATCAATGGAACATGAGCCACGAGACGAGACTACCAAGCTAACAATATGCCCACGCGGCTTCAAGTAACGAGAAGTGCTCCGGTGACGAAAGTGAGCTTGCTAAAGTGGTCCAGTACGACGACAAGGACAAGGGCAGCAAGGGCTGCAACTGGTACAAGGATGGACAGCGATACTGCTGTAAGAAGGGGTACAAGGACGTGACTGCGTTCAAGTACTGCAACTGGGTCGGCCAAGGCGACTGCGGCGAGAATCGGTGTAGCGGTACTGAAGTCACCGTTCACCAGAGCTCGGTCGGAGCTGGAGGCTGGAAACAGTGTCTGTGTAAGAAACATCTTGAACCCTCCCTAAGTCATGACGATTCATATGCTAACGATACCCGGCATCATGACACAGGGGGTCGCAAGAAATCGCTCTGCTGCTCACCGAACCCGGACTTTGATATGCAGCATAGCGCGACAATGTGCGCTGCCGGCGTCGGCGAGTCCTTGCTAGAAGATGAGCTACCAGATTATGAGGATGACGGTGCTGATGACTCTTTGCTGGATCGCGCAGCGGGGCCTTCAGACCTCACCTTACATCCCTCTGTTCGTTCTCTGGAAGCCAGAGGCGGTCGTAGAACTTACATGTTCGATGTTGTCAAGTGGTTGCCGTCACTGGTCACTCACCTGGGCAAGGAGTTGAGATTTTCCTCGAGCCCATACCCCCAGCCACCGAGGCTTGTCGAGCTCTGGGCCAAATCAGAGATACCCGCCATAGCGTTCAGGTACGTCACATTGCTATCCGAGAAAGCGTTTCTCCAGACTAATGCGTACATGAATACATGGCAGGATGGCTGCGGGAAGTTGTGTGCAGCCAGGTCTCGAGAAGCTGGATCCTTCAAAGCTCACAACGCCAGCAGAGCTTCGCTTGTTCCCCCATATGGATATCGAGCATAGCATCGATCTCAATGTTCTTTCCAACTTTTTCCAGACGGCCATGACAGGTATTCTTCCATCGCAAGCTATTGTCGCCACAAAAGTAGGCTTCACCGCGGTGCAGCTTTGGTCAGCGTGGAAGACGCCCATGACAGGGCCATTGCCTCCTCTGAAGCTTCCCAGAGGCTCCGAGCACACTATCAATGATCGTATGTTCAGTGTCATGGGATCAACTCCGCATCTAGCGCCATTCACGCTTCTCTTCAACGAACTGAATGTCCAAAAGGGGAAACTTTTTAAAATGGAATCGCCGATTTCGGATGACAGGATGAAAAAGATTATGAAATCGACGACGGACGCTGTTTCAAGTTCCGCCACGTTGATGTCCGCTGTGCGCCAGGTATGTACTGTCCCTGCCTCCTTATTAGGTAGGCTGGCAGATCGTCGCCATGACGCAACTGACAGGGCTCATGCACGCAGGTACATGGACTTTTTGAATATCTTCACGCAGACGAGTATGTCAAGGCAGCCTCAGGGGTCCTCGATGCGCTGCACACCGAGGCAGGCGTCGCAGAGAAGGTCTGGGGTCTGACCGGCTTCCAGGAGCTGTTTCAAGAGTTCCAGGCCGACTTTTTGAAGCATTCCACCAGTACTGTTTTGCGCAATTACGAAGGCATTGTCAAAACAGCAACTCAACTTGTGACCAACAAAAAGTATGGCCTCCCAGCGGACATTGCCACACTACGGGCCTTGGAGCTTGAGAAGCTTGGCAAAGCAACCGCATCCATGACCTTGAAGCACCTCATCCGAAAGGATTCGGGCAGCTAGGTAACTTTCATGACATTTCTTGTAGTAGGTAGGAATAGTGGTAGATGAATAGCAAAGCCAAGGGGCACTGGTGCTGATGGCAAAGCTCGCGTTGGTGGCATTTCGAGGCGAGAATGGGCTGATGGAAGCGGTCGCTCAAGTAGAAATTACATACGAACGCGGGCATCTCGCTCTTGCCGCTCTTTAAGCCATCTGTTGACATCGTACTGAGCCCCCCCTGTGTGGCCTTCTGCCTCATCCCCCCTCCATGGCTCCTCGCGACCACGCTGCACGTAGCACTCCCTGTCCTGTATCTCTGGCGGCCGAGTACGTTCCTGCATAGACGAAAACTCTCGGACGCCGTCGTACTCTTCCACCACGTCCTTCAAGGGCAAGTAATACCACCCGACATCGTCTTCCAGGTTTCCCTCGATGGGCTCCTGGTAGGTTTCTCCATCGTCAGAGTCGTCACGGACGCCTCTGTACTGCTCCTCTGAAGCGTATCTGAGATCAACCACCCCGATAAACGGCAAAGGAACAGGTACCTCAGTACCGTTGGCCAGCAGCAGAATCGACACATGGTCGAGCGAGTCGAGCGAGCGTCGGTCCACCGTGAGACAGAAGCGATACCGCGGGTGGAACGAGGAGTGCTCTTCCCACGCGACGGGGTTGAGCGGCGGCAGGCCCCGGGCCACCGTCCAGCGCGAAAACCGCTCGCGCACCTCGTACGACGTCGCCGACTCGAGCGTCGCGCGGTCCTGCACCACGGGGAAATCCATCATCGGAATCAGGTCCGGCCGCCCGCGGGACTCGAGCGCCTCCCGTACTGCCGCGCGGAGCGCGTCGAGCAGCCGCGCAAGCTTGCCATCCGAGTCGTCGCCGTCATACGCGGTGCGGTAGATGACGAAGCCCCAGCGGCCCGCGTCGACGGGAGGGACCCAATCGGCGGCGGCGAAGGCCTCGATGTTCTGGAGCAAGCGGTTGGGCGCGGTCGGCCCGGGGGCCCAATCCCAGCCCGGGTCGGCGATGGAGGTTGAGAACAGGGCCGTGGCGGCGGCGGGTGGTGTCGAGCCTGCGGCGTCAGCGGTGCTGCTGCCGTGGACGACAGGGAGAGGATGGTGAAGGAGGAGGTTGGTGGGTGTCAGCAGCGCGATGGACGCGCAGGCTGCTCGCCGGCGCGAGATTCCGGGTCTTGCGAGCTGACGGAGCATCGCGGCAGCCGCGATCGCGAGACAGAGAGACAGGGCGGCGCGCGCAAGCATCCGAGTTGAAAAATTCTTGTTGTTGGCTGGGCCAGTTCGCTTCCATTCTTCCCCTCTTCCGAGAGAAGGGGCAGCAAGCAAGCAGGGGGGGTTCTTTTTGAGCGTGCCCCGTTGCCGATTGCATATTTTCTGCAGCTTACCTATACTATCACAGCCCAATTTTATCAGCGGTATCCGCACAGCATTCAAAAATTTCAAAGAACAAAAAATCACCAGTGCAAAAGTTGAATCTCGTCGCACACAAATCATGCGACGTGGAAATCGTTGCTGGTAGTGAAGAACCGAAATAAGCCCAGTTGTCCCCGATGTAAATCCTCAAAACGCCGACTAAAGAAAATGAGACGAGAAATCTCAAGTCTCTGGTATCATAAGTATATCCAATCAATGGCCATCATGTCAAGGTAGTTTTTGTCAATTCAAAGCTACTACAGCTTCCTTTGCGAGTCCAGTCTTGTATTCCCTCACACAAGATTATGACACGAGGAAAAAGGAAAAAAGGAAAAAAAAACAATCAAACAACAAACCATGATCCAGTGCGTAATTGTTCAAGAAAAAAATCGCATCAGGTGTACAGAAGATGTGAAAGGCAAGCCGTTGTGACGCGGTGCTCTTTTCTCTTCTTTACAACTTGGCGGCAGGGGCGGGGGAGCCGGGAGCAGTAATCTCGTCGTACAGAAGGCTACGGGACATGTGTGAGCAACGTGAATGAAGACGGCTGAAGTCGGAGCGGAGCAGCATACCTGGTCAGGAAGTCGGCATAGTCCTCGCCGGTGACCTGGCCGGCAAAGTACTGCGCGGCGAGGTGGTACTTGTTGCCCTTGCCGGCCTTGGAGGCCAGCTGTTCGGCGCTCTCCTTGAGCAGCTTGAGGGCGTAGGCCTTGTCGACGCGCTTGCCCTCGGCGGTGGTGACGCCGTGGCGCGCCCACTGCCAGAGCTGGGAGCGGGAGACTTCTGCGGTGGCGGCGTCCTCCCTGTTTTGGTTGTTAGCGACACTCAAGGCAAGATACACACAAAAAAGGTGGTGAAGGAACCAGAAACTTACATCAAGAAGTTGATGGGCACGCAGCCGACGCCGCGGATCCAGGCCTCCATGTAGCCCAGGCCGATGTTGAGGTTCTTGCGGATGCCCTCCTCGGTGACCTTGCCGGGGACGTTCATGTTGAGCAGGTCGTTCTGGCCGACCTTGACCTCCTCGCGGCGCACGAACAGCTGGTTGGGCGTCGGCATGTGCGTGTTGAACACGTCCAGCGCGATCGCCGCCAGCGCCGGGTGCGCCACCCAGGTGCCGTCGTGTCCCGCGCGCACCTCGCGCAGCTTGTCCGCGCGCACGTTGGCCATGGCCGCGTCGTTGGCCGCCTTGTCGTCCTTGATCGGGATCTGCGCCGCCATGCCGCCCATCGCGTGCACCCCGCGACGGTGGCACGTCTGGATCAGCAGCTTGACGTAGGCGTCCATGAACGGCACCGTCATCGTCACCGCCGACCGGTCCGGCAGCACAAAGTTGGGGTTGAGGCGGAACTTCTTGATGACCGAGAAGATGTAGTCCCAGCGGCCGCAGTTGAGCCCGGACGAGTGGTCGCGCAGCTCGTAGATAATCTCGTCCATCTCAAAGGCGGCCAGGATGGTCTCGATGAGGACGGTGCCGCGGATGGTGCCGCGCGGCATGCCGATGTAGTCCTGGGCCAGGTTGAAGACGTCGTTCCACAGGCGCGCCTCGAGGTGCGACTCCATCTTGGGCAGGTAAAAGTACGGCCCGTAGCCGCGACGCTGGTACTCGACGGCGTTGTGGAAGAAGTACAGGCCAAAGTCGAAGAGCGAGCCGGACATGGGCTCGCCGTCGACGGTGACGTGCTTCTCCTCGAGGTGCCAGCCGCGCGGGCGGACGATGAGGGTCGGGTGCTTGCGGTCGGTGCGCAGCTTGTACTCCTTGGCGCCCTGCTTGAAGTCAACTTGGCCGCGGATGGCATCGTAGAGGTTGACCTGGCCGTTGATCATGTTGTCCCAGGTGGGAGCGGACGAGTCTGGGGAGTGACGTCAGTCATTGGTACAGGGTAGGTTTGGGGGAGTTGGTTGTTTGTTTGCGTTGGTGGCGGGGGGTAATGGAGGGGACAAAGGACAGGGGACAAAGGGGATGGATTGATTCGGGCTGGTCATCACCAGCCAAGGCATGTATGGCCTCTTCTTCCGTCTTGACCAGCCCTCTCGGCTCGATGCTCTACCCTTCTCGACTGTCACAAGCTCTCTGTCTGGCCCTGGTACTCCACGCCCCACATTTTCTCGGAGCAGCGCGCGAGTGCCCGGGCCGAGCAGATGCGGCAACAGGAGCTTGCACCCGAGGTATTGAGAGTTGGGCAGAAGAGCAAGGGTCGTCAGAAATGACCAGAGGTCAAGAATTTCGAGAAAATTCCAGAGCAACAGATGTGACCTCCATTGGCGCTCCCCCAAGCTCTGGCAAGCTCACCCGTCGCCCAATTCGATAGAGCCGCATCGTAGGGCCAGCCGAACCGGGGTCGCGGTGGATAGGCTTACTAGATACGCATGGCCAGAGCCGCCAAAAGAGGAAATATCATGTGCGCGCGCGTGTAGTCGAGAGCAAGCATGTGTGTGTGTGTGTGTATAATAAAAGGATAAAACAAGACCAAGCAACAGGAAAAACTCACCCTCAAAATCCGACATGTAGGTAAAGACGTCCGAGTTGAGCGCGTTGACGACCATCTTGCGGTCGGGCGGGCCGGTGATCTCGACGCGGCGGTCGACCAGGCCCGGGGCGGGCGGCGCGCCCTTCCAGGTGGCATTCTCGCGGATGTGCTTGGTCTCGGGCAGGAAGTCGGGCAGCACGCCGCGGTCGAGCTCGGCCTGGCGCAGCTTGCGGCGCTCAAGCAGGCTCTTGCGCGTGCCGTTGAAGGACCGGTGCAGCAGCGCGAGGAAGGTGAGGGCCTGCGGGGTGAGGATCTTCTTGTGCGCGTGGTCGACCTTGCCGAGGACGTTGACGCCCTGGAGGATGGTGTCTTGTGAAGCCATTGCGGGAGGAGGTGTGTGAAGGGAGATGGGAGGCAAGAAAAGGGATGGGAAGGATGTATGTAATGTTCGCTGTTTGTTGCTGGCCTTGTTCGATGGATGACGATGACAAGGCGGCAGGACAAGACTTGGAGGCGGAAGAGAGATGATACAAGACGAGGGAGGTTTCAGTTATTCTGGGAGAGTTGGGGGAGGGGAAGGGGGAACTGGACGTATGTATATAACAAAGAAAAGCCCGGTGGCTGTTCCGGGATCTTGTCGCTTCAGGGCAAACTGTGTGCTTGTATGAATCGAACTTGTACCCCCCTTCACGTGTCAAGGCAACGGGCGGGCGGTTTTGGGCAAGGCTTCTTGCGAGTTGGAGAGCGAGTGAGTCGGCTGGGGTGTGGTTCGGAAAGCGGATAGCGCCAAAAACTGCCCAAAAATGCCAGAGCCAAAAGTGAATGCGTTGCGTCACTTGGGGTGGGAGTGGAGATGATGGGGGAGGGATCGAGACAAGCCAGGACCGGAGAGAACAAGGGCTTGTTGTCGTTGCTGTCTCGGCTTCTTCGTTGTCGAGGAGGTTATAAGCTGGAGTGTCTGCTTTTCGTGCGTTTTGTTCAACTTGTTTATTGTTAGCCTGTCGTCGACGTTTTCTTCTCAGCATCCTGGAAGCCCAGCTGAAAGCAATCACCATCTGGACGCACGAGGCCAAAATCTCCGTTGTACGGGCGGTTTTTAGGCGACGTCGGGGCGGGCTTCCAGTGGGTGGGCCGGGGTAGTTGGAGGGGGCTCCGGGGAGTGCAATCTACCAACGTGCCTGCCATTGACAATGTTGCATACCTTGAGAGTTTCAAAAGCTGGCAAAGTTTGTAGATGCGGTGAGCTTGATAGAGCAATCGTTTGAAAGCGAATAGAGTTGTATCGTATGAATGTTTGCAGCCTGTTGAAGTATCGACAGGCCTGGTGCAAGCCGATTTTTATCCTTTCACAAACTACCTACATAGCTATGTAGAAGCCGACTCCGGGCCAAGTATTAGTAGAATCGAGCAACGCCGCTGCGCCCTCCTCCGGAAATCAACAGCCGGCACACGAGCTATCTACCTTGGATTCCGGGGTGAACAACCATGACACATAATGACTACATTGCCAATGGAATATCGCTATCGGCGCCAATCCCCTTCCCCTTCCCCTTCCCCTTCCCCTTCACCCGCAATTCCGTACCTCTTTCGGCACCCATCGGTCCAGGTCCTGGGCTCGCTCGGGTGTATGGAGCTTTCAGCACCACCAATTCTAGAGCCGCGAGCGGCGGGCGCGCCAATCAAGTTGTGGGGGGCAAGTCAATCTCGTCCCAGCCGGTGAAAGCCACTGCACCAATTGAATGCCTGTTTTCTCCGTTCCCTGCACCAAAAAAAAAAACAGAGACTGGAAACATGGCACGATGCGAGGTATTGTCTATGTCTGTGTGTCCGTGTTTTGCAGACAAGTAAATACATGTGCGACCTGCAGGCTCGCGTATCAAATTCTGCATGGGAACCATAGCTCTAGCCAGTAACACGGCCTAGAAAGCGACTTACCAGGGACCTTGCTGCTAGTTTGGCGTGCGGCGTGCGGGGAGGAGGGCGCTTTTACAGTTCACAGCGGTCTTGTCAACCCCAGTAATCCTAGTAGAGAGCTACTGGTAGAGCGCATCTCTTGCAGGAACAACTAGCCACGGCCTCGGCAGATCCAGCGCGACGTGCATGCTGCCAATAGTTCAGGGCTTTTTTTTTTTGGAAGGGGCTTGCTTGCTGCTTGGCCTTGCACCACCCACCACCACCAAGGCAGCGGTCGCGGCGCTCCCCGGCCGACGGCCGACGCACCGACGGAGCTGCACGACACACCCCCCCCCCCTCCCCCAATCCCAAAGCCCAGCCGCCGCCTGTGCAGCCAGGCGAAGTAGTTGTCAAGAGGTAATGGAAACTCGTAGTTGTCGGAGCTGCTGCAAGTTTTGTAGGCAAAGCAATGGCCACAAAGGATGCCTGCCGTATCTCCGATTTTTATACACCCAGCATGGCTCGGAGACCAGGCGCAGGCACGGAGTTCCGAGCCTATGCAGATGATGCGTGTTGTCGTGCCTGGATGAGATTCTCTTGGGTGTCGGACTTCGTTTCTCTGAAATATTGAGCAAAACGTATTTTCAACCCGGGAATATTCCCCTTCCAATCACTACACAGCTCCCTCGCGCGTGTAAAGTTGTCTGCTTATCCCCCGTAAGCGCAACCTCAGGCGTGTGCTAGCAAATCCCAGTCGCCGTATTACTCTTCCCATATGCGCCTTTGTAGTAATATCGCTACCAGCTCTCCTCGGCGGCTTCGTAATAAGCGCCTTGGTTCTTACCTACATGGATATGTATATAGAGCCCAAACGTCTCATCCTCACACTCTTGCTCTCTTTTTCTCTCTCCTCTCATTTTTTGGGACACATTTTCTGCCAAATAGAGGCACCAATGTCCTCCAATACCGAACAAGGCCTGCCTCTACACCGACGCCAGCCAGAGCCGAGGCACAGTTTAAGCCGGGCCGGCCTTGCCTTGCTTCTCCACCAACAATCATCTTCCCCGGTCCTTTCCGAACAAAACCACCAACAAAAGAAAAGCCCGATTGGGCATTTCCGATTTGAACGGGCTTGCTTCCCCAGGCCGATGCAACTTGCCTGTCACTGCCCGTGCATTAATTAGTCTGGCAGCGCCTGAAAGTCGATGCATCCCGTTCATTCACTGCAACTGCCAATGACGCATTCCTTTGACAACCATCAATTACGTCGTCGTTTCTTTTGCACCCTTCGTATTGGCAGATCAGCAAACCCCTCCTCATCCGTGTCTGCATTTTTTTTTTAATTATGCACTGCAACCCTGTCTTCAAAGACTCTTGCCACAGTTGATACGACTTACTTCCTACTCTCTTCTCGCCACTCTTTTCTAAGCTCGTTGCCGTGTTGCAACTTGCATGCCAAAGCCACCTAACCTCTAGCAGTTCATTCGTCACTGCGTGTCCCATCACATTCCATGGCCATGGCCACCTCGAAACAGACACACATAGCGTCCACACTTGGTGTCCCTGCTTCTGTTCTTTGCCCACTCGCACAGATACGGCCGTCGAGTCGGGAACACTTCTCAGGCTTACGGATGCAAATAATTAGAACCTCACGTATCCTTCTAAACAGCTTTTATTGACTTATGCCATTTTAGCACCATATTATATATCCGTCAAGCACACTTTGTCCGTTCAAAGCCAAGTAAGCGAGTCAAAAACAATGATTTCGGCTTGTCGCCTCGATACAAATCCAAACACAAAGGCAGCAGGCAAAAAGGTTGACTAGTTTAGCTTTCCAAGGCCACATGAAGCCGCGCTTCTCCGCCCATTTATTATTAGCTTCAACGACCGAGCTCAGAGGGGGGGAAACAGACATCAACTCCGTAGTGCAGGCGAAAACGGAAAAAAAGCAAAGACCAGGCTAAGTGAAAGGGAATAAGAGAACGAAGGATGCATAGCTGTGCTCTGCTCTGTCCATATGCGCCGTACGCCATGAAAACAAAAGGAATTCTTCAACATTGGCCGACACTCCCGTCAGCCCTCCAGAAGACCAAGGATCAACTCTCAAAGAGCCCTTAGCTGGCAGCCGTGAGGGTCCTGATCATCATCTTTTGCTTGTTGCGGTCCGTCACAACGAGATTTCGATCATCAAACACAATCCTGATCGTGTCCACGACTCGATGGAAACTGCTGGCCGCTCCACGTTCCTGTGTAAATCGGATAATACTGAGTGGCTGACGCTTGCCATGCTCAATCACCGTCACCACCTCAGCAGCAATCGCAACCTCCTTGATGTTAAGATCTGTCAGGTTGTCAGTCATTGTATCATCTTCGAAATTGCAAAAAGCTATAGCTGCTTACAGTTCTTAGCTGCAATTCGTGCAAAGATAATGTTGCGCTGCCTGTCCACCTGGATATCGCGAATCCCGTATCGTCGCCACTCACGCAGAAGAATTGTCACTTCCTGCCGCGCCCTTCTGCGCGACAGGTTCATGCATATATGGCTTGTAGCTGGCTTGACCCGGAAGAGGCGTGTCAACCAGTTTTGCTTAACATCAATGCTGCGCTGCGTGCCCGATCCAGAGCTTTTCACAGTTGCTACCGCTGAGCTCTTTCTGTGTGCCTGGCTGCTGGTTGACAATGGTCGCTCACGCTCTGTGTGTTCTCCATCCGCCGCAGTGTCCTGCTCTTGTGCTCGGCCATTCTTCCAGAAAGGGAAACTGAATGCACGCTTCTTTGAGGACCCATCAGTCGTCGCCGACTGCGGTTCTTGGGAGCTGTGCGACAGAGAAGGCGACTTCTGGCTCTCAATACCTTGAGGGCTCGTCTCTTGCTCAGAGTCTGTCTTCGAAACCCGACGAAACCAGGATCGCATTCTGCGGACGCCACCACCACTTAGAGGCTCTTCACCTGGCGCCTGGGGCCCAGGTTCAACGGCACGATCCGCATTGTATGCAATGTGCAGATGAAGCTTGCGCCCCAGCTCTTCCTTTGTTACTTTTCTCTTGACAACAGGAGCCTCGGCTGCTTTATGCTCGCCCTGGCCGACAGGAGAATCCACCACCATACGAATAGTATTCTCCACATTATTCAGGAACTGAATGTCTTGAGTTGAATCACTCACCCGCTTCGAACTTGCTTGAGGCGCTGAGACGGTGCGCGACTTGTCATTAGGCATGTTTCCTGTACCAGAGTTCTCATTGATAGAAGGGAGAACTGATGTCTTCTTGGCATTGGCGTTGGCCGCGGGTGCAGATACACTTCGTCGGTCGACATGCCGTGGGACGGAAAGAGAAACAGATCGCTGCGTAGTCCCATCCACAATGTATTCGCCATCACTTCCGTAACCTTCCCCAGAACTGGGTCGCGAGTCAGCTGCCGTGGTCGCATCGCTCAAGCCACCATCTTCGGCTGGCAATGCTGGCAATGCTGGCAATGGTCGGTGCTGCCATGACTTCGAAGAGAATTCAGTGGCTTCTGTGGCGACAGAAGGGCTAACGGCGGTGAAAGAAAACGGGGTCGAGTCACGGGTGTTCTTCTCATTTTCACTCATCACCGAGTCGTCGTAGGTTAAAGAGCTTCTGAACGCCTCGTCACAGTTGCGAGCAATGTCGTTGCTAAAGTTGCGAAGCTCATCGCGGAAGAGCGCCGAAGCATTCTTGACTACGGCAGGTGTGTCGGATTGACGACGCTTATACACGGCAGGCACTCTCGGCACTGCAGGTATGTTGCTTCGCAGCTGCTGAAGAGGAACGGCTTGTTCTCGGGCGCTAGAGGATGCTGTTCCTGGGCGACGAGCAACATTCTGCACATTTGACGTTGAATTCGAGCGTTTGCGTATGTGGCTGAAATCGACGGCACGCTTGTGTCGAAGGCCGGGGCCAGTGCGAGACGGTGTGCCCTGCCGGCTGCTGAGAGATGTCACCGAGCCCTTTGCAGATCCAAGTTTAGCAGGTGCGGCGCCTTTGGTTGAATTGGCTCGAACACGACGAACGTTGGCACTGGAGGCGCTTCGCGGTCGTGCTTGGGCCACTGGAGCTGCGGCATTGTCGCGATGAACGACCACCTTGGTATGGCCGACTTTGGAGTCACAGTGCTGCAGTCTGCCACTCGCCCTGTACGGGTCGTAGCTGACGACCGTGGCATCATCTCCCTCGGCGGCGTTAGAGATGACTGTAAAGCGCGAAATGGAGCGGCCGTGTCCATTCGCTCGAGGCTGCGAGAAATGACATGTAGACACCCGCTTTTTCCAAATAGAGGGTTTCATATGATGATAGTCGCTCATTGAGTGAGCCAGCTCGGGCTTAAAGTCTTCAAGCTGCTTATCCCGATAGTCGTGAAGTAGCCAGTAGAAGGCCTTTTGGTCGTTTCGCTGTTCGGAAGTCAATTTATGCGCAAGAGCTTCCTCGTTGAACATGTGCCACATGGATCGAAGCTGTCGCAGCAGTTGGGGGTCAATCTCATTCCGAGGTACAGGATCATACTTGAATCCCTTGCCCAGAATTTGGCTAGTAAGGTCACCAAAATCGTCTTGGTAGCTGTACTTTTGAACCAGGGGATGGTTCCAGATTTCTTGCAAGTTGATACGACGCTCGGGGTTGACTTGAAGCATGCGTCGGATAAGATCTTCGGCATCGGGGCTGATGTGCTTGGGCATCTCGTACACTCCTTTCTTGGTTTTGCCCATCATGACTCGCAGGTCAGGATCGTCGAACGGTAGTGTTGCCGACAGCATCGCATAGAGAATGACTCCCATGCTCCAGATGTCAGCTTTGTCACCGCGATACTGCCTATTCTTGAGAAGCTCCGGCGCAGCATAGTGAGGGCTACCACAGGCAGTTGCAAGCTGGTGGGTGGCTGTTTGGTGAAGAGCAGCCATTCCGAAGTCGGCAATTTTAATTTGCAAGTCGGCGGTAATAAGAATATTCTCCGGCTTCAAGTCGCGGTGACATACGTTGAACGAGTGACAGTAAGCAATGGCGCTGATCATCTGTCGGAAAAAGAAGATGGCAATTTGTTCCGAAAGTCGCCCTTTGGTGTTGATGAATGTGAAGAGGTCTCCTTGGTCGATGTATTCGAGGATGAGATAACTATTTTAGCACATATATTAGCACCAAAAGTTGAAGACGCATTACTGTTACAGATGAAGACTCACATTTCAGAGCGATTTTCCCAGATGTCGTAGAGCTTCATAATGTTTGGGTGCTCAATAAGCTTAAGGATAGCGACTTCTCGCTCAATAGCCATGGGGACACGCATATGGCCGTCTGAGGGCTCGGGAAGATGACTGTCCCATTTGCTCAGGGCGGCTAAACTGCTGTCCTGGACCAGATATGCCATGCGGCGGTTGACAATCTTGACAGCGGCAAGCTGGTTTGTGATGTTGTGGCGACAGAGGCGCACGCGGGCGGAGGAGCCCTTGCCCAGAGTGCGTCCCAGTTGCCAGGGGCCAATGTGCGTTTTGTAGTTTTTCTTGCTGTGGCTGCTCGAGGTAGATGCATACGAGGCCTGTGACATGCGTTTGTCTTCCTCGCTCGCCTGATGCTCGTTCACAATGGCAGACACACGCGCGTCAGGAGCGACGTGGCGGGCGGCGTTGGACTGCACCTGTCGCGCGTGATAGTGAGCCACAGCCTCATTTGCAGTTTGATAGTCATTTCTTTGATTTCGATATTTGCTGGGTGGCTGATCTGCGTGAATAATAGGAGAATTGATGCGATAGCCCGCTTCAGCCAGCGGGGAGCGAGCAGCAGCTTCAGCCATTTCTTCGGTTGTAGTGTTGTACGAGAAGCTAGAACATAATACTGGCGAGGAATAGACAGTTGAGTCAGGGGGATTCAAATTCCGGATATTTGCACGTCTGCTGAGTTCGGCGTCAGAAAGAAATCTCTCGCGTCGAGTGCGTGCAAACGGTGGCTGTCGAGGTATGTTGTAATAGGCGGTTGGAGCAAGCGTTTGCTTTGAGGAGGGTCGAGCGTGTAAGTGAGAGTCGGGGCAAAAGCAGTTGTTGCAAAGCCAGATCAAGAGCAGAGGGGAGATAGAAAAGAAAACAAGACACAGTCCAAAAATGAGGACAGAAAAGGGAAAAGGAACGCAGCGATGAGCCGTTGTAGCGGGATGGAAGGAGGAAAAGAGAAGAAGAAGGAGAGAGATGGCACAAACGGAGGGCTGGCCCGGCAGGACTGGAGAAACAGGCGAAGTAGGGGAGTCAGGCGGCGCGGAAACAGGTAGTGCTTGAGCGTCGAATCAAATCGCACAACGTCGGTCTTGCGAGCAGAGGCAAAACGTGCCGGCCGCCCAGAAAAGCGAGCAGCTTGAAAGCTCAGGAATGCAATGTTTATGTGGGAGTGGCGGCCATGGTCACAGTCAACACAGTGCAAACAAGACACGGGGTTGGTGTTGACGGCCGGCCGCCGGCTGGGCTGGCGGAGGTTACAGTGAGAGGCAGGCCCTGGGCGGGTTGGGCTGGGCAAGGGAGGCTCATTCATTCATTGGGACGCGCAGACGCGCCGCGGCTCTGGAATGGAATTTTCTACAGCCCATCGACTCACCTGTACGAACCACCTGCAGACTACCTGCTCCTAACCAAGATAGTCGACGCTAAGGTATTAATCTCATTTTCTCGTCTCCAAGGAAGCAGTGGCGAGCCATCTCGCCGCATTCCAGCCTCTCAGTCATCCTAGTCAATCCATCGCCACAGCATACCTCGCCTACATTGTACCAGAAAAGCTATTTATTTTCCTTGGTCGTCACCTCCCTCTGTGTTCGTGACACCACAACTATCATTGTCGCCATCGCCGAACAAACCAATCGGGTCATAGAAACATCCCCGGGGGGGGGGTGTTTACCCAGCTCGTCCGGCCATGACGTGCACCCACCACCCCCATACCAACACTCATCGACTAGTTAAGACTATGTAGTTCAGAATGTCCTCAACCAGCAATTTGTTTCCAAAATAGCACTCGGACTATCCCCACCATCTTTGAAGTATCACTTGCGTCTTTAAAATACACTTTGCGGTGTCATATCGATGTCTCATGTGGTGGAACTCATACTGTAGCACAGTGGCCATATTCCGTCAACACAACACCTGCTTATAAACGCGCGCCTTCAGCGACGACGTACTGCCGCAGCCCTTCCGGTACCGAGACCAACCTAAGACCTTGCCACAGAGAACTCTCCACATGCTGAAGAACCATAGCTGTCACGGGCCCCGAGGTTTGCCGGCCGACAAGATGGTGGTGACTGGCTGCCATGTAAGTCAAGGGAGGCAGCAATCCACCTTAGAGACGGGCAAATCAGACGCCCAGGTCAGCCCAGCCTCGCTCTGTTGAAGAAAAGGTGTCGCTTTGACCTCATTTATCGTATTCTCTTTTCTCTGCAGCCCCCTAAGTTATGCCGAAGCCACCAGCCATTACCACAAGCTATGCTAGCCAGCAACATGGAGAGCAGTGTGCCATGTGAGATTGGAGCCGGTATGAATACTAACTTGAAATGGCCTCATTGCATGTAGCCTTTATTGGCCATGCTACACCCTATCGGCACTGAACTAAGCTGATTGTCATTCTATGCCGCTTTTCTATCTCCCATCTCAGGAAGTGGTGTAACGGGCTTAAAGTACTCTAGCTGCCCTCTTATAATATAATAAGGGATGCTCCTTCTAACGAACTAGATCAGCGTGATTGGTTTAGTGGTAAAATTCTCCGTTGCCATCCGCAACGTCGGGGAGCCCTGGGTTCGATTCCCAGATCACGCATTCCTTTTTGTTCGTTACTTTTTTGCATTTCTGGATTCCTGCTCCTAGATAATAACGCTGTACAGTTCATTTCCAGACTATATTTGCTAGGCACGAAACACACTCAATCTTGTTGCCTCTATCGCTTTGTTTGTCGCGCCCTGGACAAGCTTTACTTATCTTTGGCTACCATGTTTTGTCTCTGCGTAACACGCCTTGTGTCCAGAACACTCAGGCATAAAAAATAACAAAATCACATACAGCATGAAATGCACAAACTGTAGCCTCGACCATCTCCTCCTTCTTTCCCCGATTTTGCCTTAGACGTGCAATCCTCCCACAGCCAGCCAAACACTTTTTGGTGGAGACCTCTTTAAGTGCACACTGCAAACGCGTGTGCCGCGTCGTCACGGCCCCTCATCCAAAGTTTACACCCACAGCGCCAGCTCGCAATTATTGTTGGCCAGCACCACAGGTGCTCTCCTGCACGATGCCGTTGGACAATTCTCGGAGGAGGCGCCGCGTCGAATCCGATGACGAAACGGACGATGGCAATATCCAAACACCAGAACTCCCGAAGCGACCTCGACGATCGACGCTGCTACCACAGGATGAGGTTAACGGCGACTCGAGCCACACGAATGGCGCCTCGCACTCTGCCAGTATGGAGGAGTTCCAGCCTGGCTCTATTGTGCGCGTTTCTGTCCAAAACTTTGTAACATACGAAAGGGCGGACTTCTTTCCTGGCCCGTATTTGAATATGATTATTGGTCCCAACGGCACTGGCAAGAGCTCGCTTGTCTGTGCCATCTGCTTGGGCCTAGGATACAGTCCCAAGCATCTGGGACGCGCAGGCTCGATCAAAGAGTTTGTCAAGCACGGCAAGGACAAAGCGACCATTGAGATCGAGCTGCAAAAGAAACCGAACGTCCGACACAACTACGTTATCAAGGTCCAAATTCGTCGAGACCAAAACACACAGAAATGGTGGCTCAACGGCAAGGAGACCACGCACAAGAAAATTCAGGAGCTAATGGCGTCCCTCAAGATTCAAGTCGACAATCTCTGCCAGTTTCTGCCCCAAGACCGAGTGGTCGAATTCGCCGCCTCAACCCCCGTTCAGCTGCTTCATGAGACGATACGCGCGGCAGCACCGGAAGAAATGCTCATCTGGCAAAGCCAACTTCGAGAACTGTTCAAAGAAAAGAAGGGTCTTACAGAGAACTCTCAAAACGACGTGGAAACCCTTGAAAACCTCATGGCTCGCCAGGAGGGATTGCAAGCCGAGGTTGACCGACTTCGAGAACGTGACGAAATCCAAAAAAGACTAGATGATCTCAAAATTGTGAAGGTCTTGGTCAGATATCAAGAGGCGCGAGACAGATTTCTCAAAGCGAAAGAGCTCAAGAAGAAAGCCCAAGAATCTCTGCGGCGGCTCGAGACCGAAAGCGGGCCTTCACTGCAGGCCGTGAACAGAAAGGAGGCATATCTAGACAAGCTCAAGTCTGCCTTGTCCGGTAAAGAAAGAGCCCTTCAGCAGTGTCACGACGTTTCGGATGCCCTCGACCAAAAAGTCAAGGATGAACAGGCATCAATGGACGCGTTTGATACCAAAATGGTGTCCGAGCGAAAATTGTTTAATGCAAGGAAAAATGAAGTAGCTGCTGCTCGAGCCAGACTTACGTCGCTCCAGGCCGACCTGAAGAATTGCCCAGGCGAGTTCAACGCGAGCGAATGGAACCAGAAGATCCGTGCCGAGGAACACGAGCTGCGCGACCTAGAGTCTACGGATCGTGAGCTCGGTCTACAATTGACCAATTTGAAAGATGAGGTGCGAGGTCCAAAAGAGCGGACACGCACCTTGACAAGGTCCCTAGAGTCACTCGATACGCACTACGGCCAACAAGTGAATTTGATGAAAAAGAAGTTCCCGGAGGTTGCGCAAGGTTGGGAATGGATTCAGGCGCATATGGGCGAATTTGAAAAGGAGGTGTTTGGTCCACCGATGATAAGCTGCTCGATCAAGGACGAGCGTTTTTCATCACAGGTCCAATCGTTGCTACAAGTGGACGACTTTACATGTTTCACCGTCCAGACGCGCAGTGACTACAAAAAGCTGTCTGACCAGCTTTATCGTGTCATGAGTCTCTCGGTTGTCATCCGCTCAAGCGTTCACTCTTTGGAAAATTTTCAGACCCCGACGTCGCGGAACGAAACTCTCGAGCTCGGTCTTGACGGTTTCGCTGTTGATTATGTGGAGGGACCCGAACCCGTGCTCGCCATGCTTTGCTCGGAAAAGCGACTCCACCAGTCTGGTATCGCCTTACAGGAGCACGATAATGCTCAATATAACAGGCTAGCAAACAGCGGCACTATCACTCAGTGGGCCGCTGGCAAGCATACGTTCAGCCTTCGCCGGCGCAAGGAGTACGGTGGCAAGGCCATGACTGCTATTAGCAAATTGATTGCTTCTGGCGGGTTCTGGACTTCTCAGGGTGTCGACGTGCAGGAAAAGGCGGAGCTGACGCGCCAACTTGCAGAGGCCCAGGCGGAAGTTCAGACACTCAAGGAACGGAACACTGAAGTTCTAAAAAAGCGGACAGCCATCGAAAGACAGAAGCAAGCCATAAACGCGAAAATTGTGCGTTCCCTCGAGCTGTAGTGAAGTTGTTTCATGAGGCTAACCAACTCTCAGGACGACCTCAAAACCGAAAAGAGTGCTCTTCAAAGGGAGTATCAAAAATGGAAATCTCTACCAGACAAAATTGGTAAGGCTGTTCGAGGTGCAGGTTTGTGATTGAGGCTAATCGTGTCACTATAGAGGCTGAGGAGCGTCGGAGAGAAGAAAACATGGAAATGATGGAGGTGATCCGGAACCGCATGTACGCAGCTCAATACGACCTGGACAAGATGACCATGGACAAGTTCAGCGCTGCAATGCGCCACGCAGCTTCTCTGGAAAACATGATGAAAGCACATGAGGCATTTATTGAAGCTTCAATACGCTCCATTGAAGCTACTTCCGATCTTACTGGACTCAAAGGGCGCAATGCTAAGATCGTGGCTCGCCTTGCGGATGAAAGGGGGAAATTGGAAGAGGCGACCGCGAGCGCTGATCGAGCACGCACTGTGGGTAGAGAGATGTCCGACGAGGTCAAGGACTTGCTCACTGAGCTTGGGGAGCGCCGCCTCTACCTGCAGGACCTGGCAGAGGGCAAAACGGAGCACGAAATCGACGTGGAAATGGCCGCGGAGCAGGCACAGCTCGAGCTCATCTACACATCCGACCCCAACATCCTGCGCGAGTTTGAGAGGCGGGCGCAAGACATTGAACGACTGCAGCGCAAGATTGACAGCATCAGCACCAAGGCCGCAGAGCTAGCGGCTGCCCAAGACTCGCTGATGAACAAGTTTGAGCCAAAGTTGGACGAGCTGGTTACACAGATTAACAGTGCGTTTGCATACAACTTTGAGCAGATCAGCTGTTCAGGCGAAGTGCGCATCCACAAGGACGAGGACTTTGAGCAGTGGGCTCTGAACATTATGGTTCGCTTCCGGTACACATCCCATCCTCACCCGCTGCAAACCCATCCATCCACTTGAGTATAGCATCACTAACAGCGTGCGCAGTGAGAACGAAACCCTCCAGCAGCTCAACGCGCACCGGCAGTCGGGCGGCGAGCGCGCCGTGTCGACCGTCTTCTTCCTGATGGCGCTGCAGTCGCTCGCGCAGTCGCCGTTCCGCGTCGTCGACGAGATCAACCAGGGCATGGACCCGCGCAACGAGCGCATGGTGCACGAGCGCATGGTGGAAATTGCGTGCCGCGAGCACACGAGCCAGTACTTCCTCATCACGCCCAAGCTGCTCCCGGGCCTGCGGTACGACCCCAAGATGCGCCTCCTGTGCATCGCCAGCGGCAAGTACATGCCCCGCGACGGCGCCAAGCTCGACTTTGGCCGGTGCCTGGCCGTGATGCGCGGCATGGCGGCGACGAGAGCGTGAAAGGACGGTGCGGTTTTCTGTATATAAAAAATCTATGCTTTGATGGTGTGAGAAGGGAAATATCTCAAAGAGAGATACAGTGGTGTTTCTGATAACGTGTCTAGGAAGCGGGGTGTTTCCAAAACTTGGGGAGATTCTTTTTTACTTTCACAGTGTACAAATTTGGCGTATACTTGAGCGTTTTTAGCATGATGCATATTGTATTTTTTCCCTTTAGCAATTAGGAGTTATGTAGATCTTGACCCTGGTGCTCTTCCTCTCCTTGGGCCGGTATCTGGTTGCCTGGCTTCACGAGTAATGCTTAGCCGTTATGCCGCTGATGAGTCTCTTGTATAAAAGGCATGGCCTTTACTGTGCACATCTGGAAAAACTCTACCTCAACGACCTACCAAGAATTTTTTCTTCTCCTCTTTGATTAACAACCACTGCTACTACTACAATACAATCCAAGCAATCTTACCAAGATGGCGCCTTCTGACCACGCCACCGCATCGCCGCTCCTACCACCGGCGGCCCCCAAGACCGCGGCCGCGGTCAACAAGTTCGTCGCCGCTCTCGCCGGCCTCAAGCTCGCCTTCGGGCTTGGCTGCCTCCTCGCGCCGCGCCTCGCCTTCGCCGCGCTCCTTCTTGACCCGCCCGCCGCGCAGGCCGTCGTCGTCACGCAGCTGTACGGCGGCGCCGTCGCCGCGCTCGGAGGCCTTCTATGGATGGTCGCGGCCCCGCGGTACGGGAGCGGCCGGTCGCAGCGGCTGCTGCTCAAGGACACGCTGGCGGTGCACGTCGCGGCCGACGCGGTCGACGTGGTCTCGTGTGGGGTGGGCTTGGCGACGGGCGCGCTGCGGATGCCCGTGTTCGGGGTGGTGGGCGGCGGGTGCGCGGTGCTGGCGGCGCTGGGGGCGGCGGCGTATAGGTCCGTGGTGGTGCTGGAGGACTAAGTTGGGACAAAGCAGCCTCGTGGAAGAGGTGTGAGTTTTCGCAGAGGAGGATTGCGTCGGTCAGGTCCCGCGAGATGTTGGTTCGAATCCAGTCACACAAGGAACGAAAGCAAGTTTCAGCGTTTTGTAGTCATTGTACAACGATTAAACTTTAAAGGAGACCCGTGACATAGTAAAAAGAACATGCGCAAACAATACAAAAAAAAAAGGACGGGAAGAGAATATGGAACATAAAAAGACGCAACTCGCAAACACATCATGGGCTTCCCATCTTTCCTTTTTAGCTCTTCAAGACCATGGAAGAGCACCCAAGTCAAGTCACCAACTCTCTCAGAGCCCTTCCATTTTCATCACTGTGTTTCCAACAAAAGACGTTTGCTGCTTTCCTCCTTCACCTCCTCACTTCCTGCAGAGAGAAAATTCAAAAAAGACGACAACAAGAAAAAGAACATCAACAATACGCAATAATCGAACCCCAAATCACACCAGGTCGGGAAAGAAGCAAAGAAAGAAACGAGCATATACAATAAAACAACCTGATGAAAAGAAGTGAAGAAAAAAGAAAGAAAAAACCAATCCCAAATGTATTTTATCCAGCAAAGACCAGGAAATGAAAGCAGCGGGTATATGCGTTCATGAATGCGTAGCATGTCTTCAAGTCCAGAAGACAGAAAAACCTCAGGCCTTTTACTCATTAATGTCGAGGAAGAAGACGCTCAAGCTCACGCGAGCCATCGAGTCCTCCAGCTTCCCTTCGTCGTTTGCTTCGTGTCGTTACTTTGATTTGCGTCCCTCGGCGTGCTCTTCCGCGTCCAGCTTCTTGCGCCAGTCGGCCAGGCTCTCGCTGAGCCCCGCCCCGGCCATGGTGTCGTCGTCCTTTTTCAGGTCGACTGGCGGGTCAAAGTCAAAGGTGTTGCTCAAACGGTAGTTCTTGTTGGTGGCTTCCCAGTGGGTGCGGAGGGTCTCGAGCTCGCTGGCGAGGTTTTCGAGGGCCGCACTGCTGCGACCGTCCGCGTTACCGTGGCTGCCGCCGCCATATACGCTCTCCGCCTCGGAGCTCTCCTGGCGCGTGTGACTTACGCCGTTGGAACCGCCAACGTCAACCGGTGTCATGTTGGCCTGTCGGCTACGGCGGCGGTAGTTATCGACAGAGTGCTCCACCTGCTCAAGCAGGAAAGTGACCCTTGTCTCGGCGGCGGTGGCACGCTGCTCGAGCAAGTCGTTTTCAGAGCGCAATTGGTCAAGGTCCTTGACGTACGTGGCCAGCTGCTTCGTGGAGTGTTCCTTGTCCTTTTGCAGATCAGCAAGCTCCTTCTGCACGCCTGCGTACTTCTTCTCCAATTGAGAGCTGGAACTGCGGAGCTCTTCTTGTAGGCCTCCGATCTGTTGCTCCAGATTGTGCTTTTCAGTCTCCCATGCGACGGGCGTTTCCAATGATCGGCCATTACTCTCGCCATTCTGCATACGATCCTCCAAGCCTTCCTTCTCTGTCTTGAGACGGGCGTTGTCGGCCTTGTAACGTTGCAATTGCTCCTGAAGCTGCCTCAACATCTTCTCCGTGCCCTTGACGTAATGCACAGCAGATTGGTAGTCGTTCTCAAGCTGCGTAAGTTTTTCGCGGTAAGCAGAATCGGATTCCTGCGCTTGCACGGCAAAAGCTTGTTTCGTCTCCTCGTGAGAAGCATGCGAGCTTGCCAGTTGGGATTCCAGCTCGCGCAGACGGGTTTGCTCGGGTGAAGTCGTGCGAGGGCTGGCGAGTCCTCGACTGCGCACAGCAGTCGTGGGGCTGATGCCACGCTCATTAAGAATGTCCTTGAGCGCATTGTGTTGTACAGTCATGGCATTTGTCTCCAATTGCTGCGCAGCAAGCTGGTTTTTCACATCCGAATGAGCGGCCTGCAGACTCTGGGTTTCTCTAAGGGCAGCCTGAAGCTGTCGCCTGATGGACACTCCCTCTCGACTCGACTGCTCCTGATACTGTTCCAGACCTGCAATGCGTTCTTCGGCGCTTCGAAGCTTATCGGCAGCCGCGTCCAGCTCTTGCTGGTACTTCTTGACCAAGGCACTAGAGCTAGCGACCTGACTTTGCAGTGCCGTGGATCGCTCAGTCTCTCCAGTGTTGGACTTGGGCGAGTCACGCAAGGTAATCTTGTCAAGTCCAGAGAGGACGACCGCGCGATGTTGTCGGGCTTCGTTTGCATTCTTCTCTGCCAGCTCTTCGGCGTCGCGTAACCTTTGGGTGGAAGCAACTAGCTCGGCTGTGCGGGCTTCGTGCTCTACCTTCAGCTTGTTGAACTTGGTCTCCAGTCTCTCACGAGCAGTGCGCTCTTCAGCCAGCTTCTTCTCTACGTGGGACTTGCCGTCTTCCGAAGCCTTCATTGCCGCCCGAAGAGAGGTAAAGGTCTCATCGTGATTCTTTGATGTCCCAACAGCGTCGTTGTATTTGTTCGTGACATCTTCCTTCTCGGCTTTAAGCAAGGCCAAGGCGGATACAGCATCAGAGGCAGAAACAGAGTGTTCTCGGGCTTCCCGTTGTGACAAATGCAGTTCAGACTTGAGACGCTCAACTTCGGCAGAAGTTTGCTGCTTGTAAGATTCGAGGTGGGCGAGGCGCTTCTCGGCAGCGTTGGACGTCTCGTCGGCCAATTGACGGGCGCGTCTTTCCGCTTCTAATTCCGATTTCAGATTTTCAATATGAGTTTGCTGTTCTTTTTGCACGTGAAGTGCCGTCGCCAGCTTCTTGCTAATACCATCGACGCGGCCGACGTCATCACGCTCTCCATCCAGTTGCGGGGTACTAGCAGCGCTGCCAGCGGTTGATGCAGCGGCTACTTTAGCTTTTGCATACAAGGCTTCTTGAATAGCAGCGTCCCGTTGTCTTTCTGCCTCAGCAATTTGCTTGGCAGCAACAACGGCTTGTTTATCAACCGCACTTTGGACGTTGGCGAGCTCGGTTCGCATAGTTAAGAGTGCCTCGATGACTGGCTTGTCTTCGTCGTCGAAGGTTTGAGACGACTTCTCCAGGGCTACACTAGAGGTGTTGGGAACATAGCCACCCTTGCGAGCCAGCTCAAGTTCAGAAGCGTACCAGGCATTCTTGTTTCTGGCAGCATCAAGTTCCTTGAGCAAGGCAACAGTTTGTGAATTGCGCCCAGATGAGCGACGAGACACCAAGCTACCACCTTGTCGAGTCGGGGGCGGTGGCGATGATGGACGATTAGCACGGGACGACTCTAATGTGCTGTCGATAGAGCCCTGCGACGGGCGAGGCGCACGGGACTTTTCTGAGCCGCTGGGTGATCTTAAGCTTTGGGGCGGTGAGCGCTGACCATTTACCGCAGCGGAGACGGGGCCTTCGGGATCTGCGGCGAGTTGTCGTGTAGGGGCCTCAGCAGAGCCAGGCTTCGGCGAGCCGGCGGCAGGGCGGTCGACGGATGCGCCACGAACTCGCCCAATCGCAGGGGGCTCTGGCGGTGACTTGGATCCAGCAGGAGCCTGAGGAGGTGAGGCGGCCGGCGGAGGCGTGGGGCGCGGCAGTTTCGATCCCACGCCGGCTGGGCCTTGAAGCTCGGGGCTTGTCGGGTTCAACGAGCGGCTCGAGTCGGGACTTGAGATAGGACCTGACCCATTGGTAGCCGCTACCGTGGCGCCGACAGTGGCTGCGCCTGCTACTGCACCTGCGGCTGCACCCTGGGTGATTCGTTTGGGGTCTTGAGCCACATTGGAGGCACCTGGAGCTTGACGATTTAAAGTCTCCAGGCTCGGGCGGCCGGCCTGGGGAGAACGAATCGAACTCTGTTGGGCGTCGGCGGGATATCGAATCTTAGACGTATCCAAAACATAGAGAATGCCAAGATCATTAACGGTGGATGCAGCAGTGCTAGGCTCACCACCGAGTACAACGATGGACTTGCCAACAGTAGTCATGCTGTGGCCGGATCGTGGCGAGGGGGAAGGGCCCATGTTCTGGAACGTGTACCAACGTCGAAGGGAGATTCTAAAAGCGGCGAGGTCGCCCAAATCGGTGCCCTCCTCGGTTCTGCCTCCAAAAATGTACATGACGTCGTCAACAAGGGCGGCGGCATGGCCTTCACGGCGGGAGGGGATGTAGCCGATGCAGTCGAGCTGAGACCACTTGTTGACTTGCGGGTCGTAGCACCAGACATCGTTGAACCATTCGAAGCCATTGGTACCGCCGAAGAGGTACATCTTGTCGTTGTAGGTGATGACAGTATGGTTAGTTCGGGCGGCTGGTATACTCGGAGACGCTTCGGATTGGAGGAGAATCTCCCATCGATTGTTGGCCATCTGGAGCTGATTCAGGTCAAAGGCGGACAAATCATTCATGAAGTAGCCTTCAACTTGACCACCGAAAATGTAGATTTTGGAGCCCAGAATGTTTAACGAGTGGCCATAGCGACCGGACGGACGAGGCCCAGCGGGTAGCGCTCTGGACCAGTGCCTGGTGGATGTGTTGAGGAGATAGAGGGTCTCGTCAAGGACATCGGAATCCTCAATTTTGGTGTCACCGCCATAGACGATGAAGGCATTGCCGACCAAAAGACTGGAATGACCAACTCTGGGCCCTGGTCCCTCCGCAGTGGTGGGCAGTGGATAGCATGACATGCTGCCTCCGGCCTCGATCATCCAGAGATCGCCTTTGACGGTGGAGCTATTGATCAGGCCGCCCATCATGTAGATATCGCCTTCCTTGGAGGATGCGCTATTGACGGCGGCGCCATATCGGGGGAACGGACTAGGATTTTGCGTAGTGTAGGTGATTCGCCGTTGGGACCATGGATATAAAGAGGCGTTCGGGTTTGCGGCTGCCGGACCGTTGCGAAGCTAAAGCAGAGGTAAAAATGAAGCATCAGCATCGTCCATCTGGATCGGGGTGGTGGTGAAAAGCAAATAGACTTACCGCAGCATCGGTAGGAGGATTTGCCATGGCATTATTGTTGTCGACACTGCCACCGCGACGGCTGTGGGCAGAGGTAACTTTACGCTCGGGGGTGGTGACGGCATCATTTTCTAACGAGTTGACACTGCCAGTTGGGGTTGCCCTGTGTTTTTCATTCTGGATGCGGGCATTCGCGCCAGCCATGGAGGTCGGGGGATGAGCATTGCCATCACGGCTGGACAGCGCGCGATCCTGGTTCTTCTTGGATTTGAAGAGAAACGCCATGATGGATCAGGGGCCGCGCGCCGGCGGGCAAAGAGCGAGGATAGTCGGCGCAGCGGCGAGAGGCGATTCGGGAGCAATTGAAAGAAGGGCGCAGAAGACTCTGGTTTCGAGGAAATTGTCAAAGGCGATGGCAAGATGCAGATATGCAGTCGGTAGGGGCCGATGGTGCAGTAGGGCTGGCGGTTGAGATGGTTGGAGCGAGCGAGCCAGGGGAAGGGGAGGTGTGTGCGCGCGCGCAAAGGCCTTGCTGGTAGGAAGCCAGCCGAAGATGGTGCGATGTGCGATGCCGGTAAGGGCAAAAAGGAGCACGGGAGCTCAGGTTTGGAGATGGCTGGGAACCGCCGAGGGGGTTGCGTGGGTGAGAGGGCGAGTTGGTCGTGGGCGGGTGATGAGGAAAATTGTCGTTGTGCCTCTTCTTTTTTAGGGATGGCCTACCTGGCTGGCTCAAGCGGCTGGGGGGGAGGCCGTAAATTCCAGAGGGGTTGGGCGTGCAGGTTGTGTTGCGGCTAGCGGGAGCTGGGGGTAGGAGGAGGAGGGAGAGAGGAGTCGAATGGATGGATGGGATGTCACGGTTGCCCCAGTCTGGGTGAGCAAACGAGATGGGAGGACAGAAGAGTACCGGTAGAAGAGAGCTAGGAGGGGATTTGCATAGACCAAAGAAATGAATCACAATTGAGCAAATAGGTGGATAAAACAATCATCATCAACGAGATCCTACATGTATGCAAGAACCGTTGAAACTTGGGGGCGTCGGCATCCGTACCTGAAGACCAACGGCAGAAAAAAAGGGGAATTTTCAAGAGTTTACAATGGCTTACATGAACGCCCAAGATCCAGGTCGATGGTACCTTACCGCCTTACGTTGGCACTTTGGTACCTCGGCGATACCCCCTGTTTCTCCTGTTTCGGTGGTGGCACAAGCCGCCTGCTGTGCCTAACTTGGCTTCGGAAAACAGCCAGGCTGGTGTATATTTTTGAGTGGTTGCTGCAATGGACAGCCGTTACGGGTAGGTAAGTATGTATGTATCTTATTACGGTACCAGTAAATCGGCGCTGTCGGGCCCGGTGGGAGGCGCAGTATAGACAGGCTGTTGACCAGCCTTTTAACATGGCATATAAGCCAACACAAGGAATAAGGATTCGTAAGCTTGAAGTAAAAACCTGACATGGCCCTGTTGGTGGCGACTTTGACTGTCAATGTCAGGGGTCTACTGTATTAAAAAGGGGTGTCAAGCAACGTTTGTCCTCTTGGTGCCGCATGCACGCAATCTATCGAGTCTCGGTGTCAAAATTGCACATGTGCACTCTGTAGTTATTCACTTTCGTCTCTTCATGCAAAAATCTCTGCCATTCCCGAGATCCATGGTTTTCTATTATTATAAACAACATCGATATAGTACCCGTCCCTGCTGTCTCTGTACCAGTTTTGCATCCGTACGAAGCATTCTCAACGCTCCAAGTGGCTGGGCCAATCCGCACATTGTGGGGAAGCGCGGTTCTCCCTACCTTGACGCAAGGACTGAAGGGGTACATTCTTGTCCACACTAACTTCGCGCCAGGCCGTGTACACGTCCAGTATCTTGTGTTAGATATCACGTACCCGAGAGAAGTGCCCACAAAGACTCGATTTCTTACCCGGCCGCTGTCAAGAATATTGCACAAGTTAATTAGCTACAATGACAAGCGGTTCTCGGCCCTGCAACATTACTATTGCCAGGGACCAGCGTCAGGTGCAGCGCGCCATCGGTGGCTGCAGCCAGGTACGTGCCTGTATTTACAGTGCCCGCCGCCCAGCACGCGAAATCAAAGGGGCTGGAGGGGCGCCGATCCACACCCTTCTTTTTCATCCCCATCCCATATCCTGGATGCCTCTGCCTGGCGACTGGCACGTTTGCCAACCACCAACACTTGCTCTCTGGCTCTTATCAACCAAGTAATCACCAGATATCCGTACCGTGTCGGTTCAGTGAGGTTTGGCTCGACTCAACGCGTGTTAGTTACTGGGAGACGCCTGCTCCCACTCATTTCACACATCGATGCTAGCCGCCTTACCAATAGCTCATCACGCTACATACGTGCCTTGTCATACTCCGTGCTACACTTGACCTTCGTTCTGCGAAAATTGCTACGTATTATTACCTGCTAACTTCGCTGTGGCTAGTCCGATTGCAAGGGCTGTCCAATGTCGACTCGGTGCGGAGTCCGTATCACACCAGCTTTTTGAGCAACCTCACACGGCGTACTGTCGCCGAGGTCTGGTGCTAAATCCGTTCAATAATACGAGCAAGTGCAGATTTCAATACCTTAAACCACAGACCTTCACCGCCGCCAACCAAGTCCGCCAACCCAGTCCATACGGATGAGGTGTTTGCTTGACCGCACCACTCCGTGCTCTCCCACACGCAACCTACAATTTGAGGCCTACCCGGAACCAACAAACAAACTTTGAGACATGGCACTTCGATGCGAGTTGCAGTACGGGTACCACTATCTTAGATCCTCGGTCTTTTCTCATGCATCAGGTATCAAGCTGCACTCCAGCCCCGGGCCATACTCCATCTAAATGCTAGTGTCGAGCCCCGCAGATTGATTTCAGAGTTTCATGTATCAAGTTGAAGTTTGGCGGTGATTCTATGAACCACGCACATAAGAGCCTACGTAGCTGAATCACGCCAAGCGAGTTCACGCCAACTGCGTCAATGAGAATCCACCGTCCGCGCACAAAAAACTCCAGCTCACTCCTGAGCATGATCATGGAGACGAGCAAACAGGCCCTAGCTAAATCAAAATTACCTGCAAAACCGATGATGCGAAGCTGGAGCAGGGGATGCCCGATGCTTCGCATCATACCCCACAAAGATGTCTCATCGATCCCAGCACCATAACTTCCTACACCAGCAACTTCGCGTGTGACCCAGACAAGCGTGACAGGAAAGTACATCTGCTTGCTGTTATTTTCAGTTCTGCGCATCCTACAAACAAACGACGCAACGGATCCTTACTGTCCCGCGTAAGCTGGCAATTGTAGTAGACATTCCTACAGGGTAAGACAACGCTGCGACCTAAATGCTCCCCTAGTTGGACAAAATAAGGCCCAATTTTGAACATTGAATCGCAGTCCTGACATCAATGGACCTAGAGAGCTGATGGTGCCGTCTCTAAAATGCATATATCAGAAGCTCGACTCGACGGTAATATGAAGTCTTTAAAGAAACATCCGTATTGAAGTTAATATCGTATTGCTATCGCGTTGTGCTTCTGAAAGTCTCGTGAGGAGAACTACAGAGGCACGTTCAGCGACGCCCATGCCTTTCGCATCGGGGAAAACGGGCCGGAGAGTCAACACGCAACTAGCTCCAGTAAAATGAAGAAGATACTAATCGAGTCTAACTTCCGGGTTGCGCTTAGAAGCATCGCCTCCAGCGCCGAGTCCACGAGCGCGGTGACGTGGGTGACCTTCTTAGTCGCGCGTACCCAGCAGGGGGCAATCTCGGGGTATTCGTGGTTGAGTTTGAGCAGACTCAGGGCGATCGCGCGTTACGAGGCTCGCGGGCGGGTAGTTCAAGGTGGGAGTCTATAGCGGCGCAGTATAACGATGGTTGCACAGAACACAGAAACTGTTGCGCCGTTCTCCCGACAAGCCCGTGCATTCCGGACAGTTGCCATTATTAGAAATGGAGTGTTTTAGAACGGAGGTATTTATGTAAGGAGAAACAGAGGCAAAAGAACAAACGAGCTTTTTAATACATCGTGGTTGGGTTACTGCATGGGAGAGGTAAGTGGCCTGTTGCGGGCATTGCCTCCATCATGCGCAGCTATTGTATTGATGTTTTTGCAAGCCCTGCTCTTTGTTCAGTTACACAGAAACTGGAGTACTTTTCATGAATTTTTATTGGTATTCAGCGTATTAGAGCCAAGCGGATGAAGAGAAGGGCGGTAATATATGAACGCTGGCTTAACTCCCAAGACCCTTCGCTTGGAGGCGGAGATGATTAGCCCAGGGTGAACAATTGCGGCTTCTCCCCTTCCTTTCAACTTTTCAAAGACTGGTGAGTCTAAGACTAAAAGCGCGAGTCTTCACAAATACTCATCTCGTAGATCGTGGCGCTCCCTTCGCGGCTGCGCGCCAAACGGATGCTCGAAACTAAAGGTATGAACCGTAGCACTGAGCATCGAAAACAGCGTAACCCTTTGCAGAAGTTTGGAAAATGAGACCAAAGTATATAGGATAATTGTACTTAAGTCTAACATCTAAATTTTTATTTTTCACGAAATATGCATCAGACTCCCTGTCGGAGGCAAGACTTCTGGTCGTGTTAGTGATAAGAAGCTACAATCATATCGATAAGCCCATCTTGGCCTTATCGTCCCGCAAAATACTAGATTCACCCCTGATTCCCGGGTGTGTCCGATTTTAGTGCCGGAACATTATTCATGCATTCCCTAGCGCAGTTGGTTTTGGTGGCAGGAGCCCCCAGCACCTTTGGTTTCTGGTGATTTTTGAACGCGACTAGTTTACTTCCATCAAATACTTACACACAGAAGGCACCTGTTATTAGAGGCGCCTCTTCCGCGCAAACAACACCACGACGCCTCTTACTACTCCATTGAACTCGCTTAAAATAGCGCGGAATTTTCCTCATCACCAAAGCTTCGAAATAATAAAATCAAATCGCTTCACCCGATCAAGAAGCCCAGAAGCGCCGAACTGCCCCCCACACGAACGACTGCGCCGGGCCACCTCCGACTTCTCTCCCGCGGCATTGCCCCCTTGAATGGGAGCTCTTTTCGCGTCTTAGGGACGCTTATGATGCAGCGATGTCGGGGACAACGATAGATGATGTCGTGAAGCGGCTAAGCAGCGCGGACATTGGTATGAAACGATTGTGGTCGCCTGTTTGCGCCTGCCTCTCGCGGCGAATGCGCAAACCCTACAGCATGAACGAATTCTCACATGATATTTTACAGATACCAAGTCCAAGGTAGAAGCTGCCACTACTCTCCGCGACTCCCTAGACCACTACACAAATGGTCCCATATACCCTCCTTTCCTCAAGAGGTTGATGCCCATCTTCCTCAACATCTTGCGTGGACCCTGCATCTTCCAGAGCAACTCACCAGAGCAGGTTCGTCAAGGCGCGCTATCACTATCGGATGTGTCAATAAGCTAACTCATTCTCAGAAATTGCGAAATTGTATCCTGGAGGTCCTTCACAGATTGCCCAGCGCGCCATCGCCCGCCGAGCCACTCGAGCCGTACGCCGTCGAACTCGCCGAATTGCTCATGCAACTGGTGCGCACCGACAATGAAGATAACGCGACACTATGCGTTAAGATCACATCCGATATTATGCGTCATCAGCACAAGGCGTTGACCGGCAAGGTTCAGCAGTTCCTGTCTCTAATACAGGAGCTGTTTGAGCAAATGGACAAGGTCGTCCGTGAGCAGCTGGACAATGGTGCTGCTCCGCCTGCTGCTGGCGGTGCACCTTCAACACCTGGTGGCTCACAGAACTTCCAGTCGCCTCGACCAGCCTCTCCCGTTGCATCCGTAACAGAGCTCGGCGCCGACCCTCAGCAACAGAATCGCCCGCTGCTCAAGGGAATGCAGTCCTTCAAAGTTCTTTCAGAGTGTCCGATTATTGTGGTATCGATATTCCAGGTGTACCGCAATACAGTCCAGCAAAACGTGAGGGCTTTTGTACCGCTCATCAAGTCAGCACTGCAGCTCCAAGCCAGCGCACAGAAGCAAGCGCATGCCGATGCCGCCAGCAAGGGCAAAATTCACACTGGTGTCAGCCCTGCAATCAAGAATCGTGCGGCCTTCGGCGACTTTATCACTGCTCAGGTGAAGACTATGAGCTTCTTGGCGTACTTGCTTAGAGCGCACTCCTCGCAACTTACTGACTTCCTGCCGAGCTTGCCTGACATCGTCGTGCGACTATTAAAGGACTGCCCTAAGGAGAAGTCCGCCACGAGGAAGGAGCTTTTGATTGCAATCCGGCACATAATCAACTATAACTGCCGCAAAATCTTTCTGCCCAAAATTGACGAGCTCCTTGACGAGCGCACATTGACCGGTGATGGACTGACAGTCTACGAGACGATGCGGCCCCTTGCCTACAGCATGCTTGCAGATCTGATACACCATGTACGAGACTCCCTGAGTCCGGAACAGATCCGTAAGACAGTCGAGGTCTACACGAGGAACTTGCAGGACCCGTTCCCCGGTACTAGCTTCCAGACCATGAGTGCGAAGCTTCTGCTCAACATGGCCGAGTGTATCGCGAAACTACCTAACAAGGTTGACGCTCGCCACTATCTCATGATGATTCTCAACGCCATCGGGGACAAGTTTGCTTCTATGAATCGCCAGTACCCAAACGCCGTGAAGCTGTCGATGCTTTATCATCAGCAGCAGGAGAGCAGTGCCAGCGCGCCGGAGACATATCTTGCCGACAGAGAGAACCCCCCGGACTGGGATGAAGTCGACATCTTCTCCGCAATGCCCATTAAGACCTCACACCCGCGCGACAGAGGCTCTGACCCTGTGGTCGACAACAAGTTTCTTTTCAAAAACCTCATGAACGGGCTGAAGAACACCTTCTACCAGCTGCGAACATGCAACGTTGGGACACCGATTGACCCGGCGAACGCGCCCTCACATTGGCAAGAAGTCGCATACGGCTTCACTGCGGAAGAGGTCAATGTTATCGTTAAGCTCTTCCGCGAGGGCGCCTACGTATTCCGATACTATGAAATTGAAAAGCCGGCGATTGAATCGCAGTACTCTTCACCCGTTGAGCAAATGGCAAATTTCTACATGATCTCCAGCTCCAAGGAGGAGAAGGACCTGCTCGAAACCTTCGCCACTGTGTTCCACTGCATTGACCCGGCCACCTTCCATGAAGTCTTTCAGCAGGAGATCCCACACCTCTACGACATGATATTCGAACATACATCACTGCTGCATATACCCCAGTTTTTCTTAGCCAGCGAAGCGACTTCTCCCAGTTTTTGTGGCATGTTATTGCAGTTCCTCATGGAGCGAATTGACGAAGTTGGTTCAGCTGATGTCAAGAAAGCCTCCATCTTGATTCGTCTCTTTAAGCTGGCCTTTATGGCCGTCACGCTGTTTGCCGGCCAAAACGAGCAAGTACTCCTTCCGCACGTGGTCAACATTGTTACCAAGTCGATTGAGCTTTCGACAAAGGCTGAGGAGCCTATCAACTACTTTCTTCTGCTGCGTGCACTATTTCGCAGCATTGGTGGTGGCAAGTTTGAGCAGCTCTACAAGCAGATCCTGCCGCTACTAGAAATGCTGCTCGATGTTCTGAACAACTTGCTCATGGCGGCACGTAAGCCGGCTGAGAGGGATCTTTATGTTGAGCTGTGTCTCACCGTTCCTGCGCGACTCAGTCATCTGCTGCCCCATCTGAGATTCTTGATGCGGCCGCTGGTGGTTGCCCTTCGCGCTGGCACGGATTTGGTTGGTCAAGGTCTTCGGACATTGGAGCTTTGTGTTGACAACTTGACCACCGATTACCTCGATCCCATCATGGCCCCTGTTATTGATGAACTCATGACTGCGCTATTTGACCATCTGCGACCGCATCCTTACAATCACTTCCATGCGCACACCACTATGCGTATTCTAGGCAAACTTGGAGGGCGAAATCGTAAATTTATGACTGCGGCGGTGCCTCTGACCTACCAGACATACGCAGACGATTCGGCAAGCTTCGACGTCCGCTTAATTGGCTCCAAGTATGACAGAGCATTCCCTGCGGACCTGGGCATCGATTTTGCGATCCAGAAACTCATGGAGGTTGTGAAGAACGGCAAAGGCAACCAAACTAAGCAATACGAGGAGTACTACAAGGGCCAGGCGTTGCACTTTATCAAGACACAGCTGAAACTTCGCATTGGCTACGACCAGTTACCAGAAGACTTGCCGCGTATTGTTCGGCTGCAGGCGCAAGACCTGCTTGGCCGCAAGCTCGATATCAATTTTGCACCTTTTGAGATGTCAAGTCGCGACAAATCCATCCCGAAAAAAGATGAGCAAGACGAAATTACAAAGCGCCTGCTCAAGGCAGTTATGTTCGCATATTCTATACCTGAATTTAAAGCGAAGGCCGCCGCTTTCATGCAAGATATCTGCAGACACTTTTCGCTTATCGAGATTGGAAGGTCGCTGGTCGACTTGAAACGCAACACCAGCCCGTTCGACCCCAAAGCTGGCGAGGGGCCGCTCTTCATCGATACACGGGTACTGTCCGATGCGATTGTCGAGTCACTGGCGTCTGATCACCCTGACGTCCGCGAAGCAGCTCAGAATGCCATCCGCGATCTCTTCCAGTGTACTGCTATCGTGTTCGGCTCTGCGGACAACGTAGGTCGCCTGCCTTTGTTTAGCCACCTCAGCAGCACTTTCTGTCACAGCTGCTACGAGGAGGAATGGTTTACCAAGGCTGGTGGCAGTCTCGGTATCAACTTCCTCCTCACGGAGCTTGATTTTGGCGATCAATGGGTCGCCACCAAGCAGATGGAATTCATCCGATCGCTCATGTATGTCATCAAGGACATGCCCCCTGATCTGCCTGAGAAGACGCGATGCCTTGCCCAAAGCAGCCTGCAAGTACTCCTCGCCCGCATCACCAAAAATATCAAGAAAGAAGATGCCCTGCCTGTTCAGCCACAACACGGGCAGCCCTTGGTCAAGCAGCCTCGCCTTGCGCAAATCTGCATGCAGTTTAACAACGAGTTGTTCCACATGAACAAGTTTGTGCGCGAGACTGCGAGAGAGTCTCTGGAGCTTATTGCCAAGGCTGCTAGCTGCGAAGTCTGGGAACTGGTTGAGCCTTACAAGGACAGATTCTTGCAACCGATCTATGCAAAGCCGCTCCGCGCTCTACCCTTCGCTATTCAGATTGGATATATCAATGCCATGACCTACCACATGAGTCTGAAGAGCGATTGGGTCAAGTTTGACGAAAACCTAAATCGACTGCTCATGGAGTCTCTTGCTCTGGCAGACGCGAGTGACGAATCATTGGCCAACAAGCCAGCTGAGTATCGCACCCATGAGCACATTGTCAACTTGCGCATCTCTTGCATTAAGCTGCTGAGCACGGCCATGGCTTTTGAAGACTTTGCGAATGCCCCTACGAAAGGCAAGATTCTATCTGTTTTCTTCAAGTGCCTATACTCAGACTCCAAACCTACCATTGCTGCAGCCAACGATGCCCTGAAGTCAATCTTGCTCGTTGATAGAAGATTACCTAAAGATCTGCTCCAGGGAGGCCTTCGTCCTGTTCTGCAAAGTCTCTCTGACCCGAAGAAGCTCAACGTCAACGGACTTGAGAACTTGTCCCGTTTGCTGAAGCTGCTTACCAGCTACTTCAAGGTAGAAATTGGAGTGCGCTTACTGGATCAAGTGGATTCCATCGTGGAACCCAGCGCCTGGCAGCAGATTTCCTTTACCTTCTTTGAGCAGAATCCTCAGATGAGAGTCATTGCAGCGATTCTGCACATTTTCCATCTCCTGCCTGCTCAGGCTGAAGCCTTCAAGGATAGACTCATTGATTGCCTACTCACGCTTGAGGATCGTCTCAGACGAACACATCAGAGTCCATTCAGAGCGCCTATGTACCTGTACCTGAACAGATACGCCAAGGAGGTCTGGGGCTATTTAGTTAGCAAGATGGATGAGCTCAAGTACGGCAGACTTCTTGCCCAGGTACTTTTGAGTCCGGAGAGCGGCCCGATGCGCGAGGTTGCAGCGGCGGAGTTTGAGAATCTACAGAAGAAATGCAATGAGATTGTTGGCCGGAACGACGAGAAGAAGTTCACCGCCATGGTCAACACCATTCATGTGCTGCACTCGCTGTCTCAGTTCCCAGATGCGTGCGGATGGATGGACAAGAAAGAGCATCTGGTCTGGCTGAAGAGAATGGGCAAGGATCTTGAGAGCCACCTGCGGAGCTACACCTGTCCGGCTGCGATGCGCCTTCCTGCTCACCAGGCAGCAGAACAGCTCATGGATGTTCTGGTCAAGTCCCTGGAACGATCTCCAAAGGACCTGGACTCGCTATTCAGTCTCATTGAGCACGTCACAGCGGAGGAGCTTCGGTCAACCCAAGCACTCTACTCCTTCATCTACAGCCATGTCATTTCCAGCGACTCAATCGATTTCTGGAAGACGACAGTTCTTCGATGCTTGGATGCGTACTCTGCCAGAAGCGGATCTAACAAGACAAAATACTTCTTGCTTCACAACATTGTCAACCCAATTGTTGCGATGGACGTCATGAGACGCTGGAATCAACATGAGCAGGACAAGTCGCAGCGTTTCATGGACAAGTCTGTCATTGATGCCGTGAGCTCCAAGATCTGGAAGGTTCACCCAGACATGGCGTCGGACGATGCTGCTGGTATTGACCACACTAGATTTGAGGTGCTCCAACTCTCGGCGATGCTTGTCAAGTATTATCACAGCACTTTGCAAGAAGCTCGCAAAGACATCATCAAGTTCGGCTGGACATTCATCCGCCTCGAAGACATCATCAACAAACATGCCGCCTACGTCGTCATCGGTTACTTCATCGCACACTACGAAACGCCTACTAAGATTGTGAATCAAGTGTACTTGTCTCTGTTGAAGACGAACCAGAACGAGGGACGTGCCTTGGTGACGCAGGCCCTCGAGCTGATCGCCCCGGTGTTGCCAAAGCGCTGTGCCACTCTGCCGACGGAGAAGTTCCCTGCTTGGCAAGTTGCGCCTCGCCGTATCCTGGCTGACGAGGGACACAATGTTCAGCAGATGATGAGCATCTTCCAGTTTCTGGTCAAGCATCCGGATTTGTTCTATGAAGCACGTGATAAGTATACCGTTCTTCTTATTTCTTCTCTGCGCAAGGTTGCCGCGCCTCCAAACCCGTCTCACGAGCACAAGAAGCTGGCCCTCAACATGATGTGGCTAGTTTGGACCTGGGAGCAGTGGCGCGTTGAAGGGAGAAGCACTGCCGGGTCGCTTTCGCCCGTGTCCAAAAAGCGCAAGCTCGACAGCAATGATCAGCCCGTAGCTTCGCCTATACTTGCAAAGGCCACGCCTGAGTATCTCATCCCGCCTGGGTTCCGACAGAAGATGCTCAAGTTCCTGGTCGAGTTCATCGCTCAGCTCAATGAGCGTTACGTGTTGCCTTCTGCCAAGCCACGGGAGCCGACGCCAACGACAATGCCCGTGCCGCAGACATCTACGGAGCTTTGCAAGAAGGCAATGTCACTGCTTCACAACTTGGTTCAGCCCCAGTACTGGGGTGACCTAGAGCTGGACTTGTTCCCCAACGTCACTGATGTGATGCTCGCCAGTGAGAAGACGCAGTCCATCCTCAACGCCGATCCATCCGATAAGGAAAAGTACGACGACAAGTTCCTGACCAGCATCATCAACACTCTGCAGGTTGTCCGCATCCTGCTGAATGCAAAGTCAGACGAATGGATCCAGAAGAACATTCCTGCTGTGCAGAAGGTTTTGGAGAAGTGTCTCAAGTCTGAAAATCCTGAAATTCAAGACTGCTTGCATCTCCAAGACAAGAAATACGACAATGGCCGTGAGTTGAAGTCCACCATCAAGCGGTTTTTGGACGCAGTTCCAGAAGATACTCCCATGGAGGACGCCGATGCCGACGGCGAGCCCGAAGCACCGACTTCTGAGATAATTGCATATCTATCACAAATTGCAACGGAGCAGATGAACAATGCCTCTTACTTTTCTGGCGTCAACATTCTGTGGTCTCTAGAGGATCGCAAGCCTGCCGTCATTGACCAGCACATCCCTTCTCTGATGAAGGCTCTTCAAAGCAAACATGCTCGAGAACATGTTCAGCACTACAACGCCCTGGCAAGCAATTCTAACGGGGCCCAACGGCCCCCCGATGCCCTTGCTGTCACTGGCGAGCTTCCCGCGTACGAGCTAGAATTGCAGACGCGATTGATGATCAAAGAAATCCAGGTCGTTGCGCTCAGAATGGAGACGTTGGGAGATAATCGACGTCCTTTCCTCAGCGTCTTGGCGACCTTGGTCGAAAAGTCGCTGCACATTGACTTGTGCACAGAGATCCTGAACATGGTCGAGAGCTGGGTATTCCGAGTTGAAGGAACGTGGCCGACACTTAAGGAGAAAACCGCCGTTCTTCATAAGATGCTTTGCTTTGAGCATAGACAGGACCCTACAATGCTGTCCAAGTTTCTGGAGCTGGTGATCAAGATCTACGAAGACCCCAGAATCACGAGAACCGAGCTCACCGTGCGCATGGAGCACGCTTTCCTCATAGGAACTAGAGCCGCTGATGTCGAGATGCGCAATCGCTTCATGGCCATCTTTGACAAGAGCCTCTCTAAGACTGCTAGTGTGCGCCTGTCCTACATTTTGACCGCACAGAATTGGGACACGCTTGCCGATTCTTACTGGCTTGCGCAGGCCTCGCAGCTGCTTTTTGGAGCCGTCGAGATGAACACGGCCCTCCAGCTACACTCGGACGATTACCGGGTTCTCTCGACATCACAGCTTGCTGCTGTCTATCCGAAGGACTCGACTCGTGAGTCCGCTTCTATGGCCGATGACAAGTTTGACGACCTGATGTCGAGACACCGCCGTTTCATCCACGAGCTGGGCGAGGTCAAAGTGAGGGATGTCATTGAGCCGTTGGTGCAGCTGCAGCACGCCGACAACCAGCTTGCTCACCAACTTTGGCTGGCCTTGTTCCCCATGTTCTGGACAGCCACGGCTCGTGATGAGCGACCTGACCTGGAGCGAGGAATCGTCGCGCTGCTGACTAAGGACTACCACAGCCGCCAGATCGACAAGCGACCCAACGTGGTCCAATCTCTTGTCGAAGGAGCTGGCAAAGCTGCGCCAGAGTGCAGGCTCCCCCCTCACGTGCTCAAGTTCGAGGCCAAGACGTATGATGCCTGGTATGCGGCACTCGTACAGCTAGAAAATGCTGCCATCAAGCCCATGGGCGACTCGGCCCTTGTCAGGGAAAGCAATCTCGATGCCCTGGTTGACCTGTACGCGTCCTTGCAGGAAGAAGACCTGTTCTACGGCACGTGGCGGCGACGATGCCAGTTTGTCGAGACGAACGCTGGTCTTTCTTACGAACAGAATGGAATGTGGGACAAGGCACAGAAGCTGTACGAGAATGCGCAAGTCAAGGCCCGGACCGGTGTGATTCCCTTCACCCAGGCCGAGTACATGCTTTGGGAGGACCACTGGGTGCTGTGCGCGCAGAAGCTGCAGCAGTGGGAGATTTTGCAGGACTTTGCCAAGCATGAGAACTTCCAGGACTTGCTGCTCGAATGTGCCTGGCGAAACACGGAGATGTGGCAAGAAGAGCAGCATCGCGAAGCACTCGACAACATCATCAAGGGTGTCATGGATGCCCCTACGCCTCGTCGCGCTTGCTTTCAGGCCTTCATGGCCTTGCTCAAGTTCCATAACCAACCTCAGGCGGAGAGTCAAAGCGAGTTTGTCCGTGTCTGCGACGAGGCCATTCAGCTGTCGATTCGCAAGTGGCATCAGCTGCCTGAGCGGTTGACTAATGCCCATGTCCCCTTGCTGCAAAACTTCCAGCAGCTTGTTGAGATGCACGACGCCAGCGTCATCTGCCAGAGCCTGGCATCCACCAATGCTTCGAATCTCGATGTCAAGTCTGGGGAGCTGAAGCTTCTTCTGGGCGCCTGGCGCGACCGTCTTCCCAACGTCTGGGACGACATCACTGCCTGGCAGGACCTGGTCACATGGCGACAGCACATCTTTGGCCTCATCAATCAAACGTACCTGCAACTGCTACCCCAGCAGGGAGGCCAAAACGGCGGAGGCGCATCCTCCTTTGCTTACCGCGGCTACCACGAGACTGCCTGGATAATCAACAGATTTGCTCACGTCGCTCGCAAGCATAATCTGCCCGACGTCTGCATCAGCCAGCTGAGCCGCATCTATACTCTGCCTAACATTGAGATTCAAGAGGCCTTCTTGAAGCTTCGCGAGCAAGCCAAGTGCCACTATGAGAACTCAGAGGAACTAAACAGTGGGTTGGATGTGATTAACAATACGAACCTCAGCTACTTCAATCCTCAGCAAAAGGCGGAATTCTACACCCTGAAAGGCATGTTTCAAGAAAAGCTCAAGCACAAGGACGAAGCCGACGCCGCATACGGAACCGCCCTGTTCTACGACATTGGTGCAGCAAAGGCATGGGCTGAATGGGGCCATTTCAACGACCGCAAGTTCAAGGAAAATCCAGCCGATCTCAATTCTGCTCGTCAAGCCCTCACCTCGTACCTGCAAGCCGCAGGCAGCTACAAGAGTGCCAAATCTCGCAAGCTTCTCGCTCGCATCCTGTGGCTGCTGAGCCTTGACGATGCTAGGGGTACCATTGCCATGGGCTTTGACGACTTTAAGGGCGAAACCCCCGTTTGGTACTGGATCACGTATATCCCGCAGCTCCTGACTGGGCTTGGCTACAAGGAAGCGCCGCGCGTCTACCAAATTCTTCTCAGCATCGCCAAGTCTTACCCTCAGGCCCTCTACTTCCAGCTCCGCACAAGCCGAGAGGACATGAACACCATCCGAAAGAACCAGGAAGCCAAGGAGAAGGCACGCCAGCGCCAGCAGTCAATGGCGAACAACAAGGCCAACGCTTCGCCTTCCGTGCCCAAGTCTGACGTTCCAAAACCCGACCAGACATCCCGTCCGGGCACAGCCAACAACGGAGACGCGGCTGTCAAGACGGAGGGCGACGCCGCCGCTGCGGCAGCTACTCCCTCCGCTTCGGTTGCAGCGTCTACTCCTACTCCCGGACCTGATGCCAAGACGCCGGCCCAAGGAGCCCCGGCCCAGGGAGCCCCGGCCCAAGAAGCCCCGGCGACGCGGGCTGCCCACAACGGCAAGAAGCCGCCTTGGGAGCTCAACGAGGAAATTATGTCAGTCCTCAAGACAGCGTTTCCTCTTCTGGCCCTGTCAATGGAGACCATGGTGGACCAGATCCAAAAGCACTTCAAGTGTCCACCCGACGAGGATGCGTATCGATTGATCGTGGCGCTTCTCAACGATGCCTTGACATTCGTTAGCAGGACTCCTCCATCATTTGCTCGAAGTGTCAAGCTGCCGTCGGCGACGGAAACCAACATTACCAGGTTTGCCGATACCATCTTGCCGAGTCATATCAAGAAGTCGTTCGAAGCAGACTTTGTGGATGTCAAACCGACTATGTATGAGTACATCCACAAGTTACGCAGATGGCGCACCAAGTTTGAGGACAAGTTGGATCGCCGCATCGGGCACACTCCGCTCGAGGCTTTCTCGCCTCACCTGAGCGAGTTCCGGTACCAGAAGTTTGATGACGTTGAGGTGCCGGGACAATACCTGCAGCACAAGGACAAGAACCAGGACTTTATCCGCATCGAGCGGTTCCTGCCGAATGTCGACCTGGTGCGCTCAATCAGTGCCTCGTATCGTCGTCTCAAGATGCGTGGCCACGATGGCAGTGTTCACTCGTGGGCTGTTCAGCATCCAGCCGCACGGCACTGCCGCCGTGAGGAGCGAATCCTGCAGCTCTTCCGCCAGCTCAACCAGACGCTGGGCCGCAAGAAGGAGAGTCGACGCCGCGACCTGAAGTTTACGCTGCCGCTGATGGTTCCTCTGGCGCCTCACATTAGGATTGTTCAAGAGGACACGTCGTACATTACGCTGCACGGCATCTACGAGGACCACTGCAGACGGATGGGCGTGCAAAAAGACGAGCCGGTACTGTTTACGCTGGAGAAGCTGCGCGGGGTGCTTGAGAACAAGGGACAGAGCAAGCCGGAGCTCACGCCGACGGCGCGGCTCGAGGTGTTCAATGCCATCCAGGAGAAGTGGGTTCCGCATACTGTCGTCTTGGACTACTTCCAACGCATATTCCCTCAGTTTGCCGAGTTTTGGCTGTTCCGTCGGCAGTTCTCGTATCAGCTGTCGGCGCTCACGTTCATGACGTACATCTTGTTCATGCACAACCGTTACCCTGCCAAGATGAACATTGCGCGCGGCTCGGGCATCATCTGGGGCTCGGAGCTCATGTCGTTCATGGGACCACATAAGCCGTTCTTCCACAACCCGGAGCCCGTCCCGTTCCGTCTCACGCCCAACCTGCAGACGGTCATGGGCCCGCTGGCGACGGAGGGCATCTTTGCGTGCGCCGTGATGGCGATTGCGCGGTGCCTGACGGAGCCGGAGCAAGAGCTGGAGCACGCGCTGACGCTCTTCGTGCGAGATGAGATGATCTTCTGGCTGACGAGCAGTCACCGCAACGGCATCAGCGAGAGCCAGCTGCGCGAGTCGGTGCAGGTCAACAGCGACTCGATTGTGAAGCGCGCGGCGAGCCTGGCGCACAACCCGTCGGGCAACTTGCCGGCCAACCAGACGGTGATTGATGCCATTGCGCAGGCGGTCAACCCGATGAACCTGGCGCAGTGCGATGTTCTCTGGATGCCGTATCTGTAGTTGGTGGTGTGGTTTATTCTCTCATGGCATTGTTTATTTATGCCCTTTTTTATGGTTTTGATAATGATGGAACAAGGTTTTTGTTAGCATGAGTTTCTGCATTGCCTTGTATTGTGGAAAAAGAAAATGGCAAGGAGTTTATGAATTATGTGTGGTTTTTTTCTGTCTAGGGGGCAAAGGCTATTATTGTCTATTGTACGAGGTATTAGTTTTTATTAATGACGGCTGTTTGTTCCATGTCTAATTTCTAATTAACCGTGACTGCTCTTTCACCCCGACTGGATGATGAACAAGATGTAGGGGGATGATTCCTGGTATTATTTCTGTTGGTAGGTGATGATTGGTGGTCGGGGATTTCATAAGACCGCGGCGTTATGGTTAAAACTGGCAGGGACAAGGTCTGTCTACTGTACGTACCTATGTACATACATACCTACAGTACCTACAAAAAGCCGCGCTCTTTTGGGCTCTTGTTCATCCCGTCCCGGAAAGTTCATAACATCTTTGTTTCAAAACACTCGCATCGAAAATAAAAGAAGAAGAAAGCGCACAAAAGAAAAAAAGATGACTTCTTTAACGCCGACCAAGGCTTGCGTGCCGTGTCGTCTCCGCAAGACCAAGTGCGACGCCGTGACGGCCGGCATCCCGTGCGGGGGCTGTGTAAGTCGCAACTGCGCGGACAAGTGCACGATTGTGACGCGGAAGCGGCGGAGAAGGTTCGTATTCCTGTTTCGGGGTTTCTTGTATGGATAATTAATGCGTCTTCCAAGGCCGGGTGAGACCGTGGATGGCACCGGTGCCGCCGCGTCGACGGTGGTGCTGTCTCGGCAACGTCTCAACACGACCGTAAGTCTGCCCATGCATATATGGCTTCTAATATAGCAACGTACAACAATACAACTGACATGAGTTGGATCGCTAGACGGACACACCCCAAGCGCAGCCGCCGCCGCCGCCGCCGCCGCCGCCGCCGCCACCGCCGCCTACCGCGTCGCTTGCCTGGTCTCACAGCCCCGAGGGCTCGTCCCGACAGGCCGGAGCAGCAGCTGCAGCAGCAGCTGCAGCAGCCTCGGATAAGCGCCCGCCGCAGTCGCAGCTTCACTACTTTCACATCCTAAAGGAGGCCGTCGATGACGGCGCGCTCGACGAGAAAGACGACAAGACCGGCACGCCGTTCGACCCAGATGACGATGCGCAGCCGTGGCACAAGGCCCCCCTGCTCGACGACGCCGACCGGGACTACCTAAACAAGAAGCGCGTGTTTGACCTGCCCCCGAAGCCCTGCATGTACGAATACCTTTTCAGATGCAGCGTGTGGCCCGAGTTTGCACTGACACGTCAACCCCAGCATCACCTTCCTCGCCAGCTACTTTGCCACGCAAGACCCGTACTCGCCCGTCATCGACAAGGCCGGCTTCGTGCGCGACTTCGAGGCCGGCACCGGCTCGCTCTTCCTTCTCTACGCGATCCTCGCGGCGACCAGCATCTACGTGCCCCGCGGGACCATCAGCGCGTGCGGCTTCGCGGATGCGGCCGAGGCGCAGGCCACGTTCGCCGCGAGGGCGACGGCGATCCACGACGTGCAGGTGGAGAGCGACGCGCTGGCCTTTTTGCAGGGGTCGCTGCTGATGACCAAGGTGCTGCCGGAGCAGGCGGTGGACAAGGACTTTAATTACTGGTTCTACAATGCCCTGCGCCTGGCGACCAAGCTTCAACTGTACAGCCAGTAAGTGAGACCCCCCTCCGCGCGCACACATCCCTTTGGCTGACTCGTAAGCTTGAATCAAAGTACCAGGGCGGATGGCAATGCTGGGCTGTACTCGAGGATAGCCTGGGTTCTTTATGTAAGCTGCTGTGCCTGTGGGTGGCCATGACATACCTGTTGCTCACATCCCAAAGGGCCGCCATGTGTTTCACCTCATCTCGGAATTCCGTAACGCGGCATACCTGCATGGCCTGCCTGTCATGGAGGCCCCCAAGATGAGTGACTGGCCCGCGGAAAAGATCCCGCGAGAGTATCAAGAGGTTGTGCCTCCCACCGCCGCCGCGGACAAGGCCTTGTTCCTCGCCACTTGCAAGCTCAGTGCCATCTGTGAGATTCCCCCTCCCTCCGCAGTCTTTTTTGACATCGGATGCCTAACAATAACCTCTAGTCGGCGAGATGCTGTCAAGCATCGTCCAGGAACCGCGCGTTGACCTCGCGCAGCTGATACGACCACTCGACCTCTGGCGCACCTCGCTCGCCGCGCAGCTGCAGCTCGGCCACCAGTCGCCAACCACGAGCATCCACCACCTCGACCTGCTCGGCACCAGCTACCGCTACGAGGCGACCCTGTGCCGGCTGATCCAGCGGCAGCTCCGGTCCGTCGACCCGCCGCGGAGCGGCGCGGCCAAGGCGCGACTCCGCTCCGCCATGCTGGAGCTCGACGGCATCACGGGCCGGCTCCTGGTCAACGGCATGATGGAAAAGGTCACCATATCACTGTAATGAGCGACTCTATACTTTTGCTGCCAGAGGGTCTCGTGCTGACCCCCATGTAGGATGACGACCGTGCCGGCCCTGCTCGCGCTGCACCTGGAGGCGGCCCTGGATCCGGAGGAGTCGGCGCTGGTGCGCTCCATGGCGCGCATCTCCATCACCAGGGCCATGCTGGCGCTGGACCTGCTGCGGGAGGTGCCGGCGATCAAGAAGGCGATTCCGCTCTTCGAGCTGATCCTCTCGCGCAAGGGACTCTACGACCGGCCGACCGCGGGACCGCGGCTGGAGTCGCCCAGCGGCGGAGACGGCGTGACGCAGCGGTCGCCGGCGGCGGAGCTGCAGGACGCGCCGGCGGGAGAGTCGTTTGATCTCTTCCTTCAGGAGTTTCTGGAGGACGACGGTCTCGGGAAATGGGACTTTGGACAGGTGGACTTTTCCCGCCTCGTCTAAGCGATGTGTCCGCCCAAAAAGGTTGCCGGCTGCAAAGAAAAGCGCCGGGGACGTACAATGATAGCGTAGACGGAGTAATCGAGACGAGAGTTGTTTCCACGAGCGCGCATTCAGCTAGTGAGTTGGGGAGTCTCCAAAAAGTGAGTATTTTGCGAGCCGGACATTTGAGCAGCGCAAGGATAAAGTCCGTTTCTTCGCTACACTCCCCGGCCACGGTGTGTTGCCTTCACTTTTCCCCGGCGCATTTGTGTCAAAGAGTCTCAATACTATGAGGACGGACTTTTTTTGCATTTTGTTGCTCTACAGTTTCCAGTCGGCCGAGGTGATGCTTGCTTGGCAGAACGTCCGTCCGTGAGTCAAGGATCCGGGCGAGCCATTCTGTTCCACAAAGAAATTTCTAGAATTCGTTTCTAAAACTCTTACATCATTGACATGCAAACAGAAATGCCGTCACGGGTCATTCTGGCTCATGCATCCCAAAATCATACATGACGTTCATATCAAGTCGCGGATGGGTTACGCTGCTGCACACCACCCAACTTCCCCCGCTCAGGGTTCGGTGAGATGGGTGAGTTGGTGGGTTGGTGGGTATGAGTGGGATGAGGCTGGCTCTAAGATGACTGATTGCCGAGAAACCTTGCATATTTGAGGATATGTGAGTAAGCTGTAAGTGATGATGAGGTATTTGCCGTCAAGGACAGTACTACGAGGCTAATTCCGATAGTGATGTATTGAGAGATGCTAGAAAGAAATTGTAGTCATTAGTTGAAGATCCAAATTTTATTATTCGTTCTTTTTTCCTGTTTTTTTCCCATGATGAGTAATGCATCATCAATAGTAGACTTGACTTGGCAGCAGCGACGATCGGGTTCCATCCGAGCAGCCCGCGGAGGTTCAACGCCGCGAGTCGGCTGGAAACGGGTTAGCAAAGCCAATCAACCACAAGCAACGAAAAGAAAGAATAATTGCAAGAGCGGAATTTTAAATTCCAAGCCGGCAGCTTGCTCAGATTCTGGCAGCACGACTCATGAATGGCTGGAGAACTAGTTCGTCTGGGGACGGAGATTAACCCCGGCTAAGAACCCCGGAACGGAGCGGAATCGGTCCTTGTGGAGGCAGCTGGCGATCTAGTACAGTGACAAACGAGACATGTTATCAACACCGTCTCGCGGCTTTCAAACACCTCTTCATCATCAAAAGTGTCAGTCAGAGTAGTGACCGACAACAGACGCCAGCCATGGATTCCGAAGCCATGCCTCGCAAGCTCTGGGAGCATCCCAACCCCAAGGACACTGAAATGTGGCGGTTGATGCAGAGCTGCAACGACCGCTTCGGCCTGAACATGCAGGTGAGCAAACGAGCCTTCCTCCTCTTCTCACGCCTTTTTTCTTCCTTCTTCTCACCACCACCATCACCATCCACAGACCTTTGACGACCTCTACGCCTGGTCCTGCTCCCGCCGCGCCGACTTCTGGGGCGCCGTCTGGGACGCCCAGCGCGCCATCCACGAGGGCGCCTACACCCGCGTCGTCGACGAGGCCGCCCCCGTCGACGCCCTGCCGCGCTGGTTCGACGGCGTGCGCCTCAACTTTGCCGAGAACTTCCTGTACCGGCGCGGGCCCGAAGACGCCGGCCCTAGCACCCGCGGCACCGCCGGCAAGGAGGACGCCAAGGTCGCGCTGACCGAGGTCCGCGAGGGCGGCGTCGAGGAGCGGGACTACACCTGGGCGGAGCTGCGGCGCGACGCGGGGAGGCTGGCGGCCGCGATGGAGGCGCGCGGCGTGCGCAGCGGGGATCGCGTCGTGGCGGTCGGGGCCAACTCGTACACGACGCTGCTGGTCTTCCTGGCGGTGACGTGGCTCGGCGGCCTGTTCAGCAGCAGTTCGACGGACATGGGCATCAACGGCCTGCTGCAGCGGACGACGCAGATCAACCCCAAGGTGTGTCCGAAACCCGGGTCATGGACTTTGTGTGCAGTGAACTGACCCCCTTTCCCCCAGTTTGTCTTCTTTGACGACGGCGCCCTCTACAACGGCAAGGTCCTCGACCTCCGCGACAAGATGGCCGGCATGCTCAAGGGTCTCGTTGCCGAGTGCCCCGAGTTCGAGTCCATGATCGCCATCCCTCGTTTCCCCGGCAAGCCGTACGACACCTCCCGTCTCGGGGCGCGCGTCGAGCGGTGGGAGACCTTCCTCTCCGCCACATCCTCCTCCGCTTCGCCGCCCGAGTTCGTCCGCGTCGGCTTCCAGGACCCAATGGTCGTCTACTACTCGTCCGGCACGACCGGCGCGCCCAAGGCCATCGTGCACGGCGTCGGCCCGATGCTGCTATCCGGTCACAAGGAGGCGGTGCTGCACCGCCGCCTGGACCCGAGCGACGTGGTGCTGCAGTACACCACCACCGGCTGGATCATGTACATGTCCAGCGTCGGCGCGCTCATCTACGGCGCACGCTCCGTGCTGTACGACGGCAGCCCGCTGCGGCCGGACGTCGGCGTGCTGGTCCGGCTGGTCGGCCGGTACGGCGTCACGGTGCTCGGCGTCAGCCCAAGGTGGATGGCAGAGCTGGCCAAGGCCGGCGTGGTGCCGCGCGAGGTGGCCGACGTCTCCAAGCTCAAGGTGGTGACCAGCACCGGCATGGTGCTCCCGGACCAGCTGTTCGACTGGTTCTACGACGTTGCCTTTCACAAGCACACGCAGCTGGCCAACATCAGCGGAGGCACCGACATTGTAAGTTTTTGTCTTTCTCCCTCCCTTCACCCAACTTGGTCCGGCACACCTGACACTAACAAAAACACACACACACACACAGGCCGGCTGCTTTGTTCAGGAGAACCCCCTGAACCCGCTCTACCGCGGCGGCTGCATGGGCGGCTCCCTCGGCGTGCCCATCGCCGTCTACGACCACGACATGGACGACGGCACCGGCGGCCGGCCCGTCCCCGCCGGCACCTCCGGTGACCTCGTCGCCACCGCCGCCTTCCCCAACGTGCCCCTGTACCTCTGGAACGACGGCGCCCCCTCCACCTCCCCGGGCCCCAAGTACCGCGCCGCCTACTACGAGCGCTTCAACCACGTCTGGGCGCAGGGCGACTTTTGCCAGGTGCACCCGCGCACCGGCGCCGTGCTCATGCAGGGCCGCTCCGACGGCGTGCTCAACCCGAGCGGCGTGCGCTTCGGCAGCGCCGACATCTACGCGGTCCTCGAGAGGCGCTTCCCCGCCGTCGTCGCGGACAGCATCTGCGTCGGGCAGCGCCGCCCGGCCGACATTGACGAGCAGGTCGTCCTGTTCGTGCTGATGCGCACGCCGGGGTCGCTGACCAGGGCCGTGGCGGCGGACATGCGCGAGGCGATCGCGGCCGCCCTGACAAAGAGGCACGTGCCCAGGTATATTTTCGAGGTGCCCGAGATTCCGGTATGATTTTTCTTTGCCCCATCGACGCGACCGCGTTGTACTGACTGACGTCCCACCGCATACATAGACCACGGTCAATGGCAAAAAGGTAGAGCTGCCAGTGAAGAAAATCATCTGCGGCAAGACGGTCAAGCCGAGCGGTACCCTGCTGAACCCAGACAGCCTCAAGTTCTTCTACCAGTTCCAGAAGATTGAAGAGTTGACGGAGCCGCAGGCCAAGCTGTAAGGCGGGGCGTGCGATACAACATGGAGCATGTATTCATCTTGCGAATGCCTGGTTGATTTTGATACGAAGGACCATGATTTTCAATAGCATAAACAAACAGTAATGGTTCATTCTGGGATTATCGATTGCGCAAATCCGTGACATGAAAGTACAAGCGAGCAGCGAAACCCCCATCCCCATCCCCATCCCCATCCCCCCTCTCGAAATACCGTGCCTCCCCCTACCCTGCCACCGCTTACAGCCCCTTTCTCTCCTCCTTCCTCGCCAGCCTCTCCGGAAACTTGCCCCCATTCACACCATACCGCCAGGCCACGTACCCCATCATGCCGCCCACACTCCCCAGGCCCGCCGCGCCGACGAACCCCCTCCACCCCGTCCTCCCTCCCATCACCAGCGCCGCCGCCGCCGCGCCGCCGCCCATCCCCGCGCACGTCCAGTCGTCCGTCTCCAGCTGGCCCCTGTTCTCCAGCAGCCGCCAGCTGCGGTCCTGCCACTCGATGCGCTCCCGTCCCCGCATGCGCGCCGCCAGCCCGACGCCCGTGACGCCGAGGGTCACCGCGATGCTGGCCGCGCAGGACCGCAGCAGCCGCGCGGCGAACGGGGCGGCGTTGGGGCGGCGGAGGGCGGGGATGGCGGTGCGCGCGGAGGTGGTGGCGATGCCGAGGAGGGTGCCGAGGGTGACGGCGCGCATGGCGACGTGCGTGGTCAGGATGGTGTATGCGAGGGGCTGGTCCTCGGCGTAGGGCGTGTGCGGAAAGTATCGAGACATTGCTTGTTGTATGTATGTAGTGTGTATATGTATATTCTCCGGAATGTGTTGCTCGTTGGCGATGGGAGAGGGCTTGGCCAAGATCAGTTATTGCCAATAGTGATTGACGATGATGATGATGATGATGATGCAGAGTTCAACTTGGGATGTCGACTCGATTCCCCGCTCCGTGAGCCACGAAGCTTTCCTTTTCTTCTGCTTCGGCCTTGTACAGCTTGAGCTGTCAGCCACCAGCTCCCCTAGGTCATAAACAGCTGTCGTCAGCGCCCAGAGCATACATACATGGACAGATAGGGTCGCGATCAGCCACTAACTCGCGCCCAATCAGCGCTACGTGAATTCCAATTAGCGAATGCGCCTCTTCTCCACAAGGTGATCCTTCTGGCAGTTTTGCTTCAGAAAACACCTGACATATGGCCTCACTCACAAGCGCAGAAAACCATATACACTATATATAGATGGTACAATGTTGACGCATTGACCAAAAAAGAACTGCTATAGAACCCACCATTCAACGCCCCGTTATGCTGTGAAAACCCGATAAAATGCGTCGCGACTCCGGCGCCCGTTCAAGCGTCGATTCTATCTTGAACGGTGTCGATTCTATTCATCATCCGTCATATCCATCAAGCTCGTCCCCGCCTCCCCGTCGTCGTCCTCCAACAGCGTCGTCCTACGCCTGTTGCCAAAAGCCCGCCCCTTGCCCTTGTCCATCATGTTGCGCCCGGTCCGCCGGCCATTGATCTTCTCCGACGCCTCCGCCTTTCGCTGCTGCAGCTGCTGCTCAAAGTACAGCATGCCCTCCGACTCGTCCTCTTCGGCGTCCTCCAGCGTGGACTCGTCCAGCGCCTTGTTGAGGAGCTCCGTCGCGATGCTGTCCTGCGGGTTGATGGCCAGCGCCTCGTGAAGCACCACGGCCGCGTCTTCGGGTCGGTCCAGCTCGAGCAGGATCAAGCCCTTGGCGCTGAAGACGGCCGCGTCTTTGCCGCCCATCCGCAGGACCTCGTCAAACTGCTCCAAGGCCTCTTTGAAGAGACGCAGGCGTCGATACGAGTGTGCCAGGTTTGTTCTGGCTGCTACCCAGGCTGCCGGCTCGCTTCCGTTGTCACTGGCTATTTCGAGAGCTGCTTGGAAGAACTGCGCAGCCTCTTTAGGCCGATCTTGATGGTACCTGACGATGCCCAACTCGTTGAGCAGCAAAGGGTCGTTTTTGCATAGTCCATAGGCCGTCTTCAAAAACTCTTCCGCCAGAGACATATTGTTCAGTGCATGGTTTTGCATGCCTAGAAACACTTGTGGTAGGTGTGTCCCCATAAACAGTCGTGCGGCTGTCGAGTAGGCAGAGATGGCTTGGTCATGTTCGCCTTCGGCGGCAAAGGTGTGTGCAAAGCCGATCCATGCCGGCCCAAAATGCGCGTCCATCATGCTCGCCTTGCTGAAGTATCGTCTTGCTTCCGCAACCTTATCAATCGCGAAATAGTAGATTCCCACGGCCAGCCACGTGCACGGCTCCTCCGGGTGCGTGTCTGCCAGGTCGTGCGCCACCAGAAACAGCTCATTCTTCTTCTTCAGCTCGTAGAGACACGCCAGGTGCACGGGGTATATGTTGAAGTTGTACTTGTCGCCGTCAATCACGGCCTTGGTCACCTCGAGCGCCTCCCCGTAGCGACATTGCGTGTACAGCTGGTCCGCGCGGGCCAGCTGCAGGTCCGGGTTCTCCCCCAACTTGTAGTGCGTCGAGAGCGAGTCGTACGCCGTCTGGAAGATGGTCGGGTTCCTGTACTTGGACAGCCTCGTCGTGTACAGCATCTTTGTGAACTCGGCTGCCTCCTGCGAGGCCGAGACGTCAGGCTCCGTCTGTATGGCGTCAAAGTTGAGGCTGTCGATGAACTGCCACTCCTCGTCGGGCGAGAGCAGCGAGTTCTTCATGAGCTGCTGGAAGGCCTCGAAGCACTGCACGTCGATGCGCACCGCGTCCTTGTAGCACTCCTTGGCCCGGTCAAAGGCGTTTTGCTTGGCGTAGCAGATGCCGCGCAGGAAGCACATGGCCGCCTCGAAGCGCCGCGTCTTGGCCTCCTCGACCTCGTCGGCCTGCGCGGCGGCCTCGTCCCGCCGGCGCGTGCTCCGCTGCTGCGACTTGCGCTTGTTGCTGTGGCCGTTGGCGATGAGGTGCGTCGGGTTTCGCTCGCCGAGGACCGCCAGGGCTTCTTCGAACCGCGACTGCTTGATGAGGCAGTGTCCGGCGAGGTATCGGCATGACGGGTTCCTGTTGATGAGGTCTTGCTTGACGAGGAAGGCGTGCGCGCGAGTATAGTTGCCGGTAGCAAAGTGGACTTGGGCAAGCCAGAAAGCGTCTTCGTCGTCATCTATCAGGCGCGGGGTTAGCGGATAGAGACAAACCGAGCAGGGGGGTCATGGCTGCGCACTGGTCATGGCGAGCAGTTTGTCGCCGATGAAGATGGCCGAGTCGTGCTGCGCCTTGTTAAGGGCATCCTGCCGCCATTCGCGCAGAAACTTTTCCATGGCGGAGGATGGCATTTCGCAATGCCTTGGCGAATTCAATCGCTAAGGTACAAACACTTTGAAGAAAGGAGCGTCGATGGGCATGGCTGCGCCGAGACGTGGCGACGAACCGTTGTGATGAAAGCTGTTTGGTGTCGCGCCTCGAATCGCGTCGCTGTAGCTGTGACTACATACAGTAGCTGGTTGCTGCTGCTGCAAACTGAAGACCCGGTAACCCCACCATGCTGGTGTGACCAACAAACCACCACCCACCACTCAGACTTCATGCTGTCGCTTTTCTTTCTTACCTTACTCTTTTATGTATCACGAAGAAAACATAAAACCTAAAACTCTTCAATTTCAGATAGCTGGATAAATCGGTGCAACATGATGCGTCCTGATCAAAGGGGTCCCTACCTACAGCTCAAACAGAGCCCATTACCACATCGTGTGCTAGACCAGCCTCAGAGTGTAAGAATATCAAATCTTCAATATATTCGCTGTCTTATCCAATGAATTCTATCCAAATCCTCCGCTGTAAGTGTTCTAGTCGCTGTCTATCAGTTAATCTTTGGCCTTTAGCCAGTTCGTGTATGTGGTATCGTCTAAACCGCTTGCCTATCCTTGCACCGTCCATCATGCAATGTATATGTAGTCTATCGTGTCTCGATTTTCCATCAAATTCCCATTTCTATCCCAGATATAATCCAATCATTCGGATTTCGATCCATCGCGTTCTTCATCATCTCCGCAGTCCACAGTGTCCATCCTCCCAATTATGTCCACGCGCAGCTGTGGCTGTGACTTGCACGCCTCCTCGACTGCTTTGGGGACTGGCTTTTCGTCCTCCTCGCTTTCCATGACAATCAGATGTGTCAGTTTGCGAGCCATGACGCTGAGGTTCTGGAGCATCGCCACGAAGAGATCTGTGACCTCGTCGTCAGTACCCAACTGATTGAAGAATTCCAGCGTCTCGAGCTCAGGCGGCATGCCCACGGAAGTGAGACGCGCTCTCTTTGAGGAGTGTCCAAATAATTGGTGGTCCCAGTTGAGGCGGAGGGTTTTCAGTTTGGCGAATCCTCTGAGGGAAAGTGCTCGACGATCTCGCAACAAGACGTGGTCTATCGTGATGGTCTCTAGGGAGTTGCATTGCGGCTCGATTGCGATGATGTAGTCTCTGATGCTGGTTGAGGTCTCCTCCAGGTCTGCCTCTTGATCAGGGGATTGAGTCATGACAAACTCTGTCAACGCGGCTGGATAATGCATCAGGTCAAATAGACCATCATCGCTGATGTCGCAGTCGATCAAATGCAACCTTTTGAGAGCGGTCTCTTCGGGCCGTTCAGGCAGATCGAACGCCTTGTCGCCTAGGCGAGCCTTTCGAAGCACAAGAGTCTCCAGGGTCGGATGAGCAAAGATGTGGATGTTCTCCCGGAGGTCCCAAAACTCATCACCTGGGCACTGGTAGAAGAGCCTGCATGTTTGGAGGCAAGCCAAATCAAACGGGCCATTGAAAAGCTGTCCGATGCCATGCAGCAAGGCGTTGGGGACAGCAATATCCAGAGTGACGAGGTTGGACATTCTGGAGATTGTGCTGGACAAGCTGTCAAAGGGCAAAGACCTGTCATACGAATTCCTAGTGCCATTGACTGGGAGCCGAGAGACCATGTCGGAAAGCTGCGATGCCGGGTAGGCGAGCTTGATCTCATGAATCGCCGATCCACGACGAGGTCGGCGGCTGAGGGATTCACCAAAGATAAAGTGCAACTGTGGTGTCAGAAAGTGGACCGTCTTGTAGAGAACGGCATCGGCCAAGGTGTGGTAGCGACGATTCAGTCGGGACACGCTACAGATGTCGCGCTTGGAGTTGTCGTCAATAGTCTCGAAGATCTTGACAATGACGGCAGTGGGCAATTTGGCGAAGAGGTCGCCAGCGACGCTGGGTCTGCGAGGACGGTCGGCTTGTATGACGACGGCCATGATAGGAGACGACGACGACGACGACGACGGATGCGAGGGCGGCGAGGACAGCGAAGGCGGCGAGGGCGACGATGAGAGGAGGTGATAGAACCACGAGATCGAGGAGAGAGCAAATGTGGAGATGGATGCGAGAATGACGGCCGCGGTGGAGCGTTTCCCCAGATCGGACGGCACCAAGTTGGTGCGAGAGGCTGCAAGGATGCCGATAATGGTGCTGGTGATGGTCAAACCATACGACCCGAGACCGCGGAGAAACGACATTGCGAGATGCAGTGCAATGAGGGGGTTATCATGATGAAGAAGAGAAGAAGTCAGCTCAGAGCACTGGAAGACGGAGAGAAATAAATATAGGCCTGGCCTGTGGTTGTGCAAAGTAAAAAATTAGTAGGCGAGGAAAACAGTTTCAGAATGTCTAGTGTCACCTGTGCCACAGACCAATGCCACAAAAACCTTTTTAGAGGCGTGGTTGCGGCGTTGAGGCTGAAGCGCTTGCTGACTACAGAGGTGGCAGACCATGACCATGACATGTGTCCTTTGCATAGTACCTAGGAACCAAAATTCTTCCCGAAGCTATTTCTATTACTGTTTTTTTCTTCTCTTCTATTCCTTTATTGCTTTCTTCCTGCCTTGATTTTGATTTTTTCCCCCGAATCCGCTGCTCATCGCTATCCAGAACTTTTAGGCTTCCTTGATCAGAGTTCAGGCGGTTCAAAATCACATGCCACTAACCGAGTACCTATTTCCAAGGCTTACATGCACCACAAGCCACTTGTATGGTGGCTGGAGCGACACCGCCTCAATTGGAGAGCAGAGCATCCAACTGCATCATCTCTAACATGAGATGTGCTCGACAACTTTTGCAGATACCACGGGAACAAACCATGGCTAGATCCAAGTAGACCGTATTTAGTTTACACATGCAAACTTGTTTTAAGGAATCAACAGCAACATTTGCGCCGCGAGAAAATACAGCCAATCCAAGCCACATTGCCTTAAGTCAGTCAAACACCAAGCTCCGAAGACGGCCAAAAAGTCTAGCTGGTCCATACTTTTCCCTCATCCGCCAACTCTCCGACCGTCGCGACAATCCATAGATTCCACGCAAATACAGCTGCTGCCATTTATTTCTCCAAGAAAATCAACCGGCCCTCGAAGCAGAACGACGACGCAGAAATGGCATCTACCGCCGCCCCCCGCTGGGCCGCCCTCGCGCGCGACACCAACGAGACCAAGATCCAGCTCGCCCTCAACATTGACGGCGGCGCATTCCCTCCCGACACCGACGCCCGCCTACTCAAGTCCGACGACTCCCACGCATCGCAAAGCAGCAAGTCCCAGACCATTGCCCTGAACACGGGCATCGGCTTCCTCGACCACATGCTGCACGCCCTGGCCAAGCATGCCGGCTGGAGCCTGGCCATCAACTGCCACGGCGATTTGCACAGTATGCCTACCTTCGAGCTCCCCCGGATCTTCCTGCACGTTTACTGACTCGACGTTCCTCTTCTCAGTTGACGACCACCACACGGCCGAGGATGTCTGCATCGCGCTCGGCTCCGCATACAAAAAAGCGCTCGGCACCCCCGTCGGCGTCGCCCGCTTCGGGTACGCCTACGCGCCCCTCGACGAGGCCCTCTCCCGCGCCGTCGTCGACCTCTCCAACCGCCCGTACGCCGTCATCGACCTCGGCCTCAAGCGCGAGTTCCTCGGCAAGCTGAGCTGCGAGATGGTCCCCCACTGCTTCGAGAGCTTCGCCCAGGCCGCGCACATCACCCTCCACGTTCACTGCCTCCACGGCTTCAACGACCACCATCGCGCCGAGAGCGCCTTCAAGGCCATGGCCGTCGCCATTCGCCAGGCTGCGTCGCACGTCAAGGGCAAGGAGGGCGAAGTGCCGAGTACCAAGGGTACTCTGAGCGCATGAGCCTCGTGCTAAAGTGAAATGTTCGTGGAAAATGAAAACGGAGCGGCGTTACTTGATTAATATAGACTTTGGATATTTAAAATAGGAAATACTGGGAGGCTCTCACCACTGAAAAGACGCACGGTCATGTCTCATAATATACATATCTTTGCATTATTTCATAAAACAACAGCATCGCTACGTCTCGTCCTCTGACCCCAACAAATTTGTTATCAGTCTTCGATGGGACTACCGAAACTGGACAAAGTTCACAGAAGAAAATGTTCTTGTTTCCTTTTTCTCTTGGCCTTGATTACACCCAACAAGCGACTTAAACCACAATCACTTCACATTAGTAAGGCGCAATTTGTAAGCGCGATGAATGGTGAGATTACTACTTCAGGGTTGTATCTAAGACGCTTTAAGGATCTAGATTAGACAACAGAATAGTTTCTCCTTCGCGGAAAAGCATGAATAGCACATGTATAACCGTTTTTCCAGCGGGCGTGTGAACGATACCCGGTAAACAGCTTCAACCCGTCAACGTAATCTGTTTTGTTTTGAAGCATGTCAACTACAACACTTCTCATTACCGGTGCTACTGGATACATGTAAGTCAACAGCGATACGCTGTGAGTTCCATGGTGAACTGATGCATTTCTCACTGGATAGCGGCGGATCGATCTTGTCGAACCTTTTCGAGTCGTCCAACCCTCATGTCAAGGCGCTCCGCATCTCGACTCTGGTGCGCAAGCAAGAGCAGGCCGATCTTTTGAAGGCCAAAGGTTTCAACGGCATCGTCTTCTCTGGTCTGGATGACACGGGTACTATCAGGCGAGTTGCAAGTGAAAACGACATTGTCATCACACTGCCTCTGCGTTCCACGCAGCCGCCGCCAGCGCCATCATCCGTGGTCTCGCGGACAGGCAAAAGGCGACGGGCAACAAGTCCGTCCTCACTCACGTCAGTTCACCTAACCTTTGCTTTGATCATTCGGCGTTTCCGCCTCTTCTCACCGGGTGACTGACACTTCACCCAGACCTCTGGCACGTCCTCCATTGGAGATCGTCCCATCACCAGGCGGTACACCGAGACGCGCGTCTTCGACGACGTACAGGCCTACCTGCGGGCGCGCGAGGACTTCGAGGACAGCTTCGTTCTGGAGTGGAATTATCTCGCGAAGGAGTCTTAGCGGATCTACTCTTGACAACGTTTGGGATGAGTCTGCAATTGAGGGGCCTTCGACGACACATCTAGGACATAGGGATTGGTCTTGGAGAGGTTTCTGGCAATTCAACACTCTCTCGGATGATATAGGCATCGCTTTACCACGGATGTCGACTAGTAGTGCATGCCGGTTGATGTAGGCGATTTTTTCGCAGCAGGAAAGAATATGGTATGAAAATATCATGGTCGTTACTGGGGCGTTTTATTGGTACCGTAATCCGAAAACCATTCATCATCTGCTGGTCTGTAGCCTGATTGGTGATGTACGCCTTGGATATAAGACCAACAACCTACAAGACCAACCGTCATATTTTCAGCCAAGTCCAGTAAGCCGAAAATTACAGCATTTTCCGTGGAAATTTAGAAGCGGGAATTGTGTCAATCAGCTCCAAAGTGCAAGGACAGCCTTTAATCGATCAGTGCAGGGTAGGCAGCTGGTGACGAGAGAGCGTCGACTTCTCTTCCATCCGACATATCAAAATTACAAAGGGGCAGGGCGGGGAAAGAAAAGGGAAAAAAAAGGCAAGGGAGGGGAAAGGGTCGGATTTGAGTTCCTGAGACCTCAACTGCCGTTGTCCCTGCAGCATCTACAATGCGTAATAACAACGAGACGATGAAAAAAAGAAAGCAGAAACCAAGAGGACGGACATGAAAAAGCAAGGGGCTTGCTTGCCTGGTTGCCTCTGAGAAATGCAGTGCATCGAGATGGCAAGGCAAGGCAAGGCCCATCAGCTCCGAGCAAGGATTCCGAAAGAGGGAGGGGGTGGTATTGGGAGAGGGTCTGGGCCATTTTTACAATTAATCAACATGATATTTTTTCTTCTCTTACTGTATTATTAGCCTTGCGGGCCATAGTTGAAAATCCACCATGTAGTCATGGCCCATGGGAAAAAAGATGCTGATACGCACAAATTCGATTGGCCGGAGGCCAGGGGGGTTGAATTCCGGGCTATGCGGATGCGGATCGCGCCGTTCTCCCTCCTTTTCGAGCTCTCTCGGGGAGTTCATGCAGCCCGGCTTCTAGTTAGGTAACCACGTCCTTCTTCTAGTTGCCAGGAACGACTTGACTAAATAGTTAGTAGACAAACTCTCTTCCGCGTCATCCGCAGCCCAAGGGAGGAACGCGTCTGCCCCTGTCCCGGCATTCCCAAAGTACGCAAGTCCGAAAAAACTTGTTGAATGTCGGGGTTTGGTATACAAGGGCACCCCCCCAAAGTTTAAAATGTATGGCGTGCTTTGTTGTCTTCCAGTTGGCTGGCGGGAAACAATCTGGAATCATTAAGGACCGACCGGCGTCCACAGTCGCTCGGCTACACCTCTCCAGTCCATGTCAGTGCGAGAACTGGGGCACGATGGGTAATTTAGCCTTAGTTGCATGGAACGGTTAGATGAAGGAGCTGCATGTGGGTGATTCTGACTGCAGATTTTCAGATAGTGAAAAACATCGGCAATGAACGATTACCGGTGACAGGCAAGACATGGGATCGGCCAATTTGACAATAGTTACGAGACAGGTGTCAAGAGTCTATCACATCTCTTTTTTTCTTTGTCTAATTTCGACTATCCATATCAGTGACGAAAATAGGCCGCCGCCAAGGGGCCAGGGCAGGCAACGAGCAGCTGGGATGCCTCCAGCCTCAACTCTATTGTGTGACGCTGGCGTTCTACGGGGTACTTATCGTGTTCTCCAACGGCGGCTAGCAGCAAGACGGCTCAAGGTCATATCCGAACCCAAGGCACATTGCGGCTGAGTCCCGAAGCCAATTCTCGTTCCGACCCGCATCCGTACCTGTGCTGAAGGCTGAGTAGGACCATCTCTACTGCTAATCTCGGCACAGAGTAGTACAGAGTAAAATTCCAGATAACTGGTACAAGAATTAAGTAGACACTGGAGCACAGGATGACGGTGAATGAGCATGACAATGTCAGCCCCGTTTCTATCTGCTACCTGCGGGTATCAATATGACCATGTATGCATTAATTCATCACCGGAATATGCGGTGTCGAGCTGCGCTGTGGCGAAAGGCTGCCTTTTAAATTCGAGCAATCTGCCATAGTATGCATGTATGGATATGAATTCACATATAGTCTATAGTCAACATCATAACATGCAAGCCTCATACTACACCGGCCGGCCGGAAATAGCGACACAGGGGGACTCTTTAGCCCTACTCAATTGACCCATCGTATTCAACGGCACAGCCTCCGCTCTCAATAATGATATCCGCGTATCTCGGCCCTGGGAGTGGGCAAATGGCTCCCCAAGGTCGCATTGGATCTGAAGCTTGGAGGGCCAACGAACGATACTAATTTAGTAGTCTTCCTCGGACCACTGGCATCCAAGTCAGGAACAAGTCCGTCCATCTCTTCAGGGTGATAATAATAGTACCTAGCCACCACGCTGGCCCCCTGTACCTGCTTCGCGCTGCAAATCATCCCCACTGGAACTGGAAAACCAGTCTTCGGGCCCTCCAGTCATGGTAGTAGCGGCCAGTACGGCCCAGCATACCCGCAGTGGCGCTGCGGCGCGGACGGACGACCAGGTACGGAAGATAACTGCCGCGTACTAGTTATTACATGTACGTCACGGAGCGTAACCAGCTATACCTCCTTCTCTTCACCTGAGCTCTGCAAGTCTGGCTATCGCCAAAATGCAAGAACGTGTGGTGGCTTCCGGCTTGCATGCTTTCGTATCGCGGCACTGCCAACCTCGGCATTGGGCCAAGTCTTGGCCAGCTTTCTTAAAATGAGCCGTGAAATGAAAATGGTACTGCGAGGTGCCCTTGGCGAGCGTTCTGTACGAGGACAAGCCAGAGGGATGTCATACTGGAGGTGCACGGCTACTCCCGCGACGTTGTCCCTAGCTTTTCATGCGCACAATAACCATTGGGGAACCTTGCAACTTCAAACACAACAAGGGCACCACCTGTTCAAGTGCCACATGCTGGATGCATACGATGTGGGCATGCGGCCAGAAGTTATGCAGTCTGTTATCGTAAATCTGGCTTCGGGGTCCCCGTCACCAATTCCAGGCGCCACTTGTTAGATGCATCGTAGATGTGATGAGAGAGCCCTCAGCTGGCATTAGTTGAGAGGCCATGCATATGGCAATCAAACAACGCGCTCGCAGTATTGAGCGCGAGACGCAGGTCCGGCAGGATGCAGTTGCTTGAGTGGGTAATTACGTGTCAAGCCAAAGCCATGATCCGCTTGGGCAGTATCGGCAAGCTTTTCCAATATTCGTAATAAAAGCAGGGCAGGTAGCTCGGCCTGGTGAGAACCAGTAAACTGCCTGGTGAAAAGCAGCCAGGGCTGTTCTAGCCGTTGAGGCCCTTTGTTAGTTGGTTAGCCTGCTGCGACCCCGGTTTCCATCCTAAACGGATGACGACGTATGTTTGGCTTGGCACAAGGAAGGCGGCATCTGCGCCATTGACGAGGCTTGCATTTGGGGCCGGGCTTTCCTGATATGGCGCGAGCGAGCCGGAGTCTTGTCCGCTTGTTGGCTGGAATAACTGACTGACTTCTGCATCACGGGTTTACAACTTGTTAACTCCGCCGAAATAAAACTCTCCGCCGATGTATTCGTGGCTGATTGTGTGTGTCAGCAGATGTGAATGAATCCGTGAATTCAAAACTTGTGCCGTTTGCTGTGCTGTAGTGCCACCACGGACTGTCGGGCGACGGTTGGATGAACCGTTGTGCTCACGCGAGCTCTCGAAATTCCAACTTGCGTCCAATTCGTCAGTAATGGGTAAGAAAAAGGAGGAAAGAAAGAAAGAAAGAAAGAAAGAAAGAAAAAGAAGGGCTCCAATCTTCTCTAATGTCCATTTTTGGTTGGCGGCAGGGGAAACATCTCGGGAGCTTTGGAAAGGACAACTGCCTTGGCAAGCATCTATGTAGGTAATCCGCCATCAACGGCCCCTGAAAATCGAAGCATCATTGCTGCCTGGGCAGCCATGCATGCACGGGATATTGCATGGATTATTAGCCCAACGAATGTGGACTGACTGGGTATTGCTATGTAGTCAAGCAGGTGAGCGAGGCAAAATCGTTGTTTGCACATGCTTTGGATTCGGCGTCGGCGTTTTTACCTGCGGGTGGTGTACAGTACCAGCAGTACCCGTAATACCTTCGTAGCAACTACTGGCCAGATATTCCTATATTCCTTGCAATGCCAGCCCAAGCTTGTCTTGATAAAACAACAGTAGTTACCTACTACGGATACGGAGTAGGCATTTATCCAAATTTTCGAATTTCAAGGCCTTTTTGGATTTGCGCCTAGAGGCCTGACGTGCCAAACCTCGTATTCCACAACGTGCTGGTACCAATAGTCTGCCCTTGGTTTTTTTCACTTGTGGCTTGGCCAAGTCAAAGTCACTCACTGCCTACCAACCTTGCCTCCCCGCCTTGTGTCTCTCTTTTTTGCTTCTCTGTTTCTTGGGGTTTCTCTTTTTTTCTTCCGTTTCTTGATTCCGTCTGGCTCCTGGGGCTTTGTTTTCCTCTGCTCGTTTCTCTCTCGAATTTCCCGTCTTCCCCTTTGGCCTCCTCGCAACTTGCCCTCTGATGGGTTTGCCATCCCCGAATCCTTGACGAACGTGTTGCATCTGCATCAACCTTGACATACGCACTACCTGTTCGACGACCACCATACGATCCATTGTGTCTTGTCAAGGGCAACTTCCCAGACATTCGAAACACCAGGAGCCCTGGAAAGCGCTCGCGAGTCCTCCAACACGACCATACGCATAACAACGACGGAAATACTTGTTCGTCGTCATTTGATATTCGACTTGTTTTCCCGCGAACAAGCGATGCTACAGAAACCCAGTCACTGAGATCGGTGCTCCTCTGAAACCAATCTATCCTTGACAGTTATCGCAGCCTCACGAACACCGCGTTGGCACTTGCCCCCTTCGACAGCACTTCTGTGTATCCATACCAGCGGGACCCGCAATCACCCGTCCGCTCCAAGACTTTCAGGCTGTCCAGCTGCTGCCCCATCAAGAGAGACGAGGAAACGAACGGACCGATCACGGACTATTCCTCTGATCCTTCTTGCCTCTTCTCGAACCCTTTGTTCACCTGGTGACTTCTAGACAGTCTTGCAATATCCGCTCGCTATTCCCACGACAGCCTTGACACCCCTTACCCCTCCCGATACCCGTGCTACGCCCGAGCCTTGGACGACCTTGCAGCATCAACCGTGGAACCAGGCTTCAGCTTGTCCGCCACACGAAGTGACCAAGCCATCCCGATCGAGCAGGCAGCCAGGAAGGTTTATAATCCCAACCTCCGACAGCCACTTGCTGCTTATTACAGGAACTGCACAATTCGCGTACCTGATTCGGCGTCTGCTACCCATTCTCAGCAGCTGCCCACCTACAGAGAGTTTAGGCTATAACGCGCTACTGGTGAGTACTAACTTGTTTCTTACCACCTGTCCGCTCCCGAGCCCACAAGCGAGCACACCACCACTACACCAAAGTATAATAAGGCGAGATCAAAAATTTGGCACGGCTTAACGAACGAACGACGGGACGGGAATCATAGAAGGCAAGATGCGAGGAAATTCAGGGATCCTAGGACAATGGCATACGGAGGCTAGCACACTCAAGTGAGGGCGCCTGCTTCTGATTCATTGCAAGCTCTTTATACTCCAAACACCGGCTTCTAAGGTTGTGCCAGCGAAGCAGAGAGAAGGCATCCCCAGCGACAAGTGTCCTTCCTTCCATTGCAGGCTGCTGACGAGTTCAGCACAGCCAGACCAAAGGCCCCAATAAAAAACTCGTCGTCTTCGAAGAGTCAGCCACGACTGGGAAAATGCGGATGCTCCGTCGGCGCTACTGCTGTTGGGACTTCCGGCCAATCCGTTGATAGAGAGCCAGCGACTGTGGTTCGCTCACCCACTCGCTGAAGGTTTTCAGGATGCTTTTAATTTTCGTCTGGGTTTACTTGAGACAGGGTGATCCATCTGGAAGTCGATCCTGCCTGCCAATCTGCTCATCTGGCCTGTTGCCGTCGCAAGTAGTGTGCTTGAGGAAGATGGTCTGCCTGCCTGCTTGAAGATGCGGCTTGAACCGCCGGTTGCTCTCCAATTGCCCCCTCCACCTGCTCATCTATGTTGTTCTCTTGATTTTTGCTGCTGGCTTTGGTGTAGGTACATCCCTTCCACGCCCTCACACAAACCAGCACACCCCTCCCAGCCGTCGTCTGCGCCCCAGACCGGCAAGACCTATTTTCAGCGCAACAGGGCTTAACAGTGGGACGCGACAGAGCAGCGCCACATGCGTGGCCGCCTGCGCCCCCCTTTCACATTCACTCTGCAACATTGTACTGGTCAGGCACCAAGTGTCTGATAGGTAGTGCTGTGTTGCTGAGGCCGTTTCTGGCGACGTCTTGGGTCACTCAGCGTTCAAGGATGTTAGGTACCTTGGTACCGACAGGCAGGACAGCCATGACACGCCAGTGACCAAATCCCAACCACCTACCACTGCTCTTGGTTCCCGCCTGCCTGCTTGGCTGCTGTTGCAGCGTCTTGCTTGTGGTTCTAGAGTGTCCTCCTCCTGACTGTCGTGGCAATAGCTACCAGCAGCAACTTCCCCCTTTCTTCCAATAGCAGGCTCATAGCTGTGATGAGGCAAAAAAATTTCACCTACAACAAGATAATCTGTCTCTGGTTACTGCAGGCGCGGATTACCAACCAACGAACGACCCACGTCGCTGCTCTGCCCTGCCTGCGTGCGCATGTCTGTGACGCAGATTTGGCACGCCTCGCTTTTCTTTCAATCCCACCTCTTCATTTCCCCCCGTCCGCCCACTCGCATCGTCCCACCATCACTGGCAAGTCGTTGACATCCTGGTCCGTGGCTTTTCTCGCTCCGCTTCCGTCAAGGCGGCCACTCAGTCTCATTGCCAAGTATTGCAACTCCCTCATGCTCTCTGCATCTCAGCCTCTGTCATCTCGCTGCCCTCACTCGCTGTTACTGTCCGTCACTCCTTGTTCCTCGCAGCTCCATGCTCCCTCCCTCCCTCCTCGTCGCCCTAGCTCCCCCTCCCAGCGTCCAAGTGGCTCCATTTCCCTCTTTCCCTTCCTTGCTTCGCTGCTGCGCTACTAAAAAGTTAGCACCTTTGGTTTCTGACGCCGTCACAGTTTTTGCCCACCCGCTCTGGCCAACCACGTTGCCTAGCCTCGCTCGCTCGTCCCAGCTCTTCCATGCCAGCCCTTTTTCAGTCACTCGTTTGAAAAATCCCTATTGCCGGAAAACACGCTGCTTGACGTTGCTATTGCGAAGCCGCCACCCCCCCTCGGGCTTCAGTGTCTCTTGTCGCTGCTAATCTGCTCTGGTCGTCTGTCCTAAACTATTCGACCGCTCTGCCTCTCTCCAGTCAGTCTCCCCGCGCGCCTCTGGATCCCGTCCTGCTGCATCGGTGCTGGTAGACAACTGCATTCGGCCCACCATACAACAACCGCCACACACCAAACCTGGCTGTCTTGACGATATCCCACCACATTCCGTCGACGCTACCTCTCCCTAGCGACCACGCTTTGCCTGTGCCTGTGCCTGTGCCATCGCAATCCACACCCCTGGGCCTTTGCTGCTCCATCTCTTGCCGACCCTCCCATACAGCCAGCAATCACCAGCTCGACAGGCTCATCCTCTCAGCCGCCCCTGGCCCCTGTCACTTCGCATTCAGATCCCATCGCCGCGAATCATACAGCCCCTCAGGCTGTTGACCGGCTTCCGAGATTGACTTTTTGCTTGCCAGTTGACAGCTTCGTCTGTCTTTCCTACCAAGTAACGGCGCCTGTTGACTTGCAGTCTCCAGGGCCCTTTCCCCGTGGCAGACTTTGTGCCGCCAAATAATCAGCCAATCTTCTTTTTTGCGGCTGCTTTGGCTCTCTTTCCTGCGAGAGCTGGGTACTGAATAAACTCGGACCTTGAACGCTTGGCCGTCGCTCAAGTTCACTAGGCCGCATCGGGCCATACCTACTCAACCATGGCACCTATGACACCCCGTCTCAAGATTCTTTCAGGTTCGTCCATCCATCAGCCCAAAGTCCAACTTTCGTCTCCCACCCCTCCCACCCCCCTCCCAGGGCAGAAAAAAATCCTTGCAGCCTATTCCCAAATTCGCGTCTTTACCAGTACTGCATTGCATTGTTCTGTCGTGCAACTCATACCCTGGTTGCTTTGCTGGCAGGCACTAAACAGGTGCAAGATACACACTGTCACCACGGTCTCTTTCTCTGGGGCGCCGCCGCCTTTAACATCCGCTACCAGCCAGCCCACTTACTTTTTGTCTACCATTGCATACCAGTCGTTGCACTCAGACTCTCAATCTCCCACTTCATTCTCTCGCTACTCTTCCTACTTTGCACCCACCCCAATTGACCCAAACCTCTCGAACCTGTCACTGCGACCTTGCTTTCTTCTTCTCGCAATTCCTGCGCTCGGCGATTGCTCCCCGCCACGCCACGGCGCTTCTGCCCATCATGAGCGACAATGAGCTAATGCAAGTTTGTTCAGTCGGCGGAAATCCAGTCTCTGCTTTTCTCTCCTGGCGACTCCAGGCAACAAACGCTTGCGATGTCACTCTGGTCTGGAAGTCGGGTTTCGAACATGTTTCTCAATATGGCATCTCCTTCAAGTATGTTGCTCTCGTAGCTTCGGCAGCCCCGGCCGACTGCCCTCTCGCAAGATGCGATCGCGTTGCTGACAATCCTTCGCAGGTCGCCCGTCTTCGGCAACGAGCGCTTCAAGCCACGGCATGGTGCGTATTTGAAAACCGAAACTCCGAAAACCATTCGTTTCCCTCGCATCCGCAACTAACATGTATCTCCCGTAGTGGTCCGAAATCCCGAAGATGCTGCTGGCGTTCGCGACGGTCCTTTCGATTACGTCGTTTTGTGCGTAAAAGCCTTACCCGACGTCTACGATTTGGCCGCTGTCATCGATTCTGTCGTTACTCCTCAACATACATGCATCCTTGTCAACACCACACACACACTTGGCGTCGAAGCTGCCATCGAAGAGCGTTATCCCACAAACGTCGTTCTCTCATTAGTATCTGGTGCGGAGCTCACTCAGCTTGGCCCAAGCGAATTTGAGCACAGGGGCTCGACCGATGTCTGGGTTGGCCCGGCCAACAGACAGAGCAATATTCCCCAAGCTATTCAAGAGGATATGGCACAGGCTCTCGCCATGACTTTGAGCACCGGCCAAGTTGACTGCAAGGTGTCCCCCAACATTCGGCAGCAGCAATATGAACGTGTTATCGGGTATGTCTATCACTGCCATCGTGCGTTCTCCTATTTCCGCATATCCGCTAACGCTATTGTATTCTAGCCCGATTGCTTTTCACCCTGTTAGCGTACTGTTTGAAACACCGAACCAGTCCATTCTCTTGGAAAAGGTCGGCGTCAAGGATATGGTTACTGGCATCATTGATGAGCTGCTTCTCCTCGCTGAAGCCAACGGTTGCAAATTCGACATTGACTTCAAGCAGAGGATATTGAACGACATGACAAAACCCAATCTCCCAGACAGCATCATGTGGCAAGATTTCGTCGCTAGACGGCCCATGGAGATCGAGACGTATCTGGGCTCCCCGATCAAGCTGGCTCATGAGGTCAAGGTTCCCGTTCCCAGAATCGAAACGCTATATGCCATTATGCACAACTTGAATATGGTCAATAGAAACCGCCCCAAGGCGGGAGATGTTCAAGGGGCAATGCCTCCAGGCTCCCCTACCGTTGGCCAGCCTCCACGCCTACCTTCACAGAATGGCCACCGCCCCATGATGGGCGGCATGCCGAACGGAAATGGGCAACCGCCGCGCCAGGTTCGTCCTCGCAACTCTTCCAACTTCGGCCCCGCTGGTCCTATGCGCCGAGGTCCTCCTCCTATGAATGGCGGCCCAAACGGTATGAATCGTCCGCCACCGCAACACATGAACGGTGGGTCGCAAGTTCCCTCTCGACGCGGATCCATGGATGGCAATGACCTCGAGGAATTCTCTCATCTTGTCCTTTACGACGACATCCCCGAAGGTCATGAACAAAACTTTGGTTCCGACAACGGCGAAGCTGCTATGCGCGAGAGAGAAATGCACGCCAGACAGCGAGGCATGAAGGAGCAGGACATGCGCATGCGACGCGGCCCTCCTCCTCCGGGGCCCCCGGGCCCTCGCCGCGGTCCCCATCCTATGCGCCACAGCACTCAAATGTATGATGACGACGACGATGACGACTTTTACGACCCTCCCATGGGTCCTGGAATGCCTGCCATCGATGCCGAGAATTTCGATATGATGAGTGTAACTTCACGAAAGAATCGTAAAACATCCGGTCCGCCTTCCACACAGATCCGCCGCAACCCCGAGTTTGATGCTCCTCCTCCTTCCCGCGGTAGCCGATTCCGACCTAGCTTTGGCCGAAACCGCTCAAGCCAGATTGCATCGATACCCACGATGACAGACAATATCCTAGACGATCCACTTATGAGCTGCTCGTCGAATCGCTATGGTACTGTCGACCGGGGCACAATCAACGGCGGCTCCCGAGCCAATTCCCTGACGGCCTCGAGACTTGATGAGCTGCAATACAGCCAGGCTCCCGGTGGCCCTCCAGGCATGAATTTTGGGCGACGCGCAAGCCAGTCTCCCGGAAACCCGTACAGCCCCTCGATGCGCGGCGGTAGCGGTAGACCTTCGCCCCCCAACGGATATGGTCCTCCCATGAGTGGCCGCCCTTCCCCTCCGGACGGCGTACGGCAGCCGGTTCCTCGCTACCCTCCTGGCCAAGGCAATGCGGTTGCACCTCAGCAAGTTGAACAGCATATTGGGGTGAGCGCCCTACATCCACCAAAGACTAGAAATGTGCGAAGTCTGACGGGTAGTGCGAGTGCTAGCGCGGGCAGTGGTGAACTCGACTCCGAAAACTCGGCACGCAGCAGCCAGACCAGCCTTCCTACGGCGCCGGCAGCTGCCACCAGTGTTCACTAGTACCATCGAATTGACGACGAAACTGCTGGAGACACATCAGAGCTGATGCCACCGATGACTCCCTGTGAAGATAACGTTGGCGTTTGGCCCTGTCAAGCCATGAATCATTCTTCTTAATTTCCTCTTTGCTTTACATTTGCGAAAAAAATAACACAGCGTTGGAGTTGGTTTGATTTGGCAACAGCGAAGGATGCCAAAACAACACACGACCCCTTGTTTTTCCTGCGGACTTTGCCAAGTCCTGTACATACGGCCGAAAAGAAGCAACGGCAGCAAACGCTCAACTGTTTTGATAATACTGCATCTCAGCAAGAACACTTGATTCTTTGCATTCAAAGCATCAATTGGCCCGATTCGGCCAAGGATCAACCACCATTTAACGGCCAGTTGCCACCTGCCCACACAGTCACCATTTACCGACGGTATCGCCCCTTGATAGCCTCGTGTTCATGACAGGCAACTGGCCGCTAGACTTTGATGATAGCGCGGCGCGAAACGGTAGATTGGGAATAGTGTTGGTGGACATAACCTTGCTCGACTTTTCCCTTCCTTCTGAAGCTTCCCTCAGGTGGTCTATACTCATGCAGTGGTATCGGCGCACCTACAGGAACTACGACGGTCCTTTTTTTCTTTGTTTTATTACTCACAAACACACACACACATATTAGAGTCTGGGGTCCTGTTTTCTTGTTTCTTTGGTCGTTTTTTATAATACTGTCTGGTTATACGTCAATCCTTATGTATCGTTTTGGAACGAGGTTTCGCAGTGGCAGCGGTGGAAAAGGTCATCTTCGTTGGGCATGGGATATTTGACCTCCAGGACGATGCGGTCCGTTGGGTCTGATAAAAACTTGTGGTATACAAATGCACAAGACAGCGAATATTGGAGCGCCCAGGTAATAGGGCGCCTCATTTGAATAATTCAAAGTTGAACTATCACTTTTATTAGAGTCTTTTTCTATGTGTTAATTGTGCTCGTGCAGGGGCAGACGAACAGCCAGAGTATTTGTGTAATAATTACACTTGACCGTGACCGTCACGTGGATCATCGTGCTGTGGGCTACCTCTAACCTATCCGTGTTACTGGCTGCGACGCGTTACTTCGCTCTGGTATCCCAAACGACTATTACAACGACATTATTCCGCACAAAGGAAATCAAAGTTCAATCCACGTCCGCTGTTGTTAGGCGTCTATCGTCGCCATCGCCATTGATTTTGGGCGCCGTGATTCATGAAAATCACACTTGAACGCGGTTCAGCCATAATAGCCTGAGTCAACAACGTCCCTCGCTCCATTTGTTCTGTCCGAAAATCGCTTCCGCTTCCAACGCTCGTTCTTTTATTCTTTTTGTTTTTCTCTTCCTTTTTTTAAAACCTCCTCTTTTACAAATGGCCACCAGGAATATTGGCGGTGGCGGTCCTCGACAAAGCATGGCCATCGCCGCAGCAGGCGGACAGATGAAGTCGAGACAGCTGGTTTGTTTTATTCTTTATCCATACGACCTGGAGGTCAACCTCGGAGGGAGGGGGAGGAAGCTAACGTCTTTTTTTATTTTCTTGGCTCTTTTTGAAGAGTCATTTGCATTCACAGCTCGCGCAGCTGTCGGCGAACCTCTCGGACACGGAGAACCTGCTGCGCATGACAAGCGTGCAGGCGGAGGCGATGAGGGGCCTGGGGAGCTGGCACGGCGCATTGTAAGTAAAGGCTTTCAAGAAGGGATTGGTTGATTGACACAGCGGACATGTAGATTCATGGCGGCGAGTCGGGTACTAGGTGAAGAGAGTGTAAAGGAGAGTGGAAAGTAGTATTCACTGCGAAGGCAATTGAAATGATTCATGTCGATATAATTTATTTTTGACATTGAAAAAGATGGTGGCTCGCGCCGGGTATCATTACGTATTCATATCGTAGATCACTCTCCCTATAACGTCGCCTTACAGTGCTCACATCTTCTCCTCTCCCCTCCCGAAGAACCCTCACACCCACCACATCCTGGCATCATTTTGTCTCTTGCCCAGAAGCCCCGACTTGTTGCGCGCCTGCATCTGCTTTGGCCCGCAAGCCCTTGCGCACCTGCTTCACCCGGGGCTCGCCGACAGGATACCGCCTGACGCCGGCGCACGCGCGGCAGCGGACGACGAGGACGTCGGCCCAGGGTTTGCGCCCCCCGCGGCTCGCGTTGTCGACCACGGCGTCGCACGTGCGGCCCTCGATGAGCAGCGCGTCGCAGCGCCGGCACACGGTGCGCTTGATCTCGGGTCGCTGTCGTATCAGCGCCTTGCGCGTGACTGCGCGCATGTCGCCGAGGAGGCGCCGCGAGGCGTTGCGCAGGGCCCTGCCACCTAAGGTAGAGGAGGAGTCGCCCGCTGAGGTGGGAGAGGGTGATGAGGATGAGTCCTTGGGCTTGTCGTCAGGGGCGGCCGACGCAGCCTGACTCGGTGGCGGCGACTCCAAGGAAGCAGTCGCGAGAAAGGCGGCAGCTTGGTAAAGATACGAGGCTCGGGTGTAGATGTGTCTGTTTTGTACACCGGGCGGTGCTTTTGACTTGGCCATTATGGCTCGTTTACCAGTTTGCTTGCAACCGTAATCTCAGGGATCTCGACGGGAGCCGCAAATAAAAAGTTGTGCTCTCATAAGTTAGGAACCTTATTATGCAGCCAGCCACGGCTGTCGCAAATTTTGCCTGCCACAGGTTAGTGTTGCTGCACACAGCCGCGAGTGGTACAAATGTCAGCAAGGCCACCCTCATTCAGGCACGGTGGGCACCAGTCACGTGATAACACCTCAGTTGGCCCATGCTCCCAGCAAGCTGGCTCCCTTGCATGCCTTGAACGCTGAGCCAGGATCCTCCCCCGTTCTTCCCCTCCATCAACTATCATCTTTGGAACAGTTTGCCGGATCTCGCTGCTTCTCTCCTCAGACTCATTCTTCTTTCCGCAGTTCGCTCTAACTCCGTCTCATCCTTTCTATCCTCTTTCGCCGCTCGCGTTCCTTTCCTCACCTGTTCGCCCGAAAACACGCTTCGCCACCAACGACAACAAAAGCCAAACGCAGGCTTTTCTGTCACTATTCTTGCCACTCCCGCGCCGCTGGACGACACGACCTTCTATCGCCTCGACCGTTCACATTAGAAAAGAGGATTTTCGACCCTCACTTCGTTGAATTGACACCCGAAAACCGACCACGCTGCAAAAAAGACAACAAGCATCGCCCATCATGTCGCACGAGGAGGATCTCATTGACTACTCCGACGAGGAGATTGGCGCTAACGAGACCGCCAACGCCGCCACCAAGAAGGGCGATCTCGCTGCCAACAGCAGCGTCGACAAGAAGGGTAGCTATGTCGGCATCCACTCCACCGGTTTCCGCGACTTCCTGCTGAAGCCCGAGCTTCTGCGCGCCATCGGAGACTGCGGTTTCGAGCATCCATCGGAGGGTTAGTCCTGCTATCATCGCACACATTCTAATCACCTACAAACAAAGCATCAATTTCTCCCTCCCCGTCCCCTGTTTGCTCCCGTTTTCCTTCTTTCTTGATACAAAGGAGTGAAGGCGGGAGAGGAACGTGTCCGTCCATCTCGCAATTTGCGCGCAACAGCAACTCGCACCGTTTGGCGGGTATTTGAGGCAACGCACACTGGCATGAATCATCTAGTCGCGCCTGGAAGACAGCAAGACTATGGATACCTGTCGCAAGGCCTCTCGGTCTTTTGGAACGACGCCATGGATCTTGGTGCGCCTGAAACATGGCCCCAGTTCATCTGAATACGAATGCGCTTCTTCGTAACGAGGCTAGCCAGTCAACTGGCAGCTCTCCTTGTTGAAGAAGAGGCGCTCCCGCGCATTTCGATTCCTTTCGCCGTCATTGTCTAATGCGACAAGAATCCGGAAGTGGAGCTCAACCAGTCCTGGTGGGAGAACCTTTCGAGGCGCAAGCAGACCGTTGGTAAAAGACGGCAAGGCAAACTCCCTTGTTTGATGCGCAATGGCCTATTGGTATCATTGCGGTATAGTACATGGAGGGCCAGACATGCTCCAAAACCTTGAACAAGGTCGTTGATGTCTGCGCTCGGCAGGACTGCGTGGCTGGATGTGCATCTGATTGCATACTTGCGACCGCATTGCGACGATGGACGGACTGATGCTTGACTCTACGCCACTCGTTTTTTTACACGTATCAAGACACTTTTCTAACATTCACTCGATCGACAGTCCAACAAACCTGTATTCCCCAGGCTCTTCTCGGTGGTGATATTATCTGCCAGGCCAAATCCGGTCTTGGCAAAACTGCCGTCTTTGTTCTCGCCACCCTGCAGCAGGTCGAGCCTGTCAACGGCGAGGTCTCGGTTGTGGTCATGTGCCACACCCGTGAGCTGGCCTACCAAATTCGCGATGAATACAACCGTTTCAGCAAGTACATGCCCGACATCAAGACTGGTGTCTTCTATGGTGGTACTCCCATCAAGACCGACATGGAAACGCTCAAGAACAAGGATACGTGCCCTCATATCATTGTCGGTACCCCAGGCCGTCTCAAGGCTCTTGTCCGCGACAAGGCTCTTCGTCTCGGCAGCGTTCGTATCTTTGTCCTCGACGAGTGCGACAAGATGCTTGACCAACCCGGTATGCCAGTTCCGCAAAGGATTGGATTGCATCAATGAAATGGAAAACACTAACAATGCACAGATATGCGCACTGATGTGCAAGACGTTTTCCGCGCCACTCCCCATCAGAAGCAGGTCATGATGTTCTCGGCCACTCTGTCAGAGGAGGTCAAGCCCATCTGCAAAAAGTTTATGCAGAACCCTACCGAGCACTACGTTGATGAGGACACCAAGCTTACTCTGCACGGTCTGCAGCAGTATTACATCAAACTTGATGAGAAGGAGAAGAACCGCAAGCTCAACGACCTTCTCGATGAGCTTCAGTTCAACCAGGTCATCATCTTTGTCCGAAGCACAGTCCGCGCTACTGAGCTGGACAAGTTGCTCCGCGAATGCAACTTCCCCTCCATCGCTGTCCACTCGGGCGTCAGCCAGGAGGAGCGTATCCGTCGCTACAAGGAGTTCAAGGAGTTCAAGAAGCGCATCTGCGTTGCTACTGATGTTTTCGGTCGTGGTATCGATATTGAGCGTATCAACCTAGCCATTAACTACGACCTGTCCGCCGATGCCAGCTCCTACCTTCATCGCGTTGGCCGTGCCGGGCGTTTCGGTACCAAGGGTCTCGCCATTTCGTTTGTCAGCAGCGAGGATGACCAGAAAGTGCTCGGCGAAATCGAAAAACGTTTCGAGGTTGCTCTTCCGTAAGTCATACTGCTTTCTATAGTGAGAGGCTACCTTGATACTAACCAGACTTTAGCGAGTTCCCCAAGGAGGGCGTTGATGCCAGCACCTACATGGCATCTTAGATGAGAGATTTTGGCTTTTACAAGGCCAATAGTGTGACGGTTTTTGCTGAAGAGGCCTTTGAATGATTTATTGGGAATAAAGAAAAAGAAACGGGAAACAGATGATAAGAAAGGAATGATTTTCCTCCGTGTGTGACTTTCCAAAGTGCTGTATCATTTAGGATTTGCTAGGTTGATTACATGAGACTGAATTGCGATATTTTTAAGTAAGCACGGTGTGTTTATGCTGTATGATTGGGTGAGACGGCATGGTTTACGGTTGAGAGCGTCCGGTTGGTTTTCGGAAGCGAGTTGATTGAAGGGTGTTGCACAGGACAAGATGAGGCGGCGTTATAGCCGCCTTGTGTTTCAATGACGGGCCGATCTTTGATCAATAGTGCAAAGAGGCTGGCAACTGGACCCTTGCAAAAGTAGCAAATGGCTCAGGTTTTCGGCCAGACCTCATGTTGCGGGATAACAGATAAGAGTTAAGAGACAAGGCCGCATCAAGAAAGGCAGCCATCCCGATCCCACGCTCATATCCCACGCTCATGGCCCGGGCTGAGCACGGGCCAGCCCTGCTGCCTGGAGTTGCCACAACTGCGAAAGAAGGAGTGGGAAGGATGACTCCGAGGTGCAACGCACGCCGCCTCTGAAGGCATCATGAGATGACGTTGTCGCGTGAGCACCAACAGCCCACAGCCAGCTTGCCTGGCTTGGTGGAGCGGGACGGACCACGACGGGCGATGTCGGAGCGACCAAGAGAAGTCGTTTGCAGGCACACCGGTTTCGCCTACGAGTTCTGGGATGACCGATGATCGGGGCCTGTCAGTGTTTCCGCATTGGTCATGACGCGCTTTGATTTCCGCATGGCTGTTATCGATGAGCTCCGAGATGTAATTTGTACTTACTTGTTGGGCGCGGATTTTGGGGCCCGCGCTTGCAGGGCAAGCCAAGTATTGACGTGTTCGCCTCTGCTGCCTGGCCTACATTACCGCTAGATTATTTTACTAATAAGTTTATCATATGCACACAAAGATACACATGTACTATACAATAATAACGACCTAGGTAGTTAACATGTGTTGTTCTTGCCTGGCCCTTAGCGCGTTTCCAAGTAAAAGGTATGTATGTACATAAGTCGTTCCCTGAAGCTTCTCGAAACAGGCAACCACTTCCACGTTAGTGGTCAGCCGGTCGTCACACCGTCCGGCCCGTGCAAGAACAAGGCTTCTGGCACGGTGTTCATAATGATTCAGCCATCATGGAGTTAACTTGGTAAGGGCCACGCGAGAGGGGCGTGGGAATGACGTGCATGATCAGGCTATGTACGGCAGGCCCAGGTGATGACAAAAAACAATCCACCCATCGTGAATTTTCTAGGCAGCGGCAGCCGGCGCGAGCGAGCCTGATCCCGAGAACTGGGCTGCAACGCGCGAAAAGGTTGATTTGGCCGTAACTCGTGGCCATATTCACTTGGTCTTTTGGGTGGGGGCGCTGGCTGACTTGCTGTCTGGCCTTTTTGTCCCCCCTGAATCGCGCCATGGCGTTGAGTCATCGGAGACCACGACTTACGACTTGGAGAGGCTTGGGCGAGCTATTCTCTACGAGCCGCTGCTTGGTCGGGCATCGTTGGGACGCATCTTGAGACCAGCTTTATTAAAGGAAAAAATTTGCGATTTTTCTGATTTTCTTTTCTTTTTGGCTACAGGTTGTTTAAACGAGACCAGAAAGAACCACCTACGGAGCGTCGGTATGGTTATGGAAACACAACGCGCAGCGGGATTTCCGGAGCAACAAGCATGATACAGCAGGTTGTAGTGACCACTTACAGTATTCAACTCCTGTAATAATCAAGTCATATTTGTGTTTGCGCTGTCGGGCGGGCTCGGGCGGGCGCATTAGCACATAATAGCCGAATTCCGTCCGGCCCACGGATTGCTGTTATTCGTCACTGCTAATAAGAGTCCGGCCGTCCGGGCGAGACAACAGCGCAAGGTCAATCTCTAACAACTAAGCCACTACACCGTGGCTGTGAATTATAGATTTGAGCCAGGGGGTTAACTTTCCGTCTCAGTCTCAGTGGTAAAAATAGCACCATTCTGAACCCCGCGTTGATAACTGACTTGTGTAATGTCTATGGATTACGGTTTACTCTGATTTATCGATACCATTCCGCAGGGCTCCCTCTTCAGCTACGACAACCACAATTATTTGCGAGCTGCGTAATGCTACCACTACTGTGTCTATGCGCGAATACGGGGAAGATGTAGCAGAGTAATTATATTATACCTTGTAGTGTGTGGCCGGCTGTGAAGTTCCAAAACTCTATTTCTCTCAACTTGCAACCAGCGTAGGAGTGAGTATGTAGGTGCAGACCAGATCCGGAAGGCGGTAGAGGAGATCCCAATGCATCAACCACTCAGCGTCGGGCATTACTAACACATCTATGGCGGACTTCATTGGTGACTCTTCAGCCAAGACAGTGCCGGAGAAACAGACTGCGTACTGACATCTCGGCCTATTCTTCTTTTTTTGTATCAATACTACTGGCAATGAGGGAAGAAAAGAAACCGGTACCGAACCTTCATGGCCTTGGCAAATCACACGGATATTACGCCTGTCAATCAAACGACTCATACAGGGTAGCGAGTTTGTGGCAAATTACAGGGGTTGTGAGGCAAACCAACCAGTCTCGTTGCGGCGTCATTCTGCCAGCGCGACTGACCCTGCGTCCTCAGGCACCAACCCGTACTTGCTGTTCTGGTGATTATCTGACATGACTTGCCACGAAGAGGGCGACAGACGCCAAGCCAAACCTGGTCGTGGCCAAGGTGTGAGATTCCTCCCGTGGCAAAGTGCCTACTCATGTACCAAGTACAAGGCAGAATCAAGCAATCGGTCGTGAAGTGTGATGTCAGGTAACTGGAAAAAGCCTCCTCCTGTACGACGACATGCAGTACCGCCCGCGATTGATTAATTCATGCGAACCCCTCCTCTTGTGCAGCCGAGTGCGCCTGCTTGCTTGGGTACTACGTGACGCGAAGTATGGCCGCCCAAACAGAGGCCACATCGGTCAAGATGCTTATCGCTTGCGGGGGAAAACTGGTCCATCGTGAACGTGAGAGGAGTCATGTTCGCCACGACGGCGGCGAACGGTCCAGAGAGAGTAATATCAAGTGGGCTGCGTGCTCGCTCACAATGCTCCGCGCCCTCCAATATTTGGATGGCAAATGGGTTCTTGAATCTAGTTACTGCCTAGGTACGGAAGGATGGAGGAGTTAGTAATAAATGCATGCCTTGCTGTCCGCCACCCATTTCGGCGCCCAAGCACAAACCAGAGACACGCTAAAAGGTATTGGCCCCTCCCCTTCACGACAGATGGGGGCATTATGCAATGTCGCAGCAAACGCACGCCTAGGTACACATTTTTACTATAGAGAAGCGGCAAACTGTAAATAAAACGAGAGCAACACTATAATTTTGAGAGCGGAAGACAAAAGGGCAAAATAGGAAAAAAGCTGCGACTATCCCTCATAGAAACAGGGAGGACAGGCAACGCAGGCAACACGCTGCAAGTTGTTGGTACCCGGTACCAAGGGCGCCGCCACGCTGCCTCAGCGCAGCCAACGCCTCAATGGCCACATCCGGGGCCACGCTCCACCAGTCTGGTGGAGCGCCTGGGCTCGCCGTGGACCAATGGGATGATGGCAGGTACCGGCGCTAATCCGCTTCTGTCAGCAGCGCCGTAACGAGTCGAGCAAAGTTGAATCAAGGGGAGTCTGGCGGTCCCCCCCGTGTGCAGCTGGCAGAATCGTATGGCCTCTCACGCACTGGTTCGCCCGCCGTACTTGGGTACAGAGAAACTGGAAGGCCACAATTAGACCATGATCATCTTAGGTACCTTTTACGCGTCCACACCATACTAAAGGTACTTTGTACACCTCCCCCAGCCTTTGTCATTCATGCTCGTCGATTCCTCAAAACTAAACTGTGGCCCTCGTCGTGACTCTTCGCCTCCTCCTCCCATCGAACTGCACAGCCGTCGCGATGAAGTTCGAACTCGCCCTGTAAACGACCAGCGACTCCTCGAAGTCTGCTTTGGTTTATCTCTCCACTCCACGGCGCAATTATTCTACTCTTTTGATACATTATCGACATTTATTTGGTTCTATTCTGTACTCGTCTATTGTTCCTTCTCGTCTTTTCCCTTGTTCGAACCGATCTCTTTCGTCTATATACTTTGCCGGCCTTCTCCTGCAGAGTAAAAGCAACGTCTTTCTCGATTTGTTTTGCTCGAAAAATCTTCCGTTCGAACTCAACCAACGCTCGCAGTGACATTAACTTGTACCTTGCGACCCCTCCGAAAAAGACATCTCTGCAAACGCGCACCAAGATAGAAACGCCACCCGCCGCTTCTACCAGCCGTGCATCGAAACAAACGAAGAATTGAAAACAAAAAACAGAAAATCTGTGCGAATAACATCGATTTCTGCCGACCTCTTTCTTCCTCGTCATCCCGAGAAACCCGCACGACTCACAGCAACGAACGCTTTTGCTGTGTTACTCATTCCCTTAATACCTACAACCCAACAGGTGCCTGGAATTAGGTCCCTTTGAGCGCTGACGCTCACTGTCGCCCCTCCCTCCGAAACCGCCTGTCAGCTCCAGGTCACTGCCTGTTCTGCCTGCGCTCAGCTCCGGCCTACGCCACCCACAACTCCCCCTCTGGCACCTCTAGGTACCTACCTGCCCGCCTGTCAACCCAGCACTTGCTGCCTCTTTCGCCACCAGCCCGCCCCCGTGCAAAGAAAAAAAAGAGTCACACAGCCGCCTCCCGGTACCCACACACGCCGCGCCTCCCAGGCTGTCACCATCGGCCTCTCCTTGTCCTCGCCCTGCCTACTGCGGTAAAAGAGTCACATCTTGCCCTTGCCTTTCCCCTCTGTTAAATATATCCCTGGTTGGCGCCCCGTCCCTTGCAGCCGCACATCACACATACTGTACCTGCATATCACCAACCACGGTCTAACGGTCGCGTCTTCACCGTCGCCCCAGGCTTCCGACTCACCACACCTCGCCACTCTACAACACCTCGCCTCGCCTGCATGACCACTGTCTGACTCGATCCTCTTTCGTCACGCCTCCTACCTGTCAATGGTTGACTGCGTTTAAACAGTCTTCCATTGCCCTCTTACCTATTTCTTCAGATTATACAGTCTTGACGAAATGCCTCTTGCACCCTACACAACTATCCCAGTCGCCGTCTCTGCCTTGTCTACCGGTTCCATCATCAGTGTGAAGAAAGTCTTTACTGGTCTCAACGTCTAGCTTTCTCTTTTGCCTCACACGCCCGGACATTAGCTTTTGTTGAGACATCCTCGCATGCCTTGACAAAGCTAGCTCTACTTCGATACGGTAACTGCCAAACGTTCTGCTCAACGGTAATTCACGATTCGCCTCTGATTTGACAAAGTCTGACGGCGACTGGAATATACAACATCCCGCTACTTGAAACTCAATTCGCATCTTTCAAGCCTTCACCATAATATAATATACACCCACCCTCCAAGATGCCGGCCGACAACGTCATCTCCCCGACCTACATCTCCTCCGTACACAACCAATACGCCACCTACAACAACATCCTGACTTCTTCCGTCTCGACTACAAACTCCACCTGGTCTGACACCTCCTCCCAATCTTCTGATGATACCTCTATTTCCTCCACCTCCGACTCCGACTCTTGCGACCCCTACTACCGCAAGCCTGCCGCGCTTGCTCATGTAGGCAAGTATCAGTCGTCTCTGACCAAGCCCATTGTTTCTGAGGCTCTCCCCAAGGAGTTGCGCCAGAACCCCCGCCGCTCCGGCCCTGGATCTCGCGCACGAGGCGCCTGCCCCCCCGCCCTTGTCAGACAATGCGACCGCAAAGTCAACTTCGTCGACTCTCTTGTTGGTATGTTTTGTGCAACTTTTTTACCCATTCTAGCTTTCCGGAATGCCTGTCTCACACAATCGCCCCATATAGACTCATCGACGCAGATCGTCGAGGCAATCTGGCCGCTCTCCTCGGCAGCCTGCCGCTCCGAGCTCGGTAGCAAGGCTGTCTTACCTCTGCGTACCTTTATCCAGGAGACTCTGCGTCGCTCGCGCACCAGCTACTCGACCCTACAGGTTGCACTCTACTATCTGATTCTCATCAAACCCCATGTGCCCAAGTATAACTTCACCATGGAGCAGCCCGAGGACCGCCACGCCGACCGTGCCCTCCAGTGCGGCCGACGCATGTTCCTCGCCGCCTTGATTCTCGCCTCCAAGTACCTCCAGGATCGCAACTACTCTGCTCGCGCCTGGAGCAAGATTTCTGGTCTCAACACGCATGAAATCAACCAGAACGAAATATCGTTTCTCCTCGCTGTCAACTGGAAACTCCATATTGCTGATGAGGTTTTCCAGCGCTGGACTGAGATCGTCCTCAAGTACACCCCTCCTCCGTCACCGCCATCGCCCAGTGCCACCTCGACTATGTCGCAGCAGAGCATTGAGTGGCGCAACCTGATTCTGAGGCTCAACCCGGAGTTGACCAACATTGAGGGGCTTTTCCCTCTGCCTAGCACCAAACCCAACGATCTCTGTGCGTTCTCTCTCCGTAACATCCTCAACCCCTCGGTGGACAGCCGCGCTGCCATCGCTGCGACTATGGATGTTACTGCCCCCAAGGCTTTCACCTTGGCCCCCGTCGCCGCTGCGGAACCCATGAGCACCCCTGCCTACTCCGCCGGTGGCCTTGCCCCCGCGCTTGGACTGTTGCCAACTCCTCGCCTGACTCCGCAGACCAATGGTCTATGCACTCCTGTAGTGAGTGTTGGATCCTACAAGAAGCCAAGCGCTATGTGCCTTGCTATGGCCCAAGCGAGCTCCGTCACCAGTGCTCACCATCTGGATCGCCTCCCGATTTCGTCGGTGACCTCGTCTCCCCAAAGCTACTGCCCGGCCCGCAGATCTTCGCTCGCCAACTCTGTCTCCACTGCCTCATCTCCCGAGTCCATGATTTCGGATGTCTCTCGCTCTTCCCGCTCTTCATCTATCTCGTCCATCTCGTCCCTCGCTAGCGCGGGCGTCAACTCCAAGTTGATGACTTCGCGATTCCGCGGGACGGTGGCCAAGGCGATGAATGAGAGAAGCTGCCAGAAGCCGACTGTCCCCTCCGTCCCCGAGGACTTTGATGAGCACATCTTTTCGTCGTCACCCGAATCGTACACCGGCCCGGTTACGAAGCTGGACAACCTGTCTCTGGACACTCCCTTGGCCAGACGCGAAGAGGAACTCGAAGAGTTGATGCGAGACCCTGTCTACGATGCCGCACGCACCCTGCAAAATCTACAGACGTTGCACAATGAGGATATACGCTCTGCCGACTCGACGCCTACTGCTCGCGTAAGTCGCAAGCGCACCCGTCCTTCGCTGGTGGACGACTTTCTCCAGGAAGAGGGCCCTCTTCAAGAGAACGTTCGCCACCTCCTTCACGGAAAATGCCCTGCCCCGGAACCCACGTGGAAGAGGACTCCCCACAAGAGACTGTGCTGCTCTACTGAAGCTGCCAGTGGCTTCCTCCGGGCTGCCGACCCGCGCTCGGTCCTTCACCAGGGCCAGGGTATTTGGGACGGCATCCTGAACTAGAGCTTGATAAGATGTTACTATAATATACCAGAAATGGTGCATACAAATGCTGAACAATATATACTGCTGCCGTGGTGGCACTATTTCCTCCTTGATGCTCAGCATCCTCTTCTTATCTATTCCCTTTGTTCCCGACACATACAACACACTTTCTTGTTGTTCCTCTCTTCGTTTTTTATATATGGGGGGTGGGGAAATGGAGTCATGGCGACGGGTGATTTTTTCTTGCCTTGCGATATCACAAAACGCCCATTGTGAAAATGCTCGTTGTCTTTGCCTCGATTCACGAAGCGTTGTCGATGCAAGATGGGCGGCTCGTTTGATGATGGATCGAGCTGTTGCCGTCCACGGTTCTTTTTGGGTGGGGGGTTGGAGCGAATGATGAAAAAAGCTCACAAAATCTTTTTAATAATTGCGTGCATCGTTCCAGGGATCTGGACATATGATGATTAGCGATGACCTACCTACCTACCTAGCTAGTTTTTGTTGAAAGAAGAAGGGGGCGAGTTGAATAGTGCTGTCGATACTGTACGAATATAGACGATTGGCTTGCCTTTTGAAGTTTCGCTGCGTGTGTGTGAAATGGGTGCAAACTGCTCTGCTTGATTGCCTGTCGATGACGCAAAGTGTTGCATCTCCACCAGCATTGCCGTATAACTAGACCGTATTCTCTGAATTCGATGAATACGCTCTACACAAACTAGTGCGGGCGAAAGCAAGGAACCAAAAGTTAGTTAATTCTAGCTATATTTCATCGCCTCTCTTATCTCATTTATTTATTATTTTTATCATTTAATATCTTCATCTCCTCACATCAGCACTCGAGCCAGGGGGCTATTTGCACAACCAACCCATCACCACTACCACAACACCAACACCATCGTCAACATGTCTACACCACGGCAGTTCAAGATCAAACACACCTCCTTCTCTCGTCACTACACCGTCCTCTCCCCCGACGAGCAGCCGCTCTACCACGCCGACCAGTCGGCCTTCACCCACGACAAGGCCAACCTCACCCTGCACGCCGGCAGCGACACCAGCGGCCCCATCGTCGCCGTCGCCCACCTCCCACGACTCTCCTTTGACGCCAAGATCGGCCTCGGCGACCCCTCCTCTTCCTCCGGGGACATGGCGTGGGAGGATCTGCACCGCTCCTCCCGGGACGCCTCGGCGCACGAATGGTCCATGACGCTGCCCGACGGAGGGAGGAGGAGGACGTTTGCATGGCGTCGCACGCACAGGGTCAGCGCGGACGGGATGGAGTCGTCGGCGCTGACCATGCGCGACCTCAAGCTCGTGGAGGTCACCGAAGGGGAGGGGGAGGAGGAAGTTGTGGCGGTGTTTACGGGCCAGCGCGGGTGGTCATCGTGCGGAGTGCTGCAAATTAATGATGAGAGGTACGGGCCGGCGTTTGATATCATGGTGACGGCGACGATGCTGGCGATTTACGAGAAGGCGAGGAGGAGGAGGGCTAGGGAAGGACAGAGGGGGACTGACTTGATACCGAGATGAACTGGAAATTCTAATCCTGTATGATCTCTATACAATTATACCCCAGCGCGTGAACGTGTAGCTAGCAATACAAACAGACTGTTAGCCTTGACATGACAAACTAGCATATCTCCCAGTATTATGAGCCCAGTATAGCGTCGCATCGCATATCACCTGCTTCAACGCCCGCCAAGACATATCTCGACAACCAATGCTCATCAATCCATTAACTATACTCCATGTACTTTTTTTTTTTGTTATTATTACTTTCCCTTGCTTCAGCAGGCCGACGAGCCGTGCGGTTCATCGCCGTCTTGCGGTGGTGGAGTGCTGCTAAAATCACGCAATTGATACAGGGCGCCCCGAAAGAGGCAAGACTGGGGAAAAAATGGACTGACTTATGATAAATGAAGATGTTGACTTTTGGACATTTTTGTTGTATTAGCAATCACTTTCCTGTGCTTCACTTGATTCATAACCCGGTGCGTTGGTAGTCTCTGTTTCATCGTGCACCTCACCCTCCAGTCGGGCGTCCACCCACCCTCATTCACTCAATCATACACCTCCCTCACAACCTCTCTCACTCACTTCACATCTACACCAACCACCGACATCGCGATGCGCGCTCGTTCTGCCGGCACCGCTCTCTCACGAGCCGGCACCGCCGTCTCCCCGCGTGTCCTCGCCGCTCCTCACATCCGGACCCTCGCAACCACCGCCACCACCCCCGTCACCGGCTCCTCGCGCAGCCACAAGGTCGTCGTCGTCGGCGGCGGCGCGGCCGGCGCCAGCGTCAGCCACCAGCTCCTGCGATCCGGGCGGTACTCCCGCGACGACATCGCTGTCGTCGACCCCGCGCGCTGGCACCACTACCAGCCCGGCTGGACGCTCGTCGGCGGCGGCGTCAAGGACAAGGAGGACCTGCGCATGCGCATGACCGAAGTCCTGGACCCGCGCCTCGCCCATTACGACCAGCCCGTCCAGGGCTTTCTTCCCGACGACAACGCCGTGAAGCTGGCGTCCGGCGCCCGCCTCCAGTACGAGCAGCTGGTCGTGTGCCCCGGCATCGACATCTACTACGACAAGATCAAGGGCTTGCCGGAGGCGCTCGCGGACCCGGCGGCGCCGGTGTCGACGGTGTACGGGTACGAAGGCGCGGACAAGGTGTTCCGCACGGTGGAGGCGCTGCGTAGCGGAAAGGCGCTGTTTACCCAGCCCGCGGGCATGATCAAGTGCGCCGGCGCGCCGCAAAAGGTCATGTGGCTGGCGCTGGACCACTGGCGACGCGCGGGTCTCTACAACAAGGCCGGCGGCGGCGTCGACGTCACCTTTGCCACGGCGCTGCCGGCCATGTTCGGCGTGCCCAAGTACAGCGCCGCCCTCGAGGCGCTGCGCGTCGAGCGCGGCGTCGAGGGGCTCTTCCAGCACGACCTGGTCGAGGTCGACGGCGACCGGGCCATCTTCTCCGTGACCGACGCCGCCTCCGGCTCTACGAAGACGGTCACGCGGCGGTTCGACCTGCTGCACGCGGTGCCCAAGATGGGCCCGCACGCGTTCGTCGCGCGCAGCCCGCTGGCCGACGCCGCGGGGCTCGTGGACGTGCACCGCACGCCGACGGCCAAGACGGCGGCGGCGGTGACCGCGCAGGCGCCGGTGGTGGTGGCCAACCTGCTGGCGGTGGCGGAGGGCGGGGAGCCGGCGGCGGAGTACGACGGGTACACGTCGTGCCCGCTGACGACGGAGCGCGGCAAGGTCTTGCTGGCAGAGTTCATGTATGGTGGGCAGCCCAAGGAGACGTTCGCGGCGTTCGGGGTGGACCAGGCGGAGCCGAACCGCGCGTTCTGGCACCTGAAGAAGGACTTCTTCCCTTGGGTGTACAAGAATTACATGGTCAAGGGGACCTGGGGCGGCCCCAAGGGATTTCTTTGAACGGAGAGAAGGGAGGTGGAAGCGAGCAAAAGAAGTTGAGGGATTGGAGGGGGCAGGGGCAGTCGTCGATAGTAATGAAATGACTGCTTTGTATTGCAAATAGAAGGTGTCAAAAGGAATGTAACAACGCAGATGCTGGCACCTTCTCACATTGACTTGACTGCGTAGCAGATTGTTACATGAACTCTGTTGCTACGTACCGCAGCAGAAGGTAGACCTATTCCTCTGAAACATTTCTGTCGGATTTACAAGTACTAAACTTCAGCCATGGATGTACTCTTTGTTCTGGTAGCTAAGCCATGTTTATGACTGATTGACCATGGGCACAAGATCTACGTTTGCATCTTCGCTGCAAGACTCCCCTCGAAATCTACGAGACCCCGCCTGTCCATGGACAGCGAACAGTCCTGCCGCGTCTCGCTTCACGACAATCGGGTACAGCTGTGGAACAGTCGTGATCTGCTTGATATCAAAGAGCAACTCGCCGACTGCAAGACTCGGAAGGCCTTTACTGTGGGCTAAATTGACGGCATGACGTTGTGTAGAGAAAACCTCGGGTTTAACATGGGATCGCCAACATGGCAAGAACTATCTACTTGCGCAGATACCTCTTGCTTACCCATTCGAGGAAACTGCGTGCCAAGTTTCACGAGCACTGGCGACTCGTGAAAGAACACTCATTGCCAATATTGTGCGACCTGTTGATGATTGTTGTACCAATTTTGTTCAACGAGTCAGGGTGCCTTTATGCGTCTCTTCGTTGAGACGCCGGTTTACTAATGCATGTCGCAGAAAACCTTGGACAGACGCGGATTTCCCTCGGACGGTGGAGATATGGAAGGAATATGGGGAAAAAGGTCAACTTTCTGATTTCTCCTGAGGACGAGTTGCTGATGGGAAAGCTGTCAGACATGGATCTTACCCTGAGAAGGGGCATGTTAGTCCTTGACAGGTAGACCGTGGCCTGTGCCTATGGGCGCCTCGCAGCTGTAACGGAAGGACTGGTCCTATTCAAAGAGGAGTAAGTAAGATAGATAATGAAATTGGTTCCACGGGAAGAGGAGCGGCCTCGTTTGCGGCCATCATATAACCTCAGCTGCATGCTGGTCCACGCCTCGCAGTTCGGGGGCTGAATGGTGCAGTAGTGAGTACTGTAGGTAGCGGCATGCGACGTGTGACATGCGGGCTGCGCCATCGTCCAAACCTTATGCTGCTCGTTACGCCGCCCAAGTGCAGCTCGGGCTGATCAGCAAGTTAGTTAGTTCCCTACAAGGTGATGACGGATAGCGGCCCTGCACTAGAGCAGGATAAGACGTCATTGCTGTGAGGCCTCTGTCGATCAACCTTCGGCGGCGTGAACCGGTCGCCAACGGCGGCGGCGCGGCGGCGGCGTGGTGGAATCACCAAGAGGCCAACATTATAACGCGCATAGCTGCTAGAGAGGCTTTGGCTGGTGGCTGAAGGAATTTTTGCCGTTTCCGTAATTGAGTGGTGATGGTGGCTGATGGTGATGTCGTGGTAGAAGACGTTTCCGTTTGTAGGTGGTCTTTTTGAGCCGAGTTAACAAGAGGGCTTCGACCAGCAGCAAACAACCCCGCTGTCAGCGCCTCGCTCATTACACAAGGAGTAGCACAATTGTCCCTTTCTCACCATCACTGTCATCAGTAATTATTAATTGGCTGTTTGAGCATCAAATTGCCCAAGTCTCTTGAGCTCTGTTGCTTCGCCATCCCACTGCTCGTCTGGCACTGCCGCTGCCACTTCCTCGCTGCCTGGGCTATGTATGTACTGTACTGTAGGTACCTTAGTATGCACCTACAGCAACTACAAGGTACAGTACTGCTGCATCATCATTCCCAACAGGACAGCCTCTGTTCCACTGTTGCTGCTGTCAGCATGTCATCTTGGACACAAGCAACATACTTACATAGTTCCAGTAACCAACTTAGATTTACCTTGTTTGACGACCTAGGTTTACCTTGACGACGACTTGACCACTTTCCCTCGGCCCATTCCAGCTGTTGCACCCAGCGTCAGCGCCAGCGCCAGCGCCAGCACATAAGCTCACAAAGCTTGCTTGCCGCCCCTCATCGTCAAAGGAGGCCCCCCCGCCAAAGGCTGCTGCCAAATCAGGGGCAGGAAATAAAACCAAGTCTTCGTCAAATTACTCCAAACTTGCTCCCGCACCTTAGGCAAATTATCAAAGCAATTAGGCAAGCTTCAGCTTCACCATGTCGGACGCTGGCGATAGGTATGTGACTTTCTCCCGCCCGCTATGGCCCATAGAAGTCCATGGCCCTCCTCGGTTACTCGAACTCTGTTCCCCTCGAATCAGTCCACATGCTTGTTTCCCAGTCGCGTAGTGGACCAACCAACTGCACTGCCAAGTGGCCGTGGTCAATCGTCATCCCGCTTCTGCAGTTTCCCTCCCCCCCGCGCCCGGGTCGTCCTCTCCCGTACCGATCGTAGACGGCCTGACTCTTACTCACCACCTTGCATCATACAGTACGCATAAGCGTTCCAGGTCCTCGGCAGCCTTCGCCCTGCTTAGACGACGAGATACCCGCGATAACGAAGAATCGGGCTCCGACGACGCTCGATCCACCCCTGGAGGCGCAGCATCTCCCAAGCAGCCTTCTAGGTCTTCGATCCTACCCATTTCGCGCACCATATCCCACACAAGCAAGCTCTCCTTGAGCAGAACGCCTTCTCAACAACAGCAGCCCCTGCAGCAGCCGCAGCAGCCACAGCAGCAGCAGCAACAACCATCGCCGCCTGCCATGAACCCCTCAGCGGTCTCCGCCCAGGACAGGGTCCCTAGTCTCGAGCAGTCTGTTCGCAAGTTCCGTGTTGTCGAGGCCCTGCGCAATGGCGACACGGCTGCCATTTCGAAAATCATCCGCGACTCAGCTGACAGCGCGCGTCGCACCAGCACTTCCTCCAATGGCGCCTCTACTGCAGCTGCTCCTACAGCTCTGGAAGACACCACCGTCCTCCACCTCGCCATCCAGTGCGCCGAATTTCCCGTTATTGAATACATCCTATCCGATGGAGCTGGCATTGTCGATGTCAACGCCCGCGACCGCGATGGAAATACTCCCCTACACATTGCTGCCACCCACGGTCGCACCGCTGCCGTCAAGCTTCTCCTCGAGCAAAAGGCCACTAACGAAGCCCTCGTGAACCTGCAGGGCAAGTTTCCCATTGATCTCGCCAAAACCCCCGAAATCTTCCAGGTCCTTCAGCTGTCGCGCTCGCTCTATACCGACGAGAAAGTACGAGAGGTCCAGGAGCTCATCGCAAGAGGCGACTACGACGCCCTCGCACAGGTCCTCGAAGAGCCACGCCTTAAGGCTGTGCTCGACATCAACAGCCCCGAATTTGTGTCCGAGCCCGTCACTCTAGAGACAGGAGGTACTCTGCTCCACGAAGCGGCTCGCAAAAAGAACATCGCCCTCATCCAGGTCCTGCTACTCCATGGTGCCGACCCCTTTCGCCGTGACCGAAAAGGCAAGCTGGCGCAGTCCATCTCCCACGACGATAGTATCAAGGTCATCCTCAAAAAGTCACCCGCTGCCGTGGCTGCCCAAAGAGGTATTCAAGAAAAGGCTGTTTTAGGCCAGGCTGCTACGCAAGGAGCTACCACCGGCGCTGGCGGCGAGCTAGTAGCCGGCAAGGAAGCCCGCGAAATGAAGGGTTATTTAAAGAAGTGGACTAATTACCGCAAGGGATACCAATTGCGATGGTTTGTCCTCGAGGACGGTGTGCTGAGCTACTACAAGCACCAGGATGATGCTGGCTCGGCCTGCCGTGGTGCCATCTACATGAAAATTGCTGTTCTGCACATGAGTCCCGACGAAAAGACCAAATTTGAAATCATTGGGAAGTCCTCAGTCAAGTACACGCTCAAGGCCAACCACGAGGTCGAAGCCAAGCGTTGGTTCTGGGCCCTCAACAACTCGATCCAGTGGACCAAGGATCAAGAGAAGGAGGAGCAGAGGCAAAAGGCCAGAAGTGCCGAGCTTCTCCGCCAGGCCAAGGCCGACCCTCATGCGCTTACGGTCCAGGAATCACATAGTGAGAGTGCAAGCATCTCGGATCGCCGCCAGAGTAGTTCGCATTTGCCGACACGTTCAGTCTCAAGCGCTAGGCTCTCCCCACAAAAGAACGATCTCACAAGAGCTAGTACTACTGGTAGTATTGACGAGGAAGATGCATTTGAAGCTACTACTGACGGCGGAGCATCGCGCGTTCACGATGGCGCCGCCATCATACCGGGAGAGGAAGACGATGACGATTATGACGACCATAGCGTGCGCCAAGACCCTGGTGCAACAAAGGATGCTCTCAACATCACGGCACAATCGGCCAAGCTGCAGCTCGAGACCATGACGGGTGTTCACAACGCTCTGATGGCTGAGCTATCACAGCGACCTGCTACCCCGCTCTCCGATACCAAGGTTACACAGGCTCTTTCAACATACGATGCAGCTATCCGCAGCCTGACGGGTCTTCTTGGCGATCTTTTGAGGATATCCAAGGACCGCGATGCCTTTTGGAAATACAAACTCGAGCAAGAGACAAATATGCGACAGATGTGGGAAGAGAGCATGGCTCAAGTTGCGCGAGAGCAAGAAATTCTTGAAGCTCGTGTAGATGAATCAGAGAAGAAGCGCAAGCTCACCAAGAAAGCTCTACGCGAAGTTATGGAAGGGGGAACTCCTCTGGAGGGGACGCCGGTGCTGGAAAAAGCACAGGAGGATGTTCAAATTGCCCCTACATCGCCGGGAGGCCGTAGCCTCACACGACAGAAGACGGCGCTCGACCAGATCGCAGACTTCTCCGATTCCGATTCCGACGACGGGGAGGAGTTCTTTGATGCGGTGGACTCTGGTGAAGTGGAAGTGACTGAGCTTCCCGAGTCACAGCCTACCGAACCGCAAGCCGTTGTTTCGTCTAGCCTGGACCTCAGTCCGTCGTTCAAGGGCTACGAGAATGGTATCCGACATCGACTCAAGATGGATGCGGATGACCGTCCCAAGATTTCTCTCTGGGTTAGTTAATTGCAAGCTTGTGCTTATGACAACATTCTGACGTGATACAGGGTATTCTCAAATCTATGATTGGCAAAGATATGACCAAGATGACCTTGCCTGTATCTTTCAACGAGCCCACGTCGCTGCTGTACCGATGCGGCGAAGATATGGAGTACTCTGACCTTCTTGATATGGCGGCGTCCCGGCCCGACTCCTTGGAGCGGCTAATCTACGTGGCGGCTTTTGCCGCTAGTGAATACGCTTCGAGTATTGGTCGTGTAGCAAAGCCGTTTAACCCTCTTCTCGGAGAAACGTTTGAGTACGTTCGTCCCGATAAGAACTACCGATTCTTCACAGAGCAGGTCAGCCACCACCCGCCTATTGGTGCCGCTTGGGCCGAGTCCCCCAACTGGACGTACTGGGGAGAGTCAAATGTCAAATCCAAGTTCTATGGCAAATCTTTTGATGTTGCGCACTTGGGTACTTGGTTCCTCAGAATCAGGCCGACCAACGGTGGCAAGGAGGATTTCTACTCGTGGAAGAAGGTGACGTCGTCGGTCATTGGCATTATTACCGGCAACCCTACAATTGACCACTACGGTACCATGGAAGTGAAGAACTGGACGACTGGAGAGGTTGCGATCCTTGAGATGAAGCCGCGCGGGTGGAAGGTTTCAAGCGCATACCAAGTCGCGGGCAAGGTTATGGATGCTGATGGCGGAGTGCGGTTCAGCATGGGTGGACGGTGGAACTCGAAACTGTACGCGCGACTGACACCGGGCTACGAAGCCAACCTCGACGCGTCAGGAAAGGGAGGCAACGATGAGACGTTGCACAACGGTGGAATGACAGACCCGAGCCGGGCGTACCTGGTGTGGCAGGCGAACGAGCGACCCGGCGGGATTCCCTTCAACTTGACGCCGTTCGTGCTGACATTCAACCACATCGACGACAAGCTGCGGCAGTGGATTGCGCCGACGGATTCGCGTCTGAGACCTGATCAGCGTGCGATGGAGGATGGAGAGTATGACTTTGCAGCGACGGAGAAGAACCGGCTGGAGGAGAACCAGCGAGCGCGCCGGCGGAAGCGGGACGAAACCGGGGAGCACTTTACGCCGGCATGGTTCAGCAGAGCACGGTGCGAGGTGACAGGGGAGCAGTACTGGCAGTTCAACCACAAGTATTGGGAGCAGCGCGCAAAGGCCGGGCCGGATGGCGATGCGAACGCGTGGGCTGGGCTGGAACCCATCTTTCAAGATGCAGAGGAGGCGAAAGAGTAGGGAACAGGGATAAACAGCGGGTGTTGAGTATGGGAGGGCGGCCGTAAATAGTACATGGGATTGGCGGCTATTAATTAAACGGGAGATGATTTAGCTGTTGAGTTGAGCGATTGCCGGTTTCAGGGATGTAGGCGACTCTGATGCTTTGTCGTAGCAGTGGCTGTCTGATAGGCATAGGCATAGGCATCTCACGGGCCGCGGATAGATGGAACAGGAGGAGACCCCCTTTCTCTTTTTAATGCTTTATTATTCTTATTTTTCTTTCGCCATCAAGCGGATAGCCAAGTTTCTCTCTGGTCAGTCAGTGCCATTAGATCAGACTGGTGGGGTGAGGACGGAGTTTCCATGGACTTTGGACTTGTGCCCAAATTTAGCGGCTTTGCATAACATTTGACCTTTGTCCAGTGACATGACACCACTGTTGCAAAGTCCGGAGAACAAAGAAGTGTCCCGTCTGAGCACAGTTTGATCTAGCTACTATTATTGATTGGTAATGAACGTATCACGGGCCCCGCCGGGGACCGAGGGACGCAAGGCAAATCCCCGACGAGGCCGGTTTCTGACAGCTGAGTTTATGTTGGCGTCGCAATCCGTCTTGACTAGTTCTGACCTGGCAAAGTTGTCGTCCATAGTAGCAGGTAGGCGCAGAACTAGTCATGGCCCAGTGCCAAGTCAGCCAGCCAACCAACCAACTGGCCAATATTAGCATAACGCCGCCTCCATCAGCATCAAGAGCCTCGGCTAATAAAACCAACTTAACCAATTGGATCTGACACCATCTAAAAGCTCGGCCCGCCAAACGCCCATCATCCCTTTCCTTTCCCTATTCCATCCATAACCATAACATTGACTATTCCAACATCTCCAACACCTTACGTCACTCAACTCACTACCTCGGCGAGATTCCATTCATTTTGCATTTCTTGACGTTTGTTCGGCCAATCGTCAGCTCGGCGTTGCCACATACGTCGGCTTTGCCGTTTGCCGCCATTCTACGACGACGCACTTGACGGACGGACAACATCAATTACATTTCCAAGATAAGAAAAATGCCCGAGACGAAACCCGCGTGGGACGAGCGGACGACGCTTCTCCGGCCGCCGCCACCGGATCCGAACAAGGCGCCGATTGAAAATGTGCTCGAGGTGACGGAGCTGGCCATCCTGGGACCAGTACGTTGTTGCCTTGCCCTTCCCCGGTCGCTCGCTGCTACGATGCGCCACCCAACCGACGAACCCCAGCATCGCATTGACTAACCCAACCCAGGACATCTTCACCAACGCGCGCGAGCCGTGGCACCCGCCCGGCGCCCGCGGCATCTACGGCGGCTCCGTCATCGCGCAGTGCCTCGCCTCCGCGCAAAAGACCGTCCCCGCCGACTTCCTCGTGCACTCGTGCCACTGCTACTTCCTCCTCGCCGGCTCCGGGACCACGCCGATCCTGTTCCACGTCGAGCGCGTGCGCGACGGGCGCTCCTTCGCCACGCGCACCGTGCAGGCGCGCCAGCGCGGCCGCTGCATCTTCACCACCACCATCTCGTTCACGCTCGAGGGCAGCGCCGGCGAGGGCCAGGTGCACCACGCGGCGGCGCTCCCCGAGGGCGTGGCGCTCCCGCCCAGGGACTGGGACGAGGAGGCCGAGTGGGAGAAGCACGGGCCGGTGCAGACGCTGACGGTGGCGCGCGGGGAGGAGGACGACGAGCGGGTGCCGCTGGATCGCCGGCGGCACATGCGGTGGTCGCGGATGCGCGGGACCATCTCGGAGGCGGGCGGGCACCAGGCGCACCTGAACGCGCTGGCGTACATGTCGGACAGCTGGTTCATCGGGACGGTGTCGCGGCTGCACCGGCTGTGGCGGATGCCGTTCGCGCCGTCCGACGTGGCGGAGCTGCCGGACAGCGTGCGCGCGCAGGTGACCAGCATCCTGGCGGGGGACGGCTTCACAGAAGCAGACGGGCCGGCGGCGTGGGAGGAGCGGCCGCGGCTGGGGATGATGGTGAGCTTGGACCACAGCATCTATTTCCACGCGCCGCGGAGGGTGCGCGCGGACGAGTGGATGCTGAGCGAGATGCAGAGCCCGTGGAGCGGTGATGGGAGGGGCTTCGTGGTGCAGAAGATCTTCGCGGCGGACGGCACGCTGCTGGCGAGTTGCATGCAGGAGGGCGTGGTGAGGCTGGACAGCAAGGGGAGGGAGAAGGGGGCCAAGATGTGAGTGAGGCGCGGCATGGGGATGAAATAGAAATCGTCGTTTGTTTTACTTGATATCAAGTAGTCTAATATAGAATGTACATCAAACTGAGCTGCTGGCCATGTTCAACAGTGCACTTTGGTTGGGTGTCAGCAAGGATTGCGAGACTGGACGGATATCACTGTGATTCTTGTGCTCTTTGACAAGGCCAAGCCGAATAGGCTAGGTAAAGCCCGTGCTGCGACATTCATCTCATGTTGTTTCCAAGATGGGGCTGTTGGTTTAGAATGGTCATCTACGGTCAAGGCAGAGCAGACCACGGAACCAGCTGCGAATCAAACCAGCGCTGCAAATAGCCAGATCGGGTACCAATATACGAACTAGGTAGGGTATTATCACCATCCGGATAGATTGATTTTTGTATCTATATCGATCTGTTGCCTTGCCAAGCGACCCAAGGGTCCCCTTGTAAGCTGGACCAATAGTCTAGCGGGGGCACCAGGCCGCACCATGATTTCTGCTCTTTCTGCTTCTCCAATTCGGAGATTTTTTTTTTTTTCATTTCCACTGGTTGCTGACTATAAGACATGATTCGCAGGAGCGAACGGCATGTCACTGGAAATTAGTATATTAATTAGTATGCTACATGGTCGACGTTTATACAGGTACTTGTGCGACGGCGCAGCTTATTTATCAGTTAGCGACTGGTGTCAGCCCTGTCACAGTCACAGGCGGGGTCAAGTGGACTTGGTGACGTTACTGGTAGGTCTTAAATAAATTTGGCTTTTTGCTCCTTGTAACTTGGCGCCAACTTGTGCGGCACGGGAAGAATGCGAACCGAGAACAGCGACGGTGCTGTTATTTTCGTAGGCGAGTATTGCTTATGCTGGTGGGGGAAGAACTCTGATCGTCGTCTCGTCTTGCCCGAATGCTATGCTCAGGCTGCGGACTGGATGATTCCAGAAGGGTTATCCAGTGCACTTCGGTTGGGTTCATCACCCCGGAGCTTTTTCTTCCCTTGTCTCGCATTGTGTCGCAGGCGCCTGCATCAGATCACCGGGCCACGACCAACCAATGGACACGGGGCTTGGCGCACTTCCTCGGCGACTCCTCGTTTTGGATGGCGATGCGGCATTGCGAACATTGCGAACGGTGAGGGAAACCTGTGACTGGAGGCGCAGCAGATGCAGCGACCGTTCATCGCGGGGCGGAAAATTACAATTCTCCGCAAGGTGGGTGATGCCATGCGACTGGTGGGCGAGTCATCCTCAAGCCACCCATCATCTTTGTTGTCTCTTTGTCTGCCAAGACCGCACGCACCACCACCAGCTTTACCGACGTCGCTAAATTGGACGAGGCTGCCTACCACTTTACGTATGCATGTATCAACCGAACCGGCTGGGGTTGAATTTCCGTGAGTTGATAGGTAGCTTGTATTATTCAACAGCAGTCGGGCGACTTGTTAAAACCTGATAATTTAGTACTACCATTACCTGAGATCCTTCCAGTGGCGAGCAATGCCTCTGCTAGCGGCTCGGCAGCGTTGCCCAAGATCCACTGCAAGGCAGCCTAGTGGGCTTACCGGGCCTAAAATGACCTAAAATTAAGAGCTGGCGCTTCGAAGCCGGGCTAATAAATCCGCTAAATCCCAGCTTTCCAGGGACAGCGCTGGCCAACTAGGTAGGCCGCTATAGTATCCCTGTAACTTATCTGTAGCATTCTGTAAGCCCCAGTAAGTGAGGTAAGGTTACCTGTGTTTGTACGGGTACAGTGGTTAGTATAACATTATTGTCTGTTTTGACTGTGTCTGCCTTCGTTCAATTTGTGTGGAACTGAAAATAACCCGTGCCTGCCTGCATCTTCAGCCCAAATACGGATACAATGGTACCTATGTAAGTAGGTGTGCCAATACTTGGCTAGCCGCCAGCCTGCTCGTTTGTCCTCCTCGACTTCTTTTCTTTTCTCTTTGCCCCCCAGTATCACCGTATTCCCTTCTATTTACCCTCATTCTCTCCGTATTCCATTCTCTTTCGCGCCCAGCTAGACGCCGTCGTTCCTCTGTCCTCCCCAAACGGCCCCCGTCTGCTGCTAGACATCATCATGCGCAACCTCGTCACCCTCTCCACCCTCGCCGGCCTCGCTTCCGCTGGCACCATCACCGTCGACGTCCACAAGCAACTCGCCGCGGAGCTCTCCGACATCCTCAAAGTTCACCGACGCTCCGGCGATCCCATCGTCGACCTACAAGCCATCAACAATGTCACCGGCGGCGGCTATTATGCTGACCTGGGCATCGGTACCCCCCAGCAGGTACTGACCTTTCATCTCGACACTGGGTCTAGCGACACCTGGGTCAACCTCAAGGGCAATGACTTTTGCAGAAATGGTCGTCCAGAGCTTGGTCTTCCTCCCTCTTGCATGAAGCAGTGTATGTACCATAACTCAACAGCTCGCCACTTTGTTGCACCGTGGATTTCCAGCTCCGCTTCTCGTAGAAACTAACAGCACACAGTCGACCCTACAGCCAGTTCAACCTACCAGACCGCAATCAGGGGCGGGTTTAAGATCAGCTACCTCGACGGCAGCACTGCCTCTGGCGACTACTTCAACGACACTGTCACAGTTGGTAACAACTTTACAATTACACAGCAGCAGCTCGGTCTCGCCAGAACGAGTGGCAGTGCCACCGGCCTCATGGGTCTAGGCATGAGCGTCGGTGTCGCCGCCAGGAAGGAGTACCCTACCGTCATTGACAACCTCGTCTCCCATGGCGTTATAGAGACGGCTGCTTTTAGCCTCTACCTCGACTCCATAACCGAGAGCCACGGCAGCTTCCTCTTCGGTGGCATCGATACCAAAAAGTACATAGGCGACCTCACCACCCTTCCTCTTGTCGCCGACGACATCCACGGCTCCGAAAACGTTACCTCGTACGCCGTTAACCTCCTAGGGGTTTCCGCCGACGGCATCACCATCCCCAGTCTCAAAACCAAGGCCATCCTCGACACGGGCGCCACTCTCGTCCTGCTTCCCGGACGCATCGTCAAGCCCATATACTCCAAGCTCGGCGTTGTCTCCGTCACTGACGTCGCCACGCCCTTTATCGACTGCGCCGCTGCCAGCAAGCAGGATAGCAAGTTCAAGTTCAACTTCCAGTTCAACGGCAAGACCATTTCCGTTCCTCTCAAGGAAATGATCATCAACTCGTTTGCAGATCACCAGGATCTTTTCAAGAGTACAACCTTGAGAAGCCTGTTCAAAAATATGGACAAGGTCTGCATGTTTGGCATTGCCAGCGCCGACGACTACAAAACCCAGGAGCCCGATCCGTTCAGCACCGGTGGTAGTTCAGCCAACCAGCCCGAGTACGCTCTTCTCGGTGATACTTTCCTACGCTCAGCTTATGTCGTCTATGATTTGGAGCGCAAGGAGCTGGCCCTCGCCCAGGCGTACCCCAAATCCAATGAAAGCAACGTTGTTGTGCTCAAGGCCAACAGCCCGATCCCTTCGATTAAGGGCATGGACGGTACGTCTTTTGCCATTCCTGTATTTGATTTGATTCCCGCTAATAATTACTTGCAGCTCCTTCCGAGGAAGAAAGTACGAAGAAGGACAGCGCTGCTGGCATTGCCCGCGCCCCTTCGGCAGCTGCAGCTGCAGCACTGGCGCTTGTCGCCGCTGCTGTCGCCGCTCTGTAAATAGAGCCCGCTCACGATTCATCAAGACTACTGTAAATAATTTCAATGTACACGACGGGCTATTTTACATGTGGGGATGAAGCACACGCCAAGGGTGCGAAGCTATTGCCTACATTTTATAGAGTTAGACCAAGTTGGTTACGTTATAAGAGCATGAGGAGGTTCAACAATGCATAGACCTGAGTTACGGCCATATACATAATAGATTTTACTTGAACTTATATTCTTGATAACACTGTACTTGAAACTTGATGGTTTTCATTGTTTGAGCGCGAACTTGTTGCTGCCTTACAAGTCAAGCGCGACTCGAGTCGTTCCAAACTGGTCGGCCGCCGACATGAAAGATCTGCCACAACTGCAAGCCATGCAGCTGTCAAAGCAAAGAGTCGAGTTTGCGGGACGCGAGCGTGTTATACAAAATTCATCACCATACCGATATCTCTTTGGCCCCAAGATGCGAACTGCAAGATGGCGGATGACGTGCCCTCAATCGGGCACCCTGATGGCCCAACACCCAGCCGAGTGCGGGACGACCACTGGCGCATACAGCAACCCTTTTGGCCAAGTCCTCACGTTTCTTTTAAAGAGCACAAAAGGTCAAAAGGGTAGTTTTCTCTCTCTTTCTTTTTTTCTTCTCCATTTTTGATTTTGAACCTTTTTCTTCTCTCTTCTTCTTTTCTTCAACGGTGTACTGAATTTCCCAATTCCAATTCTCGAAGCCAACTACAGCAAAGGTACCCCACCACCATGGACGAATGCTGCTGCGACCGCGACGACCTCGACAAGATCGCCAAGGGCTGGTCGATTGCCATGTTCTATTCCAAGGAGCGCCTGCGGCGCGTGTACGAGCTCGATGATGCGCAACTGGGCAAGGCAGTGGAAGACGGGAAGCTGATCCTGGAGACGCTGTGCCTGTTTGTGCACGCCTGCATCAAGCGTGGGCAGTATAGGTGCGTTGGCCTCTCTCGACGGTGATAGGAGCTTTGTTGAAGAGATTAAAATAATGGGTGACTGACTGACGTGTCGAGGAGGATAGGTTGCCTGCAGAGTTTTGGCGCGTATTACAGATCGAGTACGGCATCGTGGTATACCCATCCGCGCTGACTGATGACGTGGACGTCCAAGGGCTGGGTGTGGATGTGACATTCACCGACGCCTATTCAAGACACATCAGTATGTTGATTTCTCTCCTAAATTTTCTTTTATTCTTTTGCTAACGGCTGCAGTCATGTTTGGTCGATGCTCCAGTGCCTGCCACCCGCCGCCGTGTCCATTCCAATACCTCCAGGAACCGCCGCCCGTATACCGAAAATGAGCTACAACATGGGCCACTGCAGGAGGTCCGGAAGAGAATATAAAGAAAATAAAGCATAAAGTCGCGGCGGCTATAAGACAGTTGCAGTACAGGCAAGTAAGGAGCATGGTTCGGTGCGCGGCGATGGCGGGGCTACATTGACGAAAGCATGAAGGCGCAGGAAATGATTTGACAGGCAATTTGTTTTTGAATATAAAGTTGTATTCTGTATATATTCAATAAGATTGGATTTCTTCCATTCGGAAGTAAGCCCACGACACCAACATGTCCTTTCGCCGCGTATAAATGTGATGGTACAATCATAACTCGTCCGCGTACACAGTGTAATAAATACCCGAAAGGCTTATCCAACGAAAAACGAATCAAGCTCAACTGTTGGAAGAAATTCACTCGGACACCTTCTCGCCCACCGCGCCGTCCCTGTTCGCGCGCCACACGCCGCCCTCGTCACCCTCAAACTCCTCGCGCTTCCACACCTCGACCGAGTCCTTGCAGCGCTCCAGGGCCTCCTCGCCCGCGCGCCACGCGGCCTGGCGGTGCGGCGCGGACACGGCGACCAGGATGCTCTCCTCGCCGACAGGCACGACGCCGAGGCGGTGGACGAGGGCGACGCCGCGCAGGGCGTGCTCGGCGCGGACGGCGCGCGCGATGCCGAGCATGGTGCGGAGCGCGCGGGGGCGGTACGCCGTGTACTGGAGCTGCTTGACGGGCTTGCCGGCAAAGTTGTCCCTGGTGGTTCCTGCAGGGGGGGAAGTGTTAGAAGGGAGGAGAAAATGAGGGGAGAGAGGGAGGGAGGGCGGTACCGGCGAAGAGGACGATGGCGCCGGCGGAGGGGCTTCGGACGAGGTTCATGACGGCGGAGGGGTCGAGGTGGGAGTGGGTGAGGGCGACGTGGCACCCCTCTTCGGAGAGCTGCCACGGACCGCCGCTGTCGTCGTTGTCGTTCGGTTGGGAGGCCATGGTTTATGGAGGGGGGAAGGGCTGGGGATGAAAGGAAGGCGAAGAGTCAACGAAAGGGCTGAGGCTGTTGTAATTGTAAAGCGGACGGCGCTTGGGGGAAAGTGCCCCGCCATTTGCCCGCCTGATCGGCCGCCGCCGCTACAGGCCGCCGAGAGGCACCCGATCCTCCGGGTATAAAGTTGGTGGCTCTGGCGGAATGGTGATAACGATGTGGAATTTCTTTGAATTGATTGTTGGTTGTACGGCAGCAATCTCCTCTGTCCAAACCAGCGTTGGGTATATATACATGACAGTCAGGATGGCCGATTAATACCACCAGAGAATATCTTGGTAGCTATGAGCGATCCATAGGTAGACTCAAACTTTGGAAGAACCTGTGCTTGGGGTTTTATGATTAATTTTTGTTGCTGACCTAGTTGATGTGAGCAGTTGCCGTGTTGCTCTACAAGGTAAAAGCTGTCCGCACAGCTACATCTCTATCCGTACTTACGAACATAACGAAGCCGTTCACAAGATAAAATATTGCCTGGCTAGATTTTTAATATAAAATGGTAATGGGACAATGTGAATATTATTAATATGGTTTTATTTCTCAGCTCTGAGATTCTTTCTTCTACAAAACCGAAATGCTCGTACTAACTAACTAATAGGTACCTGTGCAAGGCAGCCCCACCGTCAGTTACTTGAACAGATCCGCTACGCTGCCAGATTCTCTGCTTCTGCAAACCTCCAACCAGCAACCAACAACCGTAGCCCCTTGATTCTGCAACTTTGCCAAACCGATAAAACGCCATCGCCAATACGATTGGTACCTGGAAAAACTTCCATCGCCACGATGAGCGACGCCCACGACGTACGGCACGGCGCTCGCGACCGAGACGACTGGGACCCGGATCGAGCATTCGACAGGCACAACCAAGACAGACGAGACGATTACTCGCGACCGAGGCAGGGTAAACATCTAACCTGAAACTCTTCCCAGAGATTCATGCTGTTTTTTTCGACCGCTCTGCCGTCTCCAGTCAACCCATACCACGCATTTTCAGGCGCGTTGGGCTAACTTCCCCACGGGACGCCGAGATTCTTCCAGATCTCCTCCCCGACAAGATTCACATAGGAAACCTGGCTGGCAGCAGAGAGATATGCAACACGATACGCAGTATGAGGACTACCCGCGCCACCATGGCCGCCATGGCAACGGAAGTGGAGGTCGAGAGCGAGACCGCAGGGACCGAGATTCCGCGCGGGACGACTATGACTCCATGTACGACGAAGGGCCTCGCCACGACTCCCGCTCTCGGTACCTCGAGGACGAAGGGCCTGCTACACACCGCGATAGGCCAAGTGATCGAGACGAGTCACTGCGGCGCTCACATTCCCGGGGCAGGTATCGAAGTCGCTCGCGGAGTCCTGCTCGCGACGCGGGCCGACCCTCAGACACTGTCATCCTCGAAGGGCTCCCGCGCAGCATATCCCAGAACGAGGTTCGTCATCCACGGAAAGCAGGACGCCAGAGCGGTCTTCCAGGACTCTTGCGCCATTGCCCAACTAGCCGCCATTTGGCATGCGTGCCAACAAGTTCACCGATGCTTGCGGCATGAACCCCAGGCTAATGCAGAGCAAATACTTAGCTTCGTGAAAGCCTCCTAAGCAATTCCATCGCTTCGGAGAGTCCATCATTTGATGTTCGGATACCCTCGTCGAAAGGTGTGTGCTCAGAAGTTCATCGATGCGTATATCAGCAACTAATTGCTTCAGGTCATCGACGGGCATTTATTCAGTTTGATCACGTCGATCGTGCTATCGACTTTGTTCGAGAGCACTATCCAAAGATTCTCATTACTTTGAGACACTCAACTGATGAGGTACCAGACGGCCAGTTCGATGCATACTTGCATTATGCGCGATCCAGAGACGATGCTGAGCCACGAGCCCCCAACACAGATTGGATCTGCCCGCAGGTAAGCTCTGAGACTAATAAATGCCCTGCCAAAACACTACTAACCTACTCAGTGCGAGGCCTCCAACTTTGCAACCAGAACTGTCTGTCGAGGGTGCGGCTGCTACCCTTCTGGTGTTCACTGGGAGCAAAGCCTCACTGGTGCTGCAGATGCTGCAGAGTCTCCGTCGCAAATTCTCGTTGTATTTCCTCTTCAGCCATTTGTCGATGAGGAGATGCTTGCTCGAGAAATGCAGCGGCTCGAGCTTGAGAAGGTCGACCCTGTGAGAACCAGTGGCGATGCACCGAAACTCAAATCTACTGCACCGACCAGCACAGGACAGGGCTATGGCGCATCGCAGGGCTCGCTGCACAGGGTCTTCCTCATGCGCGATTCGCAAACAGGCGAATCATTTAGATACGGGTTTGCCGAGTTTTGGACCGTCGAGGACGCCGCTGCTGCCCTGAAGAAATTCAACATGGCCCGAAACTTTAGCATAGCAGGCTGTGCTGTCACCATCTCCACGATTCACTTGGGTGTGTTCCTGCCAGATGATACAGAACCAACTCCTGCGACGGAAGGCAAGACATTCTATCCACTCTTCAACCCATCAATACGCGTGCGCTACAGAGACGAACACGTCTACCCCAGTCAACGCATGGTTGCGCCTGATGCCCCACCAAGCATCCAAGAAAAGGCTGCTTCTGAAGAGCAAGATGAGGCAAAACGAGCAAAGAAGCGCAAGGCGGACGGGAATTTAGGCAACTCTGCGAAGAAGCCCCTCGCCATGGCTGGGAAAATGGCAATGTGGCAGCGCAAACATGATGAGATCCGCGGACAAGACGCACCACAAGATGGTTCTGCAGATGGGACGAAGCATCAACCACCGAAACTGTCCTCAGCGAACGTCACTATCAAAATATCACTCTCCTCTGCGTCCAAACTTATTGGCCAGGCCGATAAACAATCTGCTGGTGCCGGGACGGATACACCGGTGCCCATGCCAAAGAAGGACACGGAAGAACCTGAGTCGTACTTGGACCGAGATCGGTTAATGTGCCTTATTTGCATGCGCAAATATAAGTCGACTGAGGAGGTCAACATCCACGAGCGGTCCAGGAATCACAAAACAGCCATGGAAACCTCAGAGCTGGTTAACGCTGCATTGCCTCGCTTAGCTGTCCGCGACAAACGATTGCAGAAACAGGGCAAGTCTCCCGCGGCGTCTGCTTCGGGGAGCGCAGGTGATAACTCGGCTGGCGGCGACAGCCAGTATCGTGACCGCGCTAAAGAGCGACGCGAGGCGTATAGGCAGCCAAAGAAGCCGGTGGCTCAGCACGAACCATCAAAAGACAAGTCCATTTCTTCTGCTCCTGCCGCCACTACAGCTCCTGCAGTATCTAAAGGCGCGAATTTGCTCGCGAAGATGGGCTGGACGGCGGGTGCTGGGCTCGGTGCTAGTGGCGAGGGGCGGACCGAGGTCGTTGAGACGAACGCGTACCAAGAGGGTGTTGGTCTCGGTGCCGAAGGAAGCAACCTAGGTGATGCGGCAGAACGTGCAGGCCGCCAGACACGAGGGGGGTATGCCGAGTATGTCAGCTCTGTGCAGGACAAGGCTCGGGAACGGTACAACAAGCTTGGATAAGCTGGATTATGAAAGAGGAGAGATGGCTTGGCTCTACTGGAATGGGAGGAAACAGCCATTACATATTTACGGGACTTGATTAATAAAGCACAGCATATTACAAGCCTTTTTATCTACATCTATTGTTTCATGAAGAATACTTGAGATACTCGTGGATTGTTGCTGGTAACCTCAGCCTTGTGATGTGCGTCGCTACCATTGGCTCAGCACCCACCAACAGCTCCCCGCAGTGGAGCGCAGACGCAAGGCTGACAACACCAGCGTCCAAAATTTTGAATTTTTTTTGGAGTGCCATTTTCTGAGAAGGCCGATTCTTTGCATTGTTCTGTTGTGCAGTACTCTCGCCATTTTTTCACTTTGACACGGGGCCCAACGAACATATCATTGAATAGCGGTGTACATATTTGCAGCCCTGAGTTTTCTTCATCCACAATGGATGCCCCAACCGCCCAAGTCAAGGTGATCTTCACCACCAACGAGGCCGACTTGGAGCTTCCCGAATCCAAGCGGCAACTACTCGTCCCAGCCGGTATGTGCGCTTTCAACTCTGGAAGGCTGTGATTTACAGAAAGGTCTCAAGCACGGCAGTATCCCTAACCAAAAGAACGCAGACATCAAGCGCTATGGCCTCTCCCGCATCCTCAACTCCGAGTCCATGCTCGACACCGCGTCGCCGATCCCGCTCGACTTCCTCGCCAACGGCGCCTTCCTCACAACCTCGATCGAGGAGTACCTCGCGACCGAGGGCCTCTCGTCTGAAAGCACACTGACGCTGCAGTACGTGCGCAGCCTGCTGCCGCCGTCCTACGAGGCGAGTTTCCAGCACGACGACTGGGTGGGCGCCGTCGACTGCCTGTCGGCGACGTCGGCTGCCGGCCGGCGCGTCGGCGACGACAACAACGGCATAGTCAAGGACCGCATAGCCAGTGCCTCGTACGACGGCCTCGTGCGGGTGTGGAACCCCCAGGGCGAGGTCGTCGCCACGTCGACGGCGGGTAGCTCCGGCGGCGGTGGCCACTCAATGCGTCTCAACGCCGTGCGGTGGCTGTCGACCAAGCAGATCGCCTCGGCGGGTCTGGACCGCAAGGTCGTCGTCTGGGACTACACCGACGCAAGCGACAACGGGTCCTCCGGCTCGCTCCGGGTCAACATGGAACTCTGGGGCCACGAGAAGGCCGTGCTGTCGCTGGACGCGAACCTGGCGAAGCGCCGCCTGCTGACGGCCTCGGCCGATGGCCGCGTCGGCCTGTGGTCGACGTCGAAGAGCACCGCACCGCAGGCCGACCCGGAAAGCCTCCCGAGCGCGCACACGACCAAGAAGGCGCGACTCGCAGGCGGCTCGACGACCGCGCAGCGCGGCCCGCTCGCCATGATCTCAGCACACGAGGCTGGGGCGCGCGTCACCGCGGCGCTCTTCCACCCGCACGACGCGACGGTGGCGTACACGGCGTCCGAGGACCACACGGTGACGACGATCGACCTCACGACGGGGCGGACGGCAGACCGGCTGATCACCAAGCACCCGCTGCTGTGCGCGGCGGGGACCCGCGCGAGGCGGCCGCGGCGACGGCGGCGATGACGCTCCGCGGGCACGTCAACATGGTGGTCGCGCTGGCGGCCGGGCCGGACAACGACTACTCGCTGGTGTCGGGCGCGCACGACGGCACATGCCGCGTGTGGGACCTGCGCAGCAGCGCGCGCGCGGTAGACGGCGCGGAGGGGGGCGTAGTGAAGCCGGCGTACACGATCGGCAGGGAGTGGCTCAAGGGCAAGAAGCTCCCGCCGGCGGGCGACGGCGCAAAGGTGCTGACGGTGGCGTGGGATAAGACGTGGGGTATCGTGAGCGCCGGCGAGGACAAGAAGGTGCAGATTAATAGGGGGCACGGGTTGCTGGCGGAGTAGGCAAGGCTGATGATGGGAGGGGAGGGCGAAGGGGAATAAAATGTATATACATGATCAGACTATGATTAATTTCAGGACAGAAAGAATCCATGACACCGCTGCGTTATGATTTCGAAAGGGGGAACTCGAGTAAATTGATGTACATGAGCGACCTTTTGGCTTGACCTCTATATAAGTGTATTGCATGCGTATGCTCGGTGAGTGCACCTTCACGTTGTAGTAGTCAAGATCATGACATTCCCGGTTGCTGCAGTCGACCTGACTTGGGTATATTAGTAGAAACGTTGATCCATCAACAGGGTCCAGAATCAAACTGGGTGATGGAGTCTCAAGTCCAACTGCTGGAAAAGGCTTCTTTAAGACTACGCATTATTTTCATGAATGATTTCATGAACGAGGACAAAGTTCTGCAGTGGCCCATAACAACCAAAGCAGTGCATGTGACTTCGCGCCACTGTAAATCGCCTCAATCGCGCTGTACCGCGTTTTTGTCCCCAAGCTCTCCCCACTACATCACTGAACGATTCTTGAGTCGACGTCACGACTGATCCTGTCTACACCACCAACAGCTACACCAGACCGGACCCCCGAAGCCCTCACTCCAAAATTAGTCGACTACGAATGATTTTCCCACTTCTAGATGCCGATTGGAGGCCCAAGCTCACGAATACATCCCCATCAATGCCCCTCCGTTGACGCAGACCGTTAGCCGCAAAAATGGTCCCTCTAGGAAATCGCAATCGATTGGCCACGCCGCGCAAGTCCAATTTCGCCTTCCAGACGAACAAGAAGACTACGAAACCAAACGGAAGCATCCTCACTTTCTTCCAGAAGACGGAAAAGCAAGAAGGCTCCCTGTTCGTGGGCACTCTTCCGCAGCCAAACTCTGGCGACGCTGTTGCCACCGAGAACGGCGCCGACCAAGATCTGTACAGTCACAATGACGAGACCACCGGCCCCGGAGAGCGGCAATCCCCCAAAAAGAGACGGAGAGTCAGCGAAACTCTCCATGTACCTGTTGCAGCTGATTCCGCAGCACCTGTACAAACGTCAGCTGCGCAGCCGCCGAAAGCGAAGAAGATTATATCTCCATTTATCATGGACTCGGATGACGAGGACGATCCTAATGTCGAGCCAACCGTCCCTTCTCCTCCCGTCAAATCCCCCAGCGCACCACTTGCTGTGGACGACGACAAGGCCCCCGTCAAAGTGGCGCCCGTCGCCGGCGACAACAACCACGTGGTAGCGGACGAAGCGGACAGAAAAGAACCCCCAAGCCTCAAACATGAGGATACAAGTGGCAATTTCGACGCCACCGATGAATTTGGAGACTTTGAGGACATGGAGATGGACATGGAGTCCTTCGAAGGGGACGAAATGCGCGAGTGGCGCTTTATGAAGGAGCAAGCCCGTCTGGAAGCTGAAGAGTCGGGCGATATGACCCTATTCCACGAGACTTTTGGGGAGGATCCGTTCCAGGAGGACGGCACAGCACCATCCTGCCCGATTTGCTCCGCTAGCCTAGTGGCCGTATCCGAGGACGAGGCGTCGAAGCATGTCAATGCTTGTCTTGACGGCAACCCAACTCCCCTGCCGAAGCCCGTTGAGCAGCCAGAACCTCCCACGGAAGTGGAAGAGGTGACCGCCGCAGAGGTCGGCAAGCGCTTCATGCGAGCTGCTATCCCGCGCCCCGGACAAGCCAATCCCTTTGACTTGACGGGGCAACGCTCCAGCGGAAAGTCAGCATTCTCTCAACTCATGTCGAACAATGCCGAGGACACGGCTTGGTCGACGGCAGCTGCCGCCGAGACTGCATCACGAGGCAGGCCAGCGTACATGAGAACATGCCCCTTCTACAAGATCATGCCCGGGTTTTCGATATGTGTCGATGCCTTTCGCTACGGGGCCGTCGAGGGCTGCAAGGCGTACTTCCTCAGTCACTTCCATAGTGATCACTACATTGGCCTTACTGCCAACTGGACGCATGGTCCGATATATTGCAGCAAGGTCACGGGCAGTTTGGTGAGGAACCAGCTGCGCACGGCAGCGAAATGGGTCGTTGAGCTGGACTTCGACAAGGAATACGACGTCCCCGGCACGGACGGCGCAAAGGTGACCATGATACCAGCAAACCACTGCCCGGGGAGTTCCTTGTTATTATTTGAGAAGGTTGTGGGCGAGCGACACAACAAGAGCGTGAAGCGAATTCTTCACTGTGGTGATTTCAGAGCATGCCCGGATCATGTTGAGCATCCTCTGTTACGGCCTGATGTAGCGGATACTGTGACCGGCAAGCTCAAACGACAAAAGATTGACATATGCTACCTTGACACCACATATCTCAACCCTCGATACTCTTTTCCTCCGCAAAGCGACGTCATTCAAGCATGCGCTGAGATGGTAACAAAAATTTCGCCAGACCCGAACTGCAAGGACGACATTTGGGACTCGGTCAAAAAGGACGCCGGCAAGGCTGTCAGCAAATATTTCCAAAACCCTTCAACAGCAGAGCCGGAGAAGCCTGAAACAAAAAAGAAGCTCGGTCAACGCCTGCTGATTGTCTGCGGAACTTACTCCATCGGAAAAGAACGCATATGTGTCGCCATTGCCAAGGCATTGCGCACAAAGATTTTTGCCTCACCGTCGAAAATCAAAATCTGCAAGCAGCTCGGTGATGCCGAGCTGACATCCCTCCTGACGTCCAACCCGATCGAGGCGCAAGTCCACATGCAGATGCTGATGGAAATCCGCGCCGAGACGCTGCAGGAATATCTCAACAGCTACAAGCCTCACTTTAGCCGGATCGTAGGGTTCCGGCCTTCTGGCTGGAACTTTCGGCCGGTCAGCAGCAAGGCCGTGGGCGCGAACGCGGCGCCGTCGACGATCCCGACGCAGCAGCTGCTGCACGGCCGGAGCTGGCGGACGCGCTTCGGTGTGGCGGACTTTGCGCCGCAGCGGGGCAGCACCAAGGAGGCCATGTGCCTCGGCGTGCCGTACTCGGAGCACAGCAGCTTCCGGGAGCTGGCGCTGTTCCTGATGAGCGTGCGGGTCGACAAGGTGATCCCGACGGTGAACGTGGGCAGCGAACAGTCGAGGAGGCGGATGAAGGCGTGGACTGATAAGTGGCTGGCGGAGAGGCGAAAGGGCGGGCTGGTGCAGCCGCTGGTTGAAGGTCGTGATGATGCTGACAATCTCAAGGTAGCGCTGTGGGATGGGAAGTCGAGCAATGGTGGCGGTGCTTGGTGGTGAGGTGAGGTGTTGTTGCTGGCATTTGATGGTCGGGGGTGTGTTGTATCATGGAGTTTGCATTCTTGGGTAAATCTTTTTGTTGGCATAAAAAATTTTGTATTCCAGTGTGTATATAAGTACCTTTTTCTTGAACGCCTAACGAAACCCATCATAGATAGCACCACATACAAAGCCTATCATGAATCACATAATCAGACGCCTGTTTGGGATGATAATGTAGCAAACTGTTTTTCTTTTTTTTTCCTTTTTGGTCAATTTCTATTTCACATTACTTGGCCTTTGCTTGTTGCGTAGAAGCCTCTGTGACACCAAGCCGTTAGCCAAACTGCGGCGGACGTGTAGGGAAACATTTCGTAAGAAGAGGGAGAGCTCTGCTTACCTCTGCGCGTGGCGTCTTCCAGCAGTTGCGTGTCTACCGAGGCAGCGGGGAGGTGAACGTAACGGACGACGGATCCTCGGATGAAGACGTTCTTGACGGAGCTCTACGTTGTTGTTTAGCAAGACGATCAACGTTCGGGGGTCGTCGTGCCCAGCGGCGGGGACACGTACCATGTGAGGGTACTTGAGCTCCTCGAGGACGGATATGTCGTCGAGCTTGATGTTGAGGTACTGGTCCACGCTCTTCAGCGTGCCGCGGAGCTGGATGTCGTTCTTGAGCTCGACGGTGACCTCCTGGTCAATGAGCGTCTTGAAGAAGCTAGCATGTCCGCGTTAGCGCCCTCATTCCAGAGCGGTAGTTGTCGTATACATGGTAGGGGTGAAAATTTCTGCAGCCTTGCCATCGAGAGCGCCGCCTGAAGAAAAGGAACTCACCTGAAGAAGAGCATTGTGTGAGATGAGAGGTCGAGGTGGGATGGCGGGGGGTTGAGAGGGTTTTGGGTATTCGCGCGTCGCTGATAGGAAAGTCGCAAGGGATTTGGTGCGCGCTGCTTAACGGATAGTCTTTCTTGAGGTACTGGAAGTGTTTGTTGCTGGTGTGTACTTTTTACACAGGCCTGAGATGAGGTTCCTTTGGCGATGTCGTTGAGATGGCCCAAAGCACTGTCGAGCTTCGGCGGTTGGCGGTGCGTCACGTGCATCGAGACCCACTAACCGTACAGAGCTTCAGTGGCGGAGAGACACCTGTAAGCCCGCTGTAAGTCAGTCCATGCCACTGTAAGTTGGAAAAGGCCCTCTGTAAAAGAGCAAGCGAAGGGAGAAGTCATCCAGATGCATGATTCAAATGGTTCGTGGAGCGTCGTGGCATGTCTATCAGTCACTGGCCCCGAAAATACAGCATGACAATTCTCGAAGGTCTTGTTCTATTTATCATCAAGTAGATATAGTCCCAAACAAAATAATCTTCAACCCAACGCCTTGACTCATGCTACATGTACAAATCCGCGCTTCTTTGCGCTCCTCTCCTGGTTCTCCTCCTCCCACGTGTCGTCCACGTAGTCCTTGACGCTGTTCTCGCGAATCTGCATGCCCACCACCTTGAGCGCCGCCAGGTTGAAGCCCATCTCGTCCTTTTGCTTCTTGAGCGTCGCCCGCAGGTTCGCGCGGATGCCGTCCAGCATCGTCTTCATCGCGCGGCTCGCCACGATCTGCTTGTGGTGCGTCTTGAGCATGAAGAAGAGGATGCGGCACGTGAGCGGCACGTTCATGGACCGCAGCGCGAAGATGTTGAGGAACGTGAAGAGCATCGGCACCGACGCGAATGGCAGCACCAGCAGCGCGTCGTGCAGCGCGGCGGCCTTGATCTTCTGCAGCACCGACATGACGTACGCCTCGGCGGTGATGTTGCCGAGGGCCATGAAGACGATGTGGCGCTGGGGGGCCGGGGCGTGCGGGTTGTCCTCCTTGGCCTGCTCGTACTCCCTCATGAGGTTCAGGTCGGCCATGCCCAGGTCGAGCGCCTCGGCTATTCGCTCTCCCGCCATCAGCGTCTCCGTCGTCTGCTTGCTGGCGGCGCCGAACTCGCCGTTGGCGTCGGCGGCATCCTCATCCCGCTCAAGGGATGTCGTCAGGGTGCTCTCGTACAGCTCCTCAATCTCCTTTTCGCGCTCTTCTTCAAGGAAGATCTGTTCATCTGTTTCGTCCCAAACGCGGATGCTCTTGTCGTGAGCTGCACTGACAAGGAAGTTGCCGCTGTGGCTCACCGCTATGGCCCAGACCTCGCCGTGATGGCCATCAAGGCGCTGGATCTGCTCAAACTTGTCACCGTCCCAGTAGCGAATGGTCCGATCTTTACTGCTGCTGAAGAAGTGGTGCCCGTTGTTGTCTGAGTTGTGAGGTACGAACGCAACTTGCAGGATACTGTCCTGGTGGCCAAACAAGGCTTTGTGGCAGTCACCAAAGTCCAGACCCCAGACGCGGATATTCTTGTCGGCTGAGCTTGTGACAATCAGCTTGCTGTCATACGATATGTCCATGCTGAGCACAGGTAGTTTGTGGCCGTAAAGATTAAGATATAGTTTGAGAGAGTCGACGAAAAATACCTTGACCGTGTTGTCAAGAAGAGCCGCGGCAAGATACTTTCCATCTGGTGAGAACTTCAGGCACAGAATATCATCTGAGACCTTCAGTGTTCTTGAATGCACCAGCTTCAGCTTGGGAGTCGTTCTCTTCGTGCCCAGAATCTCCTCTTGGACAATGCGGAAATCCCAGAACTTAGCTGACTTGTCGGCACTGCCAGACACCACGGAGCGGCCATCCGGGTGAACATTCAAGGACCAAATAGCGCCTTCGTGGGCTTCAACGCTATCGAGAAGAGCAGCCGAAGCCACATCAAACAGTTGCAGCTCGCCGCTCTTGGTTCCGACAACAACAACTTTGTCTCCGGGAAGAAATGCGCAGCTCAGAGCATATCCGCATTCAAAGGTGCGGATGCAAGCTTGGGTTTTGATGTTCCATATTTTTAGCGATCCGTTTGCTGCCGTTGCCAGCATCTTATCGTCAGAGCTCAGCGAAAGTGTTCTAACATCAGCCCGGTGACCAGGGAGGTCGACGGAGAGGGCTCGCGTGTAATCGGGGATATCTTGCTTCGACTTCTTTTCGCTCTTCTCCTTCGACTGGACTTTAAAGTATTCCAACTGGTTGTTTGTGGTGCCAACCAGGAGATGAAGATCCTTTTGTCCACTTGGTACAGCCCAAGCAGCAGAGCGCAGCTTACCTCCCGTTCTAATCATAACATATTGAACAAAAACGTCGGAGATATCTGCTGATGCAGCATCCACTGCAGCGTCGTCTTCCTCAGCTTCCTGTTCGTCCTGCTTTGAGTCTTTTTGCTTTGCGCGACGCCTTTGTCGTTTGCGGGCAAGACCTTTCTTGACCTCTATTTCGCTTCTTATGCGCCATATCTCCACGGCCTTGTCTGAGCCGTGGACAGCGAAATAGTCCTTTTTAGGGTGAAATTCGACTTCCACAGCGCGATCCTTATTCCGTCGATGCAGGGTTCCGCGATCGGTGATAAATTTTGTAGCAGCCACGTCAACCCTGCCAGCACTGGCAGCCAGACTGCTGACGTCAAGCGACCAAACCTTCATCTCTCCGTCGTTTCCTGCCGTGATGCATCCTTCTAAACTCGGTGTGACTCCGAGGGCCCAGCATTCGCCATTCGTCTGTGACATGTGTGTTTCGATGCAGTGTCGAGAGGAGAGATCCCAAAGCTTCAACAATGAGTCTTTTCCAGTCGTCAATATGAAGCCGTCCGAGCTTTTCTCCCCATCCAACACCATCGCACGAGAACCGTCTTCGTCCTGGACTTGAGCATCTGGCTCGATAAACCGCAGGCCAGTAATTTGATCCTTGTGCCCTCTCAGCTTGAATTGCCCAACTTCGGCAACCAGATCCCATATGATGACGTCGGTGTCTTTCGATCCGCTTGCGAGTCGAATTCCGGCTTTATCGAAATCAAGTTTGGTGATGGCCGATTTGTGGCCGTTGAAGCTCACAATGACGGTAGAAATCTTGCTGTCCCAAAGGCGAATGCTACCGTCCTCGTAACCGACCGCAAAAACGTCCTTGTCAGTCTGGCTCTGCGCAATGCAGGTGACGGGAACAGTGCATCTGTCATCGCGCCAACGGCTCAGCAGTTCGCCCTTCTTTATATCCCAGCAAAGAACCTCTTCGTTCGCGGCGACAACCGCTTGGCCAACGCCAGAGCCGTTCCGATCGTTCGCAATCCAGACAATGTTCGAGCTGCTTGATGCGACCACGCCAAAGGCTTTGGCATGCTCATATTTCCTGTTTTCTCGTTCAGTAAATATCACTAAAAGCCCACGAGCCTTACATACAAGTACGATTTAACCATTGTGAATATTGTCCGACCAAAATTGGTCCTTACTGGAGATCATCACTAAAAAGTTGAACCACGGGCTGCGACGGTCTAAGTGGTATTTTTTTTTTCTGGTTATCGATTAGCTTGCTGCTGAGCCACTCCAGCAGCTGCCTACCGATCACATCACGTGGCTCAGTGTGGCTGGTGGTTGACGTTGAGTCTCCCCTCCAGCCCCACCAGGAGACGTCAACAAGCTACCAGCTCCCACCGACGAACTTCAGTATCACCGCAGGCATACCTTACGATGCTTCTCCTCGATTACCAGAACGTTCTTATTCAATCGGTCTTGACCGAACGGTTCTCTGGGTAGGTTTGCGATTTCAATCTCATGCCGCTTCTCTCTAACCAGTGCGCAGAGCCCCGCAGACCTCCATTGACCAGACAGTATCCGACTTCGACGGCGTTACATTCCACATCTCAACTCTTCCCGAGACGAAAACCAAGATTCTCCTTTCGCTTCAAATAAGATGTTTTGCGGATCTTGTTCAGTACGGTGCTGAACAGGTCTTGCAAAGAGAGTACGGGGACTACATCTGTCCCGTTGAGGCTGGCTATGACTTTTCCGTCTTGATTGACTTGGAGAACCTGCCAGAAGGTAAAGGTGTGTATAGTCAGCTAATACCTACCTGGAAATTTTGACTGATGTATTTTGCTTACAATTCCTTCAGAGGAACGCGATGCGCTGGCTCTTAAGTTTGCGCTACTAAAACGCAATGCCATGGCTGCACCGCTCGAGCAAGCCTACGAAGAACACTACAAGCTTAAGGAGGAGGCCGCAAAGTTCACATCGGAAGAGGCGCCGCAGGATATTCGAAACGGTGGCCAGGTCAAGGCTATACACTACCGTGAAGAGGAGGCAATCTATGTCAAGGCTGCACACGACCATGTCACCGTCATCTTCAGCACGGTCTTCCGAGAAGAGACAGACAGGGTATTCGGCAAGGTCTTTATTCAGGAGTTCGTGGATGCGCGAAGACGTGCAATCCAAAATGCACCCCAAGTGCTGTTCCGCACCGACCCACCTCTTGAGCTCCAGGGCGTGCCTGGCGTTAAGAGCACTGGTACTGGCGAGATTGGCTACGTCACCTTCGGTAAGCTTTCTCTTTGTCTTCATTGTATCAAAGAACTGGCTAACATCTACAGTCCTCTTCCCTATGCATCTTACTCCTCAGCGGATGGAGCAAGTCATTTCGCACATCCAGACATTCCGCGACTACTTCCACTATCACATCAAAGCTTCCAAGGCCTATATTCACTCCCGTATGCGCAAGAGGACCGCGGACTTTCTCCAGGGTATGCTGCTATTCCTAGTCCCAATAACCCTTGTGATGGTACTAACGGGCGAGCAGTTCTTCGCCGCGCACGACCCGAGAATGAGGAGCGCGAGCGCAAGACCGCGACTGGGAGATCTTTCAAGGTGCAAGGTTAGGTTCAAAATCAAATGGGCAGGTTTGGAGCCGGTCATTGCAGGATTTCGGCACATCTCCAAGTATTGTAGACGGATATAGCCAATGGACACATTCACACATAACGCCATAGCCACATTGCGCGATCTACGTTGCTTTCATGTTGCATTGATGTGACTTCTGATTTCTGATTTATTCAAATATTTCAACTAACACGAAGTATTTCTTTGATCGACGGGCTTGAACATGTAATGGTTGACTAGTTATCGGTTATCAGGTGCCCTGCGGTGCCCTGTGTCGCTGCCTCATGGAAATGCTACCCTATTGCCGGTGGTCAAGCATTGCTGCGCTACTTTACGCCCGATAATTTATAATTTAGGGGTGACTATTTCGTTGGGTTGTCCCGATATACACGAATACTTCAACTATTATTTGTCACATAGGATAATCTCTAATGCTTAATGGAAACGTGCCGAGAATGGGTGGTTCTTGTGGTGTGACATCCCAGAAGTGGAGAACCCCCAGGTGATCCCCAGCTTTCGATCGACTGACGTTCGTTTTTCCCGACAACAACCACATCCCCTGCAGGTTCAAGAATCCGACCTCCGGGTCGCGACAGACAATGGTATGGCCGTTCGGATCCTCGCCACCCGACCGCGACAAACCCGAGCACGATGATACGCGACGACCGATTGCATGGGACAAGTCGCTCGGCGAGGTCGCGGACCCGTTTGACGCAGCCAAACAATGGGCACCTGTGGTGATGTCCTCGCTGGTCGGTCTTGCCGCGCTGCAACTTTACGCAAACTACCTGCGGCGGATCCCCGGCGCAGCATTCATCAAGCAGTCGGCGTTTCGCAAGAAGACGCTGTTTGGCCGCGTGACGAGCGTCGGCGACGGCGACGGCTTCCACCTGTTCCACACGCCCGGCGGCAAGGCCGTAGGCTGGGGCTGGCTCCGCAAGGTGCCCGAAAAGCGACGAGACCTCAAAGATCGCACGGTAAGGCCCCGGATGTGCAGAGGCCAACAACCTCTTGTTGCGCGCGCGCCCTTCTTTGCGGCTGACAGCAACGTCGCAGATTTCAATACGACTCGCGGGCATCGACGCGCCCGAGGGAGCCCACTTCGGACGACCGGCGCAGCCGTATGCGGACGAGGCGCTGAAGTGGCTGACGGACTACATCCTTCACCGAAACGTGCGGGCGCACATCTACAAGCGAGACCAGTACAACCGCGTCGTCGCGACCGTCTACGTGCGGCGGTTCCTGATGCGCCGCAACGTCGGGCTGGAGCTGGTGAAGCGGGGACTGGCGACGACATACGAGGCGAAGTCGGGCGCCGAGTTTGGTGGCCTGAAGAGCGTGTACGAAAAGGCGGAGGCGGATGCGAAGAGGAAGAAGCTGGGCATGTGGTCTGGCAAGGCCAGCGAATTCGTGAGCCCACGGGCATACAAGAGTCGATACTCTGGCCAAGATGGCGATTAAGGTCGGCAACGGGAAGGATCTGACAGTTGGGATCTCATTCTTGGCATTGTTTTCGCAGTAGGCCTACAGCGAAGGACTGCATGCCTGGAGCCACCAAGAGCAAGTTCCCCTGTGCTCACCTGTATCTATGCCTGTAACTAGAGAAAATTGTGTCTGCATAGTACCTCCCAGCTCAGAGAAGCCTTAATGAATGCGGCAAGTTGAGCCCTGCCGGGGTCAATGACTGTGTCCGCTTTATTTCCCTGTTTGAACAGCATGAGTGTCGGCATGGCTTGGACATCGAGATCATCAGTCAAGTCGGAAGTGCATCCACGTCGCTCTTAACGAAGAAGACATCATTGTAGTTTTTGTCATTGGAGTATCTTTTGCGACGATAGTTAGTTAGGCAACCGCCAGGAAAATAACATCCCTTGGCCCGTACTCTTCTATTAACAGCGCCAACGCCTTACACGGCCTGCACCATACTGCAAAAAAGTCAACCAACACCGTCGAATGCGCTTTCACGGCATCATGGAAAGCCTGGACTCTAGATTATATTTGTCAGTATACTATTACACTTTGATCTGTAAACTTGATCTGTTGAGACTGCTTACTTTTTTAGCGAATGAACGGGCATTTCAACGTAAAGTGGCTTTCTATCTCGGTGGACGGGACACAGATATGTTGTGAAAGTGAGAGTAGAGGAGAAATCATGATATTTCTTGATATTTGAAATTTTCGGTACTTATATGCGAAGCCGACTGTTTAATAATGGCATCTGGGGCCCGTTGTCAAGGGCGCAGCCTCATCATCTGAACTTCATCACGGGGAGCCTTATTCCCTTAGCCTGCAGAGTGTGCATGGGTTTACACTAAGCAAATCAGAGAAGCATTTCAAGTAGCACTGATTGGACCGATCAACGTACATAGAATACGGATTGTAGCCTCTAGACCTCTTCAGGCGAACTGGTTGCATATGCAGTGACTACAAGTCTCAGCAAAACCAATGTCCAGCCACGCCTGGAGATGATCAGACGTCAGGCAACAGACCTCTTTCAACCTTGAGTATTTCGAACTAACCCGGGGCTTCCTCGGCAGCTTGTTTAATTTGTGTTTTGTAGTCGTACAGGCGGGAGCTCATCAAATGAACTACAAGATCGTCGTACCGCGGGAGCATCTTGATGGGATCATACAAATTCTCTAGGGCGCAGAGGTTAACAGCTGATCATGTGAACTGCGACTCAAGTTCTCCTGACATGGGCTCCAACGTCGGCGACAGGATGCACATGATGGGACACAAGGCGGCAATTTGGTGTTGCAAGCAATCATTTGGCAGCTTTCTAGGTGAGGATTGGCTCGTAGCGGACAAAAACTTTGTTTCAGCAAGTTACGTGGGGAGCACTGGCATTGCATTACAAGAGGCGGTTTCATCTTCATCTCGACTTTGATTGCTTGGTTTGGTGGGAGTCGAGTTTCCAGCTGCTTGGCTCTCAGTGCAGGCTCGGCCTGTATCGACGAAGTGCCCCGTAGACGCGGAGGAAATATGGCAAGGTTGTGCCTTCTTCACCGCGGAGTGTTTCTTTATGCTGCTTGTTCATTGTCGTTCTGTTTTTAGAGCCGTAGGCCAGAGCCAGTACGAATTAGAGTGCTGGAATTGGAGTGTTGCATGGCATCATCACCCGCGCCGGGATCCACCTAATCACGACCGGTCTGGCCAATCAAAATGCAGTACCAAAGCCAGCGGATGGGCCCGCCAGAAATCCCGAAACCGCCCTGTCGATTGCTCGGGCCTCAGTGGCCTTTTTATTGTTTATTAGTGGCCCGCTGCCCAATTCCAGGCGTCGCTCGCATCAAGACCTTTCCGGATCCGTCCTAGTGCTGTTGTGCTCCCGTCAGGCACAAAAACAAGCTGTAAGTTACGGGGTGGCTGCCAAAGGAAAGAAGGATTCTCGTATTCTTCAGCAGCATGAAAAAGTAGGGAGGCCACCGAACGCACTTTTCGTTTCCCCTATCCTTGGCGGTATTGGGCTCTGTTTGGGCCTTGAAATGCACTTGGACTGCGGATTGACTAGTGAGGTATTCCCCTGACTTCTGTTCAGTGCTCATTGTCTCTCCCTTCCGTTCATTCTGCCCTGCCTATTTGCCCAGCCTAGCCCAGCTTGGCCCAGTCGGCAGCTGCGGTCGCACCACCACGACGGACACCTCCTCCTCCACCGCCTGCCGCCTGCCGCCTTCCCTCGTCACCAGCCATTTCCATTCAAACAAACTCTCTTTTGAACAAACAAGGGCTCTTCAGCCAATTTCCAGCCCTTCGGCATTTGACTTTCTCACCATCACGCTCTTTTACATTCGTTATATCACGGTTGCCTATTTTTGCGCTGCCTAATTGCGGTCGCCACGCTTTATCACACCCCTAATTTTCCTCACCTCCTCGTTGCCTTGCCATCCCTAATTTCCTTTTTCGCGACCACCTGATGCATCGATAGACGGCAAACAATTCGCGTCTAGCCCCCTCGACACATCTCGTGCCCTACCGTACCATACTTTTTAGTTACTCGACTCGATCCGATTCTTCTCTAACGCGAATACGCATCAACAAGCCTGCCATGCGGTTGCCGTATGGCCACCGGCGCTCCGCGCGCCATGGCCAGCGACATGGCGCCGTGCTCACTCTCCTCACAACAGTCACATCCATACTGGCAAACGCAGCCACTCCCGTCCCTGCACCCCCGGCGAATCTCGACTTCTCCCAGCTTGGACAGATTGGCATTGCGGGCGATTTTGGCGGCATCTCTCTCTACCAATACGTTGGACAGGGCGGCCAGACTCGCAGTGCCAATGGAAGCCAAGCCCTCCTCTCCGAGCTGCCCAACGGTGCTCTACTACCTGCCGTTCAAACAGATGCTGCCATTCGAGCCTTGTGTCTTTACAATGCCACTTCGAGCAAAACAAACGGCATAATTATCGGGGGTAACTTTACTTCTCTCGGTGGCAAACAGTCAAAAGCTATTGGAATCTACGATGTCGACGCCAGCAAAGTCACGACTCTCGATGGCCTCGAAGGCGAGGTCAATGCTATTCTCTGCGACGACGCCACTGACACTGTTTATATCGGTGGCAACTTCAAGAGTGGCAACTCGACCAACGCAATCTCGTGGAATAGCAAGGATGGCTTCAAAAACCTGCCGTTTGTCGGCTTCAATGGACCCGTCGCGGCCATTACTAAAATGGACAATGGCCATATTCTTTTCGGCGGAAGCTTCACCGGCCTTGGAAATTACAACACGACAAACGACAGTTGGCGTGACTCTCAAACTATTAACCTGGCAACTGCCAAAATCAACGCCCAAGGCAGCTCCTCCAAAGCTGGCTTCAGCGATCCGGCCAATGTTGTTTGCTCCAGTGGCTCCGACGCCCAGGGAAGCACCTGGCTTCTCCAGGACGATAGTCCGGGATACTGGGAGGCTCAGTTCGGCTTCGGTTTTGAGCCGACCAAGATTCGAATTTGGAACACGCATATCGAGAACTACGGCACCAAGACTTTCAATATCCAAAGTTTTCCTAACGGCCTGACAAATATTATGAACATGACCTATGTCGATCCCAGTACGGGCAAAAACGCCACCTGCGACCGCCTTTGCCCTCTCAGCAACGACCCTAAGATTCAGTTCCAGGATTTCTATTTTGTCAACGTCGTTGGAATGGATAAGATTCGCATCGATATTTTGGACTGGTTCGGCACCGCAGCTGGTCTTGCAGGTGTGCAAATCTTTGAAGACAACATCTTCTCTTACGCCATCAACGAGTTCAACGAGCCCAAGTGCCGTACCAAGTCCGGCACTGTCTCCTCTGCATCTACTGTTGGGCCTTGGCAAAAGTCGCCAGCATTCCAAAGCAACGCTCAGTATCTTACCGCTAGGATTTCTGTCAACGATGGCCGTCTGGGCTCAAACGCTTCCGTCACCTTTTACCCCAATGTACCACAATCTGGCAACTACTCCATCAACCTATATACGCCTGGTTGTATAGCGGATGGCACTTGTGCCAATCGCGGCCGAGTTTATGTTTCCGGATCCATGTCTAGCGGAACAGCCCAACCCGAATTCGAGACACAACTGTTCCAGACAAACAACTTTGACAAATATGACCAAATCTACTTCGGCTTTGTGGAAAAAACTTCCGACAAATTCCAAGCCAGCGTGACACTGAGCCCTGCCGGCGATCAGACTGTTCAAGATCTTGTTGTTGTTGCCCAACAGGTCGGCTTTACTCTCATCAATTCTGTTGGCGGCTTGAACGGTTTATTTGACTTTGACCCCCAAGGCCCCCTGCCTGATGAGCGAAGCCTCGATAGCTCTGCCATCAACAAGCTTGGCTATAGCTTCGATAAGTCGTCTGGTGTAAAAGCACTCACCACCTCATCTGACACTACCTATATTGCCGGCAATTTTAGTTCAAAAAGTCACAGAAACATTCTGGCCATTTCGAGCAAGGGAGGCGAAGCAAAGAATCTTAATGGTGGTCTGAACGGTCGCGTTGTGGCCATGCAAGTGGATAATAGCAAGCTGTACGTCGGCGGATCATTTTCGAACACACTCTCCAACGACACCAAGGGCATCAACAATGTTGCCGTTTACGACCCCGATAGCGACACCTGGTCCCCTCTTGGTGCCGGTGTTGATGGCTCTGTCGACTACGTCGTTCTCCTTCGCGTCAATACCACCGAAGGCAAACCGGAAACAGTCATCGCGTTTACTGGTGCTTTTACCCACTCTAATGGCTATGGCACCGTCCCATCAACCCAGGTTGATGGTGTCGCTTTATGGGTGCCTTCGCAGAATATTTGGCTGCACAACTCGGAACATAACGTCCCCAGATATAGCGGCACTCTGAGTGCCTCGTACCTGGACCTTCGTGGTAACAATTCTCTCCTCGCCGGATCTATCGACGTCTCTACACTGGCAGTTGACGGCGTCGCTAGCCTCACCTCCGATGGTCTCGGCAAATTCCCCGTCAAGATAGATTCCAAGGCGCCCTCATCTAGCAAGCGACAACGAAGCCTTGGGGGAGACGGCGGCATGGCTGGCGTTTCCACAGGAACTTTTTATGAGAATACCGACGAGAGTCTTACCATCTTGGCGGGCCACTTCACCGTACAGGGACAGAACAATGATTCAACTATTCACAACCTAGTCTTTATTGATGCCAAGCAGGGCAACAAGACAAGTGGATTGCCAGACGGTATTAACGATAATTCCTCATTCATTGCAGTCGATCTTTGGAAGAATATCCTTTTTGCCGGTGGCCAGGTATCTGGGAAAGTTAATGGAATGGACGCCCATGGCATTATTGCCTGGGACCTCGATGCCAAACAGTTCTCTCACCAACCCGCTGGTCTTACGGGCGGTGATGGTGTTGTTACTTCCATTGCTGTTCGACCCAGCGGCGGCAATCAAGTCTTCGTTGGCGGCTCCTTCGAGAAAGCCGGCGCCCTAGACTGCCCTGGACTCTGCGTCTTCAACATCGACGATGACCAGTGGACTCGGCCGGGCACCGTGATCACAGGTCAGGTTACTGGCTTGCAATGGATCAGTACTGATTCCATCCTCGTTGCGGGTGACCTGGTCGCCAGTTCGAGCGGTTCTAAGCCTCTCGCCTATTACAACCCAGTGAAACAGACGTGGACTGACTTCCCTCGCATTGAAGAAGTTCCAGGTCCTGTTGCTGTTATAACTCCAGCAAGCATGGATCTCAAGCAATTCTGGATTGGCGGCACATCGCTTAAAGATAACTCGACCTTCTTGATGAAGTGGGACGGAAGCAATTGGCGTTCTGTTGAGCAGAAGCTTCCCAACACCACTGTCCTTCGCAGTATTCAAGTGTTCCAGCTTACTAAAAGCCACGACCGCGCCCCTTTGTTAGAAACGGACCAAGCTCTCATGATCACCGGGGCTATAGACCTGCCCAATACTGGCTCTGTCTCGGCTTGCCTGTTTAATGGCTCACACTACGTACCATATGCCTTGACGACAAGCAACAACAAAGGCACCGGCAGCATTGGTAGAATCTTTTCGCAGAGGCCTAATAAGATTGGGCACAACAGGCATATGCCACTGGTCTTTATCGTCCTTATCGGGCTGGCCATTTCGCTCGCACTTATCTTACTCATGGTCGTCGGCGGCGTTGTTCTTGACCGTCTCAGAAAGAAGCGCGAAGGCTATGTTCGCGCGCCGACGTCAATGCGTGATCGCGGAAGCGGCATCCAGCGAGTCCCCCCCAGAGAACTACTCGAGTCTCTGGGTAGAGTGCGTCCTGGTGGCTCACCAGCTGTATAGCATGGAGTGGCCACCCGTGCATTCATCTGGCGTTTGGATATAATACGGAATGATTTTTATTCGGCATTTCTGTTCTTTTTTTTCTTTTGAACTTTCACACTTGCGATTGCAAGCCGCGGCAAGCAACATTGCCACCTCTGCAATTTGTTTTTACATATCATGAGGTCACGACTTAAAAGGTTATATACCAATTTCCTGCAACACAATGCGTTTATCACCATCGTTCTTTCTTTCTCTCAAAAGAGTCTTCAGTCTCTTTCCCTTCTTTCCCTTTATTCTTGTTACTTCTTTCTCCTTCCTGCTAAATGCCTACGCACCGCTCCTGCAAGCGACATGTATATTCATTCTCTCAAGAAAGCCTCCGCCACCCAGGCTATTAATCTATCTTGATCCTGTCCAAGTTGGCACAACTAGCCAACTCAACTCCGGCTAGAGGCGTGGTAATGGTCGACGAATTCTATTTCTAGCGAGAGGCGAGTTTAGGGATGAAAGACGAGATGGCGAAGTCCCAAGGCTGGAACATCTGTTTGTTGTTTGTCACAGAGCATTGCGAAAAGGAAAAGCCAGCTCTTAAATTAGGAGCTTTGATAGCGTAATCTGATCGAGTAATTTTTTTTTCAGATTCCCAATCTTATGTTGTCAACAGCAAGTGATAAATTGTCTTCAGATATCAAGGGCATTGGGCAATAGTAAGGTGGCCTTTGACATGGCTCATACCTTTGCAGATACACATGCCAGTATTAAACACGTCATGTATTAATTAATCAATTCTTTTACGTGTAAAGCTCAACTTGTGATTACTGAAGACGGCTGCCAGGAATCGTCCAGTCAGAAGATGGGGAAGTAAAAGATACAAGTCAAGACAACGGAGGATAATTAAATCAAAGCAAAATATACCACGTAGATAAAAGATGAAAAAATATCAGGACGTATTAGCAGCTCGAGTACCCGATTTATAACTATTCATGGCTGGATTAAGTCATGCAGTTTCCTATCTGCAGCGTCCATATATACAGGCCAGCTACTACTCGAATGTAACAAGTTACATAAAAAGGAACGCGTTGCATCGAAATGGCATGAAGTCATACCAAGGGACACAAGGTATTGCCCAGTCCAAGTGCTGTCCACCAGCACCCTATTGGAATGGTCTCATAGTTATTGAAGAGATCGTCGCCTAGAAAATCACTACTCGTACAGGACGGTACCCTTCCTTCAACAACCTTCTTGTTTCGGAAGCAACCGGAGGCCCAGGACGACAGGGACGACCTCCTGCCTTAGATGGCACAGGGGGGCCTAGTAGCACGGGGGTCCTCCAACCCGGGGGGAAAGGGTGTATCATGTGCCGGCTCAGCCGCCGGCAGGGCATTCCGGGATGAAAGGAGGCGTTGCTCGTCCGGCACTGCCGTTCCCAACCGGATGGGAACGGCGGAGGAAGCTGGCCGACGTCGCGCGGAGCGAGTAAGGAAGGCCTATCCCTTCCCCCCCCCCCGCCCTTCGTGATGGGCATGATAGTTGGCCGGGAGTATAGGACAGAAGACCTTCTGCATCTATGCCGTGCCCTACATGTGACAAAGAGGGCCTGCGACAATCCGGCGATGCTACCGTTCTAGGTGTAGCCGAACCAGGTGGCATGACGGATGATCTCGATACAGGGCATAAAATTACGGGATTCTGTAACCGCCGGGACTCTCACCAGACCAACCGCATGCTGTGGAAACCAGGATGTGAGGAAGAATATTCAGAAGGAGCCAACAGCCCGGCCGGCCCGGCCGTCGCAGCCTGCCAAAAGACACTCTTTCTTATTATCTCTTTGAGATTGCCTGAACTGACCCGTGGACCAGGGTCGTGGATTCTGATAACGGCAACGTAAGCTGGGAGCTAAGCAACGTTTCGAGTTTATTTAAAGCAACAGGCGGGCCAAAGAGAATTTGCAAATCATCACACATGTCGTGTTTTACTCTTACAGGCAAGGATGATCACAAAGTACACGGTACAAGTTCTTTCTTCGCACACACCCGGTATGCTGACCACCCGGACGGACGGGCTCGTTTCTACGTCATGCATTCTGCCTGCATCTTTGTTTTTTGCCTGCTGACCACGTGCCCCTTTCCCGAACTGATGACGATCGTTGGAGAAGAGCGAAGAAAAACAAGCCTTTTTGATCAACCGTGGAGGGGGTTGCAACTTTGCAAGGATTCATTAGACTTATTGCATAATAGAGATGTGGTGTCCCCTTTGGAGAGATCTTGATTTGAAAACGCCTCGTCACGCCTCTTCACGCCTTCCTTTTCCGTTTACTGGTATGACGTCGATTTAGAAACCAAGAACCTCTTTTACACCGAGCCTGGAAGGAAGTCAAAAAAAGCCACTGACAGCATCATCGCACTAAATTGGCCGCCGGGGGTGACACTCTTTATTTTGGCTCAAACGCGAGGAGCATGAGGATTGAGCGGGCGACTGCTTGATAGCTCAATTGTTCTCTTACACGCTCCGAGTTTTTACCTGTACCAGGCCTGTACCAGGTATAGGCTCGCTGGCCTGCGATTCAGTCCCTGATTCTCCTCGCAAGGGGGCAGGCACCATCAAGGACGTCAGTGGCGCCTGGGAATTAGAATGCCCGGAGGATTGAAACTGGGGCCTCATTTGGGATGTTTCTAAATTACCGGTCATTATGTCCATCTTGGTCGTAGAGGCAAGTTTGTTGATAGTGAGGGTTCAGCGAGAGCCGAGAGGTTTAGTGTTGCGGCATTAATACTAGGAGCAAGCAAGCAAGCAAGATGTGCAAGGAACGTGCGGTGAGTCAATGGCCGTCTTGAATGAAGACGCAATCAAAGACAAGAATACACATGTGCGGTTTCCCATGTCTCTTGCTAGACTAACTCGGCGCAGAAAGAGAGATGCTCCAATACCTAGTATGTAGCCACGTACTGTGCGAGAGACGAATATAGTTGGAGGAGAAAAAGACAACACACACCAGGTCCCAGAATTCCGGTTCAATCGATCCAATCAGCAAGACAGAGAATGACGTCGCGGCGCAGCGTGGTTCTGCGCTAAGACGCATCGCGAGGGAACTAGTCGGCTACAAGCCTTGATCATACATTCCGGCGGCGCGGCTCAAGTACAGATTGGGTACCTCCACGTCCTTGGGTCGTGGGGAGCGGGGCCGGGTCCCTCCACACTCGCTCCCCCATAAAATTAGTTTAGCGCACCCCGCTATCTGGACACACACCCCTTCCCTTTCAGGATTAGCTCTGAATACAGGGATTTTGATCCCCCCCCCCACCCATTTGCAGGTACGGGAAGTAAGTACCTCATGTACTTGTGAAGCAATCTGCAATGCATCTGTTTATCCTCTCTATTTTTTGTACTTGGTGCGTGATAATCTATTTAAAGTGTATCTCTTATCTGAATTGAAGGAGGAATATTGTCTCTGCATGCAGCAAAACATTTCCTTGGTCGGTCTGTGGGAGAGCTGCTCTGTGCCGTCACTGCGTGACCTTCACGCCTGCCTGCCTGAACTAGCCTCTCAACTATGTATGTACATAAGTACCTGCGGCCGGGCCAGTACGCTAAGAATGGCAGGTACCGTTGTGACGTCAGACGTACCCGTGTATATCTCTTCGTTCGAACAGCCAACCACCGCGAGGACCAGGATTCCACGGGCGTTGCATTTTCCCATTTTATGCTTGCATTTCTTGCTGGTTCTGAATACTAACTGGGACGTACTTTTGTGTGCTTGAATCAAGCCACCACCCATAACTCGTTACCGGCATCATCGCTATGCGGGGGTGAGAAGAGGAGGGGAGGGGCGGGCGAGCCTGGGTTCCCACACAAAGCAAGCCCCAGGTTGTTAGCATATAGAGTACTTTACCAGTACATACAGTATTAACCCTTGCTGGCTGCACAACTCGACGCAAAGTTGCGCTGGGCTTATTTTATCTGCAAGAAAATGGGATGGGATGACAAGGCAGTGTGTCCCCCTTTCGTCCGTTTCAAGCAGAGACGGACGGAAGGCGGCCGGACCGTATGATGGACGGATGATGATGACATGGTGGTCCTCTGCATCGGCTGGGCGTCGTGCCACAAAGATATAGGGACACGGATACTACGTACATGTTGGATAAGAGAGCGACACGGACGGCCCACGGGCAGGGGTCAGAAGAGGGAGGTGAAGGTTTTCCCACGCGGCCGCCTTGTTGATACAAGACAAAGGGAAAATAACAAGGGAAATAAACATGCAGGCAGACGCATGTGCATGGATGAGTTGGCGGGTCATGTCGGAAGGAAAGGGTGCATGTATTATTTGAGTTGTGTCTTTGAGGACAGCGTACATAACATATTCGTAACAGCATACACCAATAACGCAGATTATATAGAAGAGCATGTCAAGCAAGAGCAGAGGGCTGGACATGTTGTGATTAGCCTTTCGGCTTGGCGTTTTGACATCGCCCAGAGGCACGAAAGAGATGCAATCCCATCGGAAATCTTCAGTTGTGGCGTTCCCGCCCGTTACAGTTACAAAACGGCTGGCCTGCTGCGGCAGCGCCAGAGACGCTACGGAGGACAAGTGCAACGAGTTAAAAAAAAAAAAAAAGATAAGCCAAAAGGGAAATTCAGGGTTCATGGGATTGACGTGGTTCTAGAACGACACAGGGCCGGTACCTTGTCCAAAAAACGCGGGCAAGAGGGACTGGTGGGAAGAAAAGCATAATAAAGGATAAACAGAGAGGTATGGATACAAGCAGAGATTGTCAGTATGGAGAGGAGATGTGCAAAACTATAAAAAAAAGCCAAGACGGAAGCGCCCGGGGAGATGGATGTGCAAGATGGTGGCTAGAAAGGGGAATGGAAGAGGTCAATCTCTCTGTCTGGTCGTCGCCATCTTGTCAATCATGGCGAGCAAGACAAGGCCGACCAGTTCTTTGCAATCTCCAGAACAAATGCCAAACGTCTCTGGCCCGTGTCTTTGATCGTCATCATCACCATCCATCATAATCCTGTCCTTGCCGTCCACATGTGAACGAAAGGGGCAGTCAACTCGGTCAGCTGTTCCCCCTTTTTACTCGCTCAGAGGGGAAACTAAATTTGCCACCTTTCTTTGCATCTTTTTTCCTTGTTAAAACTCGTTTAATCGCGTTGTGGTAATTATGGATAATTCCTCTACGGGCCCTGGTGTGTATACAGTATTTGCAATACTTGTCTGTCTCTCATCAAAAGTGCCGCAACGACAGAACAGACAGGCATGCCTTGTTATTTGCTTTTTCCGTCGTAGCGCCTCGCATTCAAGGTCAACCGTGTCTTGTGGATAGAAAAGCTTGTTTTTGCAGACCCATGCAAGCACTAAGCTGCTACTAATAATTAGAAGATGCATATTACTGGAAAGGGGG